ACGGATGACGGGGTATTCTAGTTCTGTTCTGAAACTCACCTTGGCAGGTCTGCAGAGAACCCAACACCACACGACACTGAGGTTTTTTTTTCCATGTTTTTTTCTACCAGGGATGGGAGGAGGGCATTTGAAATTTTTCAGGGGAAGGGGGGGGAGCAGAGGCGTAGCGAGGGGGGGGGGGGGGGGCGGGGGGGGGGTGCGGACCGCACCGAGGTGGACACCATTTAGGGGGGTGACACCAAGGCAAAAAATTGCAAAATATATAGAGAAAAAAGTTTGAGGGGAGGGGAGGTGCAAATCGAAAGGTTTGAGGGGGGGGGGGGACCGAAAGTTTTGAAGGGGGAGCAAATCGAAAATTTAAAAGTTTGTCCTCGGGAAGGGTCGCTACGCCCTCTGGGGGTGACACCATTAAGTGCCGCCACCGGGTGACACCCGGACCTCGCTACGCCACTGGGAGGGAGTGGGGCTATGTCATAAAGTAGACTCGTGGACTTATCAAAAAATTCAATATAATGTGATTACGCTTCCGCACTGGAATTGAAGCAATTAGTACAAACTTTTGCCACGAAGGAGGTAAGTAAAATTTGATTTTATCAACTTATAACATTTATGCGATTGATAATAAAACTAATATGTCACTTTTAATTAAATGTTTTCTCATACATATGTGTTATCAATTAATTTGCGTGAAAGGGGGCGTTTTAATAAGTTTTGCCGTGTGCGCTAAATAACCTGGCGCCGGCCACTGTTTGTCTTGTAACTTAATTTTGAACTACGTCTAGTGCAGCTACTGCGTTCGAATTTTTTAGGTACATTCCTTTCCTGTGACAATTCAAGAATATATGTTTTAAATTAAATTAGACATTTAGTCATTAAAATCATTCCCTTGTGAATTTTAGATTTGAGTTGATATTAATATCTCAAATCAAATACAATGTTATGTGGACCTTGTCATTTACCTTTTTCTACAATGATTATAATACATATGCCTATATGGTGTTTCCTTCCTAAACCTTGTTTAAGGGCCAATGGCCTCCCTCATTTAGTCTGAAACAACTCTGGTAAGGTTTTTTACTTGCGATGGACAACAAAAATTCCCCCCCCCCCCCCCCCCGCCGAACGAAATGGAATTTATGTAGAAAATATACACCAGTGTCCGCTCCCCCCCCCCCCCCCCAACAATATCAAGTGCCCCCCACCCCCGTGGGGAAAAAGCCTGAAAGAAACATTGAAAATTAGTCACCTATGTTTTGGCAACTTCACAAGGAGGGTCCCTCTCCGTTGGGATCTGTCCTGTGCTCCAGAATAAGGTGATTTATGACGTCGATCTGCTTCTTCTTCTCCGCCTTGATTTAATGCCTCTGCTGGGGTTGTCTGGTGCTGATGGCTGGCCACTCTTCAGTTTAAGACCTTGAGAACTTCCTGCTTGGGATTACTTCCTGCTTGGGATTCCCACTGGGTTGATGTTAAGGCTCTGGTGGACCTTATGGCAAGTGAAATAGAGTTCACCTGTTTCTGTGACCTCGGCATATGAAAGGAAAATTTGGTCAGCACTATGCCCATCCGCCTTTACTTTCCCCTTAACGTGAGTTAGATACCTATCAGAGCTAGGTAGACTAAAGAACATTCTACAGGCTTGAACCCGGCATCTTCCAGGCATCCCCGCCCCCACCCGGAAGAAAGTCTGCCGCCCCCTCCCCCCCCCCCCCCCGAACAAAATGGAATGTAAATAGAAAATATATTTTTTTACTAGTGTCCGACCCCCCCCCCCAAACATATTAAGTGCCCCCCCCCACCCCACGAGAAAAACGTCTGGAAGAAACACTGTTTATGGCTAGTAGTCTAGCGCTCTCCCTCTAGGCCACACGGTCTCATGGAGTACTTTGTTCCAATGGTTCTTCAATTGACGTTAGGACGTTAGATGTTGAGATTGTTCTTTTTTCCTTCCCCACAACACTGTGTTTGTCTCATCGAGTTTCCTTACCCTTGTTTCTGCCTGTTCTGTTACTTCATTTATAAACAATCTCTTGTCCATTCATTTTCTGTTATCTCTCACTTTTTTTTTTTTTTTTGCTTGTTTTCTTGTTTTGGATCTCTGTTTAGGATCTTTCTTTTTTTCTATTTTTGGTCATGTTTATCTAGGGAAATCATAGTCAGTTTGGAAAGAGAAACAATTTTTTCTTGGACTATTTATATTTTATTTATTTTCTCCCTTTGGAATTAGTGTAAACTAGCGTAACATAATTCATTTAAAGTGGGCAGCGATCCAGCGTAATAAAAAGAAATTCAGTTTTCATGTTCTTTTTGTATTTTATTTGTCGAAAATTTATTTTAATTTTTTGTTTGTAAACTAGTGGTGATACAATATAATTCATTTGTTATTTCCCTTTATGAATTCACCTTGGCTCTCATAAAAGTTTATTCCAAGAAAAGTAATTAAGTTTTTTCTAAGGGTTTTTGTATTTTATATGTTATCTCCCTCATAAACCTAGTTATTATATTTATTAAAGAAGGGAGTGCAATAATGTTTTCTTGTCAGTATTTGTATTTTATTTGTTATTTCCCTTGATGTTTTTTCTGGTATTTAAAAAATTCAAGGTAAGTAATTCAGTTTTCTAAGTGTTTTAGTATTTTAATTGTTGTGTCCCTTAGCAGCCTCTTTTTAAGAAAGGGAAGGCAATTAGGTTTTCTTATCAGTACTTGTATTTTGTTTGTTATTTCCCTTTATGTTTTTTTTTTCTGGTATTTTATTTTGCTCACATTAGTTGTACTCTAAGGAAGGTAATTCTGTTTTCTTAGTTGCTTTTCTGTATTTTCTCTGTTGTCTCTCTTAGTAAGGTGTTCTACTCTTTTTTAACTTTTCTGAAAGTGGTGAAACTAGGAAAGAAATTAAGTTTTCTTAGGGTTATAACATTATTATAATATTAGTGTTTCATTCAGGCATCTTCCTCTGTTTGGCATTGTACCCCCCCCCCCCCCCACCCCTTCTTCTCCAGACGAGACAGAAAAAATCTTATAGTTTAAATAGCAAATAGGTCATTAGCCAAGGCCTGCCCTATAGGGCTAGTAAGTAGGTAAAAAAACAGTTCTTTGGCTCATTTCGGTTTATTTAGCCGTAGAACAGTTTATTGACCTACTTACCAGCCCAATAGATAGGACTACATGGAGGGGTAATAAATTCAGAGGCGTAGCGACGGGGGGGGGGGTACATATGTCCCCTGGCGCCGACCCTAGGGACGCCAAAATGGGTTGGAAAAAAATTAAAAGCTCAGTTTAGCTGCAGTTTTGAATTATAAATGTTAATATAAAAAGTATAGGGGGGGAGGTGGGACCAAATTCAATTGAAAGTTTGTCCCCGGGCGGGGGGGGGGGGGGGGGGGGGGGGGGCTTCGCTCCCCTGAAGAGATGCCTGGAAGAAACTCTGTTGGCGATATGAGTAACAAAAAATCAGGTTACGTCGATGTAGGCCTACTCTAGTGGTACATAACGACTTAGTTGAAATATACAGGTTGAAAGTTATCGAAAGTATGGGCCAAATTAGAACATTTGACTATTATTTATTTCAAATTTAAACAAAATAAGAATAGTCGCGCATTAGATTTGTTTTTTTAATATTAATAACATGATCATGTTACTAGCTAGGTATTTCATTTGAAAATGCACGTTTCCGCGTGATGTAATTAATAACTGCTGAACTGCTTCAAAACAAATAAATCTTCATCCGGTGATGCGTTTTTACTGAATTAATGAATTATCCTTTTCAGAAGTGTTGTTTTCAATAATGTCAACGAGGAATTCAGATTCAAATTTATCATAGATCTAGGTGAAAATTAGATCTAGATCTAGCTATTTTTTTTTTGTAATTGAAAAACACAATTTGTACTAATTATGCCTTAGCCGATAAAGATTTTGAATTGAGAACACTTTTTACTTTTTTGCTTTAATTCTGAAACTAGTCACTAGATCTAGTTCTGTCTCAGCTGTCTGTAGTGCTAGCCTATTCTACTGCAACTCTTTTTTAGGCCTAGATCTAGATTGAGATTCTAGACTAGATCAAGAATCTTCTACTAGACCAGTGGTTTTAAACTTGTGTTCAATCAAACCACAAGGGTTTGGTGAGTCAGTCTTGCAGGGGTTCGGCTGAGTCACACCTGTCCCAGGCACTGCCCTGGCTCTTGTCTTATCTCCATGACTATGATTCACTACCCAATGATACTAGATTTCTCTAATAGAACTATAAAGAATCAAGAAGGGTATGGTCATTGTTCATATGAAACTGGTGGGGTTCAACTCTAGACTAATTGTTGTGAAAGTAAGCCTATAAAAAAAAAGTAAAGTTCCCTTTTCGAACCTGACAGCCCATCATTCATCATGGGTCAAGTGAAGTAGATCTAGAGTTCACCTGTTTCTGTGACCTCTGTTATAAAGGGATTGTGTGGTCAGGGCTATGCCCAGCCGCCTTCACTTTCTCAGGAACATTCTACTGACTTGAACCTGGATTAATACTCAAGACTTTCGGGCTAAGGATCCACTCAGTCCCCATTTTTTTTGTTCATTTTGTTCGCTTTGTGGTTGTAGACCTTTGCTTGATCAGCATTCCCTTTACAAATAAGTAATAAGGTTCATTTTATATACATCGCGATCACCACCTTAGGCCCTACAGCATAGTACATTTAAAAAATAAAGTAAGAAAAAAAATGAAAATTATATTATTAAAAATCATGAAGTATATAGGCCTACTAGATTCTAGATTAAAATTAATGCCACTTTGTCATGGTTCGCTGGCTTCTATTGTACAGAGGTACTCATTTTTCCTATTATCTAGGAAAAGATCAATTAAAAAGCTTTATTAAATTGACTTGCCCAATTAAATAACATTAATATTGGAAAATATTCGCATAATGACTGTCCATTGAAAGAAATAACATTTGCATATTAGCAATAAATATATCTAACCCAGTCGTAATGAACAGTGGGTTTTTTTTTTAGTTATTATTTTATAGTCTATAAAATAAAAAAGTGTCAACATTTGATTTCTTTTATCACTGACCGATAAATTCAATAATGAATGATCTTAGTAATATTTCTGTACCTAACTCATTATTGTTTAAAAAGATTTACTTACTAGTTTAAATATTGCTAATTTTTAAGTTTAGCCTTCATTTTCTAAAGCAAATTTCAAACAAATTTCTTGCATATAGTATAGGGCCTGTTGCTAGTTTGTTTTTTATTACATTAAAAAAGTTAAAAAGACCCGCCATTTTTACATACATGGTAAACATTTTAAAAAGTTCTTCTTAGTCACTTGAACTAATAAGAGAAATTGGCAGAACATATGTGTTCAGTTAGGACCCCATATTGTTGTTAGCCCACTAAGTTTATGTTATGAGAATATCTAAATTCAATGTTTTGTCGAATACACTTTAATATACAGACTATGATAAACTTCTTTTTTTAGTTTTATCTAAATAAACTTAATTGGGCTAAAAGTTTCAAAACTCACATTAGATCTATAAGCAAGTTATAACTTAATCAGACAAGTACCTTTTTGAATTTTAAATTCTAATCCTTTGGTCAAGATTATTTTTAGGGTCAGATTTATTTATACGTAGTAGATTAGATATTCAAGATTATTGGGGGGTAATTAGATATTTTATTTTCTGCTAAGAAATTCAGTTTTTTTTTTTGTAACAGTATTCCTGCTTAAATCTTACACATGACAGAATATAATCATGATAGTACACTAATAAAAATTTAAATATCTTGATATTTTATAATGTATAAAATCTATAAATTAACTATTTGATACTAACATAAAGAATCCTCTATAGACCTAGTGATCCAATGGGTAGATGAAGTAGAATTCATGTTTCTGGACTTTGGCATATGAAGGGAAGGTGTTGTCAGCACTTTACTTTCCCTGTCATGAGTTAGATACTGATTAAAGCTAGGTGGACTCAGGAACATTATACTAACTTGAACCCTGATTCGAACTTGAGACTTTCATGTTAGCATCCTAGCACTCTACCGCTTAGGCCATGTTGTCCCATTTGATACATGTTGACTGAAAAATTCTGGTCATTTTGTTTGTAAAAGAGAGTAACAAGTCAAGTCCCTTATTTTTAAAAATTGGTGAGCGTGGGGGTGCAGGCAAGAGACATATTCCAAAGCAATGCTAGAAAACTGGCAGCAGTTTGATGTCAAACCTGTTATTATCTTTTCAACTTGAGTAAAAATGTGTAGGCTGTCTTATTTAGTGTCATACCTCAGAAGCCAATTAAATAGGATAAGGTGCTGTAGAGCAAAGTAAATAAATGTAAACTTTCAGCAGGTAGCATTTAGTGTGATAGTATAAACAGACATCTTTTTATTGACTTTTTATTGTTGTCTAGATTTTTCATTTATTTGCTTATATTATTGATATCATCCACTAAAAGTGTTCAAGCCAATTATAGTAAGTTATTAAACAGTGAACTGTGTTTAATAATCTAGTTGTTATGGTGTTGCTTTGCTATAATAATCTAGTTGTTATGGTGTTGCTTCGCTATTCCAGATTCCACATCATTCGTCATGACAGAATCAGATGATCAGGACAATGATAGTTCAAACAACAAGCCGACCCACCTCTACTACTTTAATTAAAATTCTTCCCCATTAAACTTTATTCAAAGTGGTTGGCTTCAGGAGGCTCATCTGGCTTATGAACATTTTCACAATTAAATATACATTATATCACATTATTGGTCATCCGGAATGCTAACCATCAAATCACTGCATGACCGTGTTGCTCAGATATACTACACATATGGATTGTTTTGTGCTAGCCATCCATGGACAACTATTTTATCTGTCATCATCTCAGTCAGCATTACCTGGTAAGTCTTTGTATGATACACTAATCATGTATTTAAATTAAACTATTGTTGAGAGCAGATTATATTTATATTTTAATAGATAGATGTTTTAATAATATCAAATATTTTTAACAGCATTCCTTTACTGAGTAACCTACCTATTCCTGGGAAAACCTCCTTTGAGCACAGAACATCAAAATTAGGGTTTGCAGTTCCTGAAGGTGTTCGTTCAGCCAATTTTCAACCAGAAGGGTTTATTGATGAAAAGAAACCAAGATGGGTGAGTTTGTTGAATTGGTTAATTGACAACATACAGCTGTTTTGAAACAAAAGTAATGGCATGTTATTTTTACCAGTATTTCCACCTTAATCCAAACCATTTTTCCTTGTCCATAATAGTTACATAATTAGAAATAAAAACTGTATATTTCTACTCTGCAAGCCTCATAAATTTTCACATCTGTTGCAGTTATTCCTAATAACCAGTCATGCTTTCTTATTCTTAAAGGATATGTTTGATAAATAAAATATTCCTGTATTATTCTATCATCATACTGTCATTAAAATATCTTGGTTTTGACATTTAGCTTGTTGGGGAACCAGTGGCTTATGTACAGCAAGTGGTCATGAAATCTGCAGTATCACCTTGGCAGAAAAATCTTAAACCTTATGATGCCTTTAGAGCTCCTTTGGCATCAGCTTTCAAAATTGTTGAGGAGTTGGATAATTTTAAATATACTTCTGGGTAAGTGACATTTTTGTCTTTTTAACAACGGTTAAAACTGACTGGTTTTAAATAGAAAAAATTTATTTTTATTTTCTTTAGTGGCAAAGACCAGTCTTTAGCTGACAACTGCTATAGAGTCTCTGAGTCATTGAATGTTGGCGAACTGCAGAAATTGTTACCTCAGTATACCTGTTTTATTGTTTCACCTGCCAACTTCTGGCATCAGGATATTTTAAGGTATTTATTTTATGACAAAATCCAAAGTTATGACAGAACAACTTCACATTGTACCACACATAATTAGATCAAACCTAAAGAATTTTGAAAAGGAAAAACGTTTATATAGATATTTTCTTAGCAAACAACAGAAATGCCAATATCAATATAAATTTAATGTCTATTACAAAAACAGTTTTAAGAATGATGCAGATATTCTCGACGATGTCTACAAGAATTATGGACAAGTTGTTGGCAGCCAGACATCTATTAAAGGTACCCATACAAACATTTTTCTATTTCAGTTTTTATACAGAGTGGACATTGAGAACCTGTTTCCATTGATTTGCTCTTATAATATAATTTTGTTGCTATAAAATTGCAGATCTGCTGTTTGGCATACCTTGGTCACAGACTGGGATAACTAAATACCCAATCCGCAGCAGGCAGCGCATTATAACATATGCTGTCACAATCATCATGAAAAAATATGACTCACAGTAAGTTCACCAAGCCAGCAAGAGAACATTTAAAATCCTCCTTATGAATAACTGCATTTTCTCAGTTTACAAAATATCTTTTTATCAATAAAAACAAGTCAAAGAAAAATACTTCATTTATATCATTATAAAAGAAAGTGGTATTGATAAAACATATTATTGGAATTCTAAATCAAAGACATCGTTATTGCAATTTCTTTTCTCAAACACTAAGTACATATTTTAAGATTTTCTGCCAGATATTTAAACATACTGATTACTTAGGTTAAAATTTCTCTATCAGATTTGTCTCAGCCTTGACTGAAATGCTTGAGAGACGCCACCCAGACACCAGCCAAAATGTAAACAATTCAGAAGTTCAAGACATTGTGCATGTGTACTTTAAAGATGTTAATTACATTGTAGAGTACACGCCTCTGCTGGTGATCTACCTTGTCATGCTGTTGTACCTCTACTTTTCTGTGCGTAAGTATGGCTAAAATTACAGAGAATCATTCTCTTTCATTAAAATATTGAAGGGTATTGTATATGGTGATGTAAATGAGAAAAATGTAAAAGAAAATCATTAGTCATAAATTTTTAAGTAAAGCTCATAGACTTTATTATAAATGATATATTAGTATTTTTATAACATATTTAAAACAGATAATTTAGTAATTTGGATGTTTAGTTTTTTAAATTATTTAGTGTGCTCGAGGTACATACGTTTAAAATGTGATTTTGTGTTTAATTCTTCAGGTAAAATAGAGCTGGTAAAATCAAAGATTGGACTTGCTATAAGCGCTGTAGTTACTGTTCTAGCATCTCTGCTTATGTCTGTCAGTATTTGTACATTGTTTGGGATGACTCCAACACTTAATGGAGGGTAGGTTTGTTGCCATAATCACCTATATGTGACATATGTAGAAGCAGTCAATGTTATCTGTACATTCAATAAGAAATGTTTTATAATTGTTTTTTTTTTTTTTTGTTGGTTTCTTAATTGCTATTCTTTTTACAATTTTTAGTCAGTCATTGGTATTTCTTGCCAGTTTAAAAACATTTTAAAACTTCAGTATTCTATGACATAAATGGCCACCAGTAAAGTGAGATCAAACATAAGCCTGTGGCCATTAGTTTTAGAACTTTCATCGAGATCCATTGCTTTTAAGAATATTTTGTGTAACAGCTAACAACCCTAAACTTACTAAAAGAGCTTTTATATTCCACAGTGAGATCTTCCCCTACTTAGCTGTGATTGTTGGTGTGGAAAATGTTTTGGTCATCACAAAGTCTGTAGTCTCAACACCCGTCCATTTAGATGTCAAAATCAGGGTTGCTCAAGGTAAATATAAAACAACAGTTTTTGAGTGAAAGAATGTTCTCAGTCACTAGGCTGTTTTTTTTTTCTGATAGTTTTTGATGGTGTATTTTGAATTTTTATGTTATTGTTATATTGTAGGCCTTAGTAGAGAAGGATGGTCTATCACAAAGAACTTAGTGACTGAACTGGTCATTGTCTTAATTGGATTTTTTACCTTTGTCCCAGCCATACAGGTAATAGCTTGTGTTCATTATTTCATTTGCACATTTTTTTTTCCATAAGACTTTTAAGAAATGAACCTTTTTTTTCAGCTTGATCTATCTTTACTAAATTATTTCTCTTCAATTAATTGTTTGAAAATTATCTGCTTTATTACTATAGGAGTTTTGTGCTTTTGCACTAGTAGGACTTCTCTCTGATTTTTACTTACAAATGGCATTCTTTGCAACTGTTTTGTCTGTAGACATAAGAAGAATGGAGGTATGTATAGAAATCCATAATTTTCTTCTTTATTTTGTAATGTTATATTTTATTTTGATGTTAACTACAATATGGTTGCATCAACATATAAGTGTTATATATAAGTGCTATATATAGTGCCATGTTTTTTCCTCTAACAGCTTTCAGACCTACATAAACAGAGTGTTCAACAGGCTGTACAGGATGAGAGTAGTAATGCATTTAGCATACAACCTTTGGTCCTGTGCCCATTCGTCAGAGGAAAGGCTAGCTCCTCCCACAGAAGCCATTCATCTCCTCCCCCAGACCCGACACCTCCCATGTACAGTCCCATCGTCCAACCTAACCATGTGTCACCACCCCCATCACCAAACAGAAGTGTGTATGAAGGTCAGACTTTTTTCCATGCATCACCGCAATCAGATCGGCCAAAATATGAGATGCCTCGTAGAGTCAAGTTCTTTTATTTTTTAGCAAGATTTCGTATTGTTCAGAAGTTGATTATGGTAAGTAACTTTGTTTAAGAGGATTTCCATTTTTAAATCTAATTTTTTATTAAAAACAGTCTATAAATAACACTAATGGAAAAAATAAAATTTATTAACTTAATTTAAAGAATGATGTCTTAAATGTTTTAAGCATTATATATTTAAAACAGCCACATTTGCTTACTTTACCATTTATTTTTAGGTTTGTACGTTAGTCTGGATTCTTCTCATAATGTACAAGACTGGACTAGTGGATAAATTAACAGGAGATAATGTTAGCGATACACTTTCCCAGACTGCTACACCAAAACTTCCTGCTGAAGTCAGTTCAATGATGGAATCCTCCAGGTATGGTGATATTAGAGAAATTCTACTAAATAATCCATTAATATGTTTATTATTATCAAAACCTCAACGTCTATTATTTGATTTTTTGTTACTGATATATCCAATGTATTGTTTAACTATAAATTTTTTCTACAGAGATGAAGAGTTTGGAGACAGACCAGTAGAACATAAAAACTTGGAATTGTGGAGAACGCTTTCACATAAACATTGGCCAACATTGTTTCAATATTACAACATAAGCCTGAGTGGCAGGTAAACTTCTGGATTAGAGATTATTTTTGGTTTTAAATTATTTTATGCAGGTTTATATTAAATAGTGTTACTTAATTAATCCTATAAAACCCTTTACTATCCTCCCAATTTTATTTTTGTAAATGGCTTTCTTGCCAGGAATTGACCACACCTGAATCATAATAAAAATAGCTTTAGCCATTGCTTAAAATTTTGTTTTGATAAATACTGTTTGAAGTTAAAATCCAAGTGTTGCATTTTGTTTTTAATTTTATTTTTTACTGGTATATGTTTTGTTGCTATGTTACAGATATATCAGCATTTTGCCATCAATCCACTTATCTGAGGTAATAGACCCACTGAAAGCCATTCAAATGAGACATCCAAAAGAAACACACGCACTACCTATACCTAAACCCGCAGGTAAGCTCTTCAGATGTGCTAGTGTTGAAAAATTTTACCTGGCCATCAAGATTATCTAAGTAAAAAAATGTTTAGCTGAAAAAATTGAAAACTAGAACAATGAACATTGCAGTTAGAGAATCGATTGTCCTCATTAAGCCTTTACAGGACTAGACGATTTTTTTCTAAAGTTAGGAATTCAAAATTAAGGGAGTATAATTTGTGAAATGAAATTGAATTAATATGCCTCTGACATTGAATCAGGCTTTATTTTAAATGTAGCTATTGAAAAAGAAAAAAGCTCCAGTGCAGTGAATTTTTTTTTAGCATTTAAAATACATTTTTTATAAAAAATAATAATAGAAGTAATGTTTTATTTGCTTTTTTCTGGGATAAGGGTTATTTTTATTTATTACTCGTGTGCCCGTCCAGGTGCATTGCCGTGGGAATAGAAGAAAGTATGACGTAATGTTTTAAGAGGGTTTCATCATTGCTTTACTAATAATATATTCTTAGACTTGTGACCTTGTTTTCTAAAACTGAGTTATTTTTATGTAAACAATGTCTGCGCTTGGATCATATTTATCGGGGCACGGGTTTACCTACACTATCACATGAAAGCCTAATAATGTGGTAGAACACACTTTGGTGACCGCCTAGATGTCAGGGACGTAAAGGGGCCTTCTCTGGAGGCTCGATTACACTACTACAGGGAACACTGGGCGCCATATCATGAATTTTAATTATTTTGTTCACAGAAACCTTTTCTGGAGTATTTTCATCACTTTCCTAAAGCTTCATGACACTCGGATGAACGGTGTCGAACCACATCCGACATTTTTTATATATAGAGAGAAAAAAATCGAACCCTCCCGGGGCACAGCCCCTGCGAATTTGAAATTTATTTTCTCGCAGGAACCTTCCTGGAGTATTCTCAACAACTTCTCAACTTTTATTTTTTATATACAGTATTTATAGAAAAATCGCATCCTCCTGAGGCGCCACCCTTGTGAAATTAAAAGAGATTTTTTTTTGCAGAAACTTGAAACTTCCCCGGGAGTGTTCATATCAACTTTATAATTTACATACCGTATATAGAGAAGAATCGAATCGCGCTCTGCCAGGGTGCCACCCCTGCGAATTTGAAATTTTTTTTCTCAGATACCTCCTCAAGCGTATTCTCAACAGCTCCCCAAAGTTTCATGGCGATCGGGTGAAAGGTGTAGTAATGCATAAAAGACAAACACACACACACACAGACATACATTGCTTTTTATATATATATAGATAGATAGATAGATTAGTAAACTATAATGCTATTTATTTATCCTCATACATTATAAACTTAGACCAATTTTGTGTATAATGATTTTCATTTTATTTTTTTAACATAAATGGTTATTTAAAAAAAAATATGTAAGTGCCCTAGTTGAAAAATGCGTTGTCTTTTCGCCTGGCCATAGGGAAAGTAAAATAGTTTTGATGCCCCAGTCAGCAAAAGGTTAAATTCTTGTTGGCATATATTTCAGACTGGAATGATTCCCATCATTTGGACAACTTCCTCCCCAAGACGGACAAGGAGTTCATCATCACCATCTTCCTGTGTTGTCTCACTGTGGTTGTCATCACATATTTCATGGTTCACCTGTACCGGTGTATGTGCTCCAGGAACTATTCACGCTGGCGCCACTCCTGGAGCAGGTCAGGACGTAGACGGCCTAGAGCCTATGTCAAGCAGGTTAAAGAGTCTGTGCCGCTTGTGTTATCTGGTCATACACAGGTCAGATTTATTCATAGATTCAACATAGGTTATTCTGTTATCCTTGAACTGTCTTTTAGAGTATTAAATACTGCAGTTTTGGTTGTTGTATTGCTCTTTGTGTTTAAAGATCTGAAATAATTTTAATTGTGGATGTATAAAATTATTCCCTGTTTATTTCAGAATATTGAATGTCTGCTTGGTGACAATGGCCTTATTATCAGCTGCTGCTTGGGAGGTCATCTCAAAATATGGGATTCTAACTCAGGGGAATGTATTAATACAATCATTAGAAGAGGGTAAGTTTAAATTTTTAATACACTATTGGACTGAATAGACCTTTCTTTTCATTATGTAGAATTTGATATCACTTATATTTCTCTAGTACAGTATCAATATCAGAGTGTTCAACAGCTTATCATTAATAATTTTAATCCAGCATGGCACCAGTGAGTCGTAGAAGGCCTTGTGTGGGACGTAACATAGAAGACAGTGACGCAGATCTCTATGCTGAGTACCATGGCAGCAGGAGCTCGTCTGAGTTATCATTGGCTGAAGAGAGTGGTGGAGGAGATGGCATCAGGAGTAGGAGGGGTAATTCCTCCTGGTCAGATGTTAGAGGCCGGAGAGTGGGGTCAGCTAGGAAGTCAAACAGTCTGACTAGAAGTGACCTGAAACCTGATCTTGTGTCTACTATAAATACAGAGTTCACATCTATTGATCAGCGGAGACATCAGAGTACTCCCAATGGATATGACTTTAGGAGCTGGTTTGAAGGTAGTTTATTTTAAACCAGTTTTAGTGGGTTTGAACTGTTCATTATTGGTGATATTTTTTTTTAAATAAAAAAGCTCATCCATTAACCCTATACTGCTCAAGCAATCTTTCTTCCTGTTGGTTCAAATAAAATAATACATTTTATCTTTTTTATATTTTAAATATCTGTGTATTTCAATAGAATTGTTTTAAAAAGCATTATAGGGGAAAATAGTCTTAGTTTTAATAGATTATAAATAAAAATAATAACTAATCTAGAAAATGTAAAAATAAGATAAAAACACCTTTACTAATATTTTTTACAAACTTGATTCAAAGTGCTAAAATATTCACCATAGCCAATGGTCATTTATTTTTCTACTCTTCAGCTGAAGCATTTTAATTTCAATTTCTATATTGCCACAATTTCAAAATAACACTTTCTTAAAACTTAAAAATAATTGTAGAAAATGTATTTCTTGTTAATAATGTAAATAAAATTTAGTATTCTGCGATTGTATTCAAAATTTCCTAACCAGTGTGACTGTCACTATTATGCAGAAATTAATGTGTTATACGTTCCAGCACATCATACAGCATATGAAAAATCTGTGGTGCATTTGAGTGCATAAGACAGTAAAGGTTCAAGGTACAAGTTATAAAAGAATTTCATTTATGTTTTTTTTTTTTTGCTTTTTGTATAGGGCTGTATGAAGAACATCGCAGATATTTAGAAGCTGAAGGCCACACCTTACCAAGGAATCATAGTGCTGCAGAGCTTTCTTTAATGTCACCACTTGAAAGGAGTAGAAGTTTGAGCTGCGGTAAGACCCCTTCTATTTTATTTTAATCCACATCGTCAAAATTTATATTTACTTCTCAATTTTTAAAGCAGTGTATAAAGCTATTTAATAAAAACATTTCTTTATTTTAAAAGGAGAACAATCTACTTTAGACATCTCAGCCCTTGAGGATGACATGTTAAAAGAGCAAGCTTCTTCTGTATGGTGCATGGCTAGCATGCATGGTCTAATAGTCACAGGGTGTGGCAATGGACATATTGAAATGTGGGATGCTGAAACCGGTGAATTACGCTTTTACCATGGCACCAATGACATTGGTATAACAGGGCTTTGTGTGGTTGGCAACAGGTCAGTTTTCACTTAGTTTACTTTTGCTTATTTGGTTTCTTATGTAATAACATTAAAGTAAGCATGTTATCTGTTCAAACTTGACTTTCCATGAGGCAGGTTAAGTAGAATTCACATGTATCTGTGACCTCAGCATAGAAGGGATAGTGTGATCAGCATTATGTCTTGCTGCCTTAACATGGGTCAGGTACCCATCAGAGCTGGGTGGACTCAGGGATGTCTGATTTGAGCCTGGGATCCGTCTCAATGCTGTCAGGGTATCAACAGTGTGCTTTACCTAATGACCACACCATCCCATATTTTCTTATATATGACATTTTATATTTTTTCATATTTAGTTTCTTATAAGGTGAAAATTATGGAAATTATAAATATTTCTTTTGAATCTAATGATATAAAAAATGAAGCAAACTACACAAACACAAATGCTCATTTCTGTCGGTATGTATATCTTGTGCTTTGGCATTAATAAAGATTGTTGTCCATTATACAATACCCAACTGCCTTTTCTCTCATGACATGATCCCATATTTTTTCTAGGATTGTTGCAGCCAAGCTTGATGGGACGTTAGACTTCTTGGAGATTGAAACATTCCATAATCCAATCATGACACCTTCACCAGTGCCTCTAAATTCACCTCGTCAAAATAGAGGTACTAATTAAGTTAACGGAAGTCTGAATGTTATTGTGTCTATTTTTTTAAAATAGAGCTATAGGTTTTACTAAAGCACTTTGAGAATTTTTACTCAACAAATGGTTTAGTTTTGTAAGACGTATGTTAAATGTAGAACTGAGACTGTAAGAAGTAAAAGGCTTGTTTTTTGTTTTTTTAAATAAATGTTTTTATTAGCTACATACTTGTTAGTAGGCCTTTCAAGAAATTATATATGCATACACATTTTTGAGCTTAATAAAAAAAAACTGCCATTTTTCTTATTCTGATCAAAGTAAAAGAATTGCAATCTGTAGACTAGTTTCGAATGTGATATCACTGATCAGAGGATAAAACAAAAAAGAATTGTCATAATGGAAATGCAGCTTTTAGATAATATAAAAAGGGGGGGAAATAAGTGAATACTTATTCTAATCATAGATATATTTGTAGGTCATTCACGAAGCAGTAGCACTGGTGTTGAAAATCTCACATCATATAACGAGGTCATTAGGTGTGCAGGTGTAACGACATGTCGAGCGCATCAATTACCTATCAATGTGATCCAGTGTGCAGGAGGTAGGATAGTCACTGCCAGTCAGGACCACACTTTGAAGGTCAGTGGGTTTTTCTTTATTTATTTCTTACATTCAGTAAATCAGATGCTGTTTAAAAAAATACACACTAAAAATGTTGTAAACCAAATGATTACATTTTAATTTTCTAATTATTCTAAAAAAGACTAAAATGACCCATCAGAAATCTATATTAACATCAGTTTCATTTATTTACAAATATTGTTTTTTAACCTGATATAGTATATTTCAGTGTTGACAATTGTAACTATTACTGTTACAGGTGTTTAGACTGGACAATGCCCTGTGTCTGTACACCTTGCATGGCCATGAAGCCAGTGTCACAGCCTTGTGTTTAGACCAGGTTGCTCCTTTTGCTGCTGTCAGTGGGTCCTTAGATGGCACCATCCGCATGTGGGACCCCCTGACAGGGACCTGCATACACAAGTTTACCTGGCATAAAGCTACTGTCACCACCATCTCCACCTCACCCTTGTACATCGTCAGTGTGGGGATGGATGATAGGATGTGCGTCTGGGATAGAACCAAATCCTCATTGCTTCATAAAATTGACTTGGTAAATAATATGAAGAAAGCATTAATTATTGTAAATTTCTAATTAGTTGAATATGATAATGGAATTATGTATTTCTTAGGTTAGATTAACTGGAAATATAGCTTTTTATGAAATTTCTGTTTTTTTTTTGTTAGCTTTTTGTGATGTTTTTTTGTTTTATTGATTGTTTTAGCCTCATATCAGTTCCTGATTTCTTTATTGTTTATTTATCACAGGACTCAGGGGGTATTGGAAGTGCAGCTTTGATGTGCAGAAATCGGATGGTCACTGGAGGACAGGTATTACAATCATTAACTTCATCAGAATAAACTTTTTATGTAGAAACTTCAATTGTGAAAGATCAAACATTTAAGTATTAACATTATAAATTCACCTTTTTAGGGCAGCATCTCATTGTGGGACATTCCGCGAGGATCTCTGATAAGGAAAGTGGTGTTTGCTGATAGTGAGCTGCGGGCCTTTGTCAACCATGTTGTAGCTGTTGCCAATAATGGGGTTGTGTGCGACCAGGGACAGGACCTGAAGGTTGTTTTCTTCCCTACAATTTTGGAGAAAGCCGAATGATGCTGGAACTCTGGAACTTGCATCTATGGACTCACCCAGACACCTGAACACTCAAAGTGTCTATGACTTAAAATACTGGTTTGAATTAAATTATGGTAGTTTGAAGGTTTGCTAATTGTTGTTAATGTTATATCAAAGAATTGCTTTAACACCATACTGATTCCATCTTTCATTATTTGTATGTCAAAGAACTTGGGCATTACAATTTTACCAAGATAGAATTAATTACTTCTATTGAAACTCTGCAAGATGTTCACTCATCAAGCATGTTGTTATTTAAGTTCGTTAACTCTTGGCCAAATGTTTTGATATGGAATACTAAACCTTTCAGTGTGGTGTTTTGAACATAGCTGTATTTTATTAATTTGGAATAATGTATTTACTTAGAATCTTATTTTTCACTCAATTGATCTAACCATCTAACAATTATACCTGGGTTTAGTAATTTCAATCAGTGATATATTTGTATAAACAATTAAACACTAGTTTATTAAGCATGCATTATTTTTATATGATAATTCATAATTGAAGCAGAAATTTTTAGTATATTTTGCATTCTGCATTTAGGCTTGCAATGCATATCATTGTCAATGATTTATGGAATTTGTTGAAATAAGAAAATGTCATAAAATCTAATATCCAATTTTGTTGTAAACCTTACTAACCTTATTTTTATATTAACTAAAACTTAACTAATAATCTATGTGGTCAGTATTAATTTCAGTTATAATTTTGCAATGTTTAAAATTATGTATACCCTGTAAATATTGTATTGCAGGTTTGATTTTTTTTTACAATTGCCTTAAAATTTAAAATATTTACAATATGCTTAAATGAATTTAAAGTGTAGCATCATCATTGACAAACTGCACTTTAAGAACAAATGCTTGTTTCAATGTTACAAATGTGCTAAAATATTTATTAAAACATGCAAAGTTATATTTATTGCAATTTTTGTATGATGTGATTGAATATTTTTACTATTTTTTACAGATCTTAGTTTAATTCTGAAAAATATGTAAAAATTTATTGTGTATAATTAGTGAAAAAGTAAAACTATCCTTATTTTTAATACAATCAAAAAAGTTAACATTCATGATTTTTTTTTTTTTAAAGTGATTTGTCAATAGCAATTTTCAACAAAAAAGTTGTTTTTAAATGTTGTTTCAAACCATTCCTGTTACTTTTTGTTAAATTAGTCCTGCTAGCTTTGTTTGTCATAATATTTATATATATTTTTAAGATTGATGTTATATTCTTTGCTTTCATGTGATTTGTATGCACTAGTAATGCAATTGTGTATTCATTTGTTGGTGACAAAACTGCACTCTCATTTTGTTTACAGAAATTTGTTTTATTTAGATTCAAATATTTTGGCCCATATTGGCTGTAAATGGTTGCAGAAGATTAAAGGTGCTGTTAAGATGAATGAGTAGAAAGTGAGAAGTGCTTAACCTATCTGTACTGTGTGTTCTCTAGATTATGTTATTGACATTTGATAAATTTGTGTTTTAAATGCAACAATGATCTCAGATGTAGATTTGTCCAGTTTTTTGTGTGCAATTGGATCACATTTGACCAAAAGTCATACCAGTTAGTTTTTATTTCATCACTTTTGGTACATCTTAGCACATTCATTTAAATGTCATGTTAACATTGTTTTTAAACAGTGATTTTCAACCTTATGGTAGCTGGCCTTCCTTAATAAAAGTTTATAATGAAGCTTATTATGGCTTATGAGGCTTTCATATTGTTAGAGCTAACACATTTTGTGATTTGTTTAAAAAAATAGAGCTACATCTTATCAGGTATAAATAGCGTGTTTATCTGTTCTAAGCTTTCAAGGATTTTCACACACAGCTTTCACTTATCTTGTACTTTCAAATCATCTTTTTAAGCTGCTTTATTTAAGTTGTGAATTTATATCATTTGGTACAGCATTTTTATGATAAAGATTTTTTAAATCTGTAAATAAAGAACCAAAAATTATTTGATTTCTGAATTTTATTTTATGGTTAATGGCACAACAATGGTTTTCACATAGACATAAAAGAAAGTAACAAGAAAATTTTAAAAAATAAATGTAAGTAGTTCAAGTACTCATAGCTGATCAATTTCATTTTGAAGAACATCCATATCATATTGTAACGCCTGCATTTCATGTAAAATCTGATTGTCATCAGATGCTTCGCTGCTCTCAACAGAACTAGGAAAGTCTAATTCAGGCACAACTTGGGCTTTTTCTTCTGTAATGGATCAAGCACTGTACTAAATAGTGTGATATAAATTCTGGTTTTATGACACACTGGTTGATTGCAAACTTTTCAGTTTTTAACCTCCAGTTACATCTCCATTCATTTCAGGATCAGCTATAAGTGGCAGTAATACTTTCAGGTATTTGTTTTTTATCTTACACTATAAGAAGAATTTTAATGGCCTAAAAATAAATAGCTGTGACAAAAAATTTAACACTAACATATTGCTAATCCTGCAATGAACTCACACAAAAATATTCCTATGTTATTAAAAAATAGGCAGGAGTGATCTCCCCTAAACTTTCTCGAATATACTTAACCCGTCACTAAATAGCGGCGGGTTGACTCGTTTAAGACTTCCTGAAAGACGCAGTTGTCCAAATGGGGTGGGTAGGTACACACTGTTGCACATGCCTGGAGGCCAGGGTGGGGGCAGGAGGAGGGTTAGAAAGTCTGCGTGGTGTCCCACATGGTTGGGCGAAGTAGAGAGTTATATTTATAGATAACACTACGGTGGATAGCAACCTAGGATACAGACATGATTTTTAATCTTTTTAATTACTTAAACCTTTTTTAAAATATAAGAGAATCTCATAGAATAAAGAATTGTGCACTAAGTGAACAGTAAACAATGTGTGTATAATAGTGCAGAATATTGGTACTATAAAAAGTGCAGAATATTGGTAATTTAAAAATTCATATGCGTTTTTCGAGAAATCGGAAATAATGTAAAGTATTAATTACGGTCACCGGAAATTAATCAAAATTTGAAAAAGGCAGAGAATTAGATCTTTTACTTATATTTTGTCTATCTGAAACAGTACTCAAAATATAAGCTTTTGAAAAACCATAATAAGTTCCACTTCCAAAAACAAATATCGCTGAAAAGTTGATATAGATTTACAAATTTTATATAATACTTATATATGAAATTTCATCAACCTAGCTGTAACGGTACTCAAGTTATCATGTTCACAGACACACATCTGCACAGACACACACAGACATATGGACAAAATTGCAAAACTATGTTTTTCCAACTCAGAGATGTTTCACAAATCTCTTTTTTGCACGACTACAATACTTCTTTTACGAGAAAGTATAAAAACTTTCAAGTGTGTGGTTTTCAATGTCATATAAAATGATAGTACTAAATGAAAATAATAATAACTACCTGGTTCTGCTGCTATTCCTTTATCTGATCCTGTCACATCCATCTCAAGTGGAGACCCATAGTTGGACCAATCATGCCCAGAGATTAGTTGTTGATTAGTCTCTAATACAGGCACAAGTCTGTCTGGTTGATGAACACAGAAAAACTATGAAACTATTTTTTTTTCAAAATAAATATGTTTTGAATCATTTAAAATGATGTTATTTCAGATTACAACATAGCTAGATGTATTAAAAAACATAGACCATCACTTTGATACCCTCATTATCAGCATCCTCTCCATTCTCCAAGGATTTTAGAATTTTATCCAGCTCATCTAAGTGTTTGAGGACATCTAGGTGAAAGGTGAATGAATATATGTTAAAAATTTTAACATTATGACTTAACTTCCTATTAACGTTAATTATAGATAGCAAAAAACTTTCATGATTCACATTTACAATTGTTAATGAAATTTGAGCCTTAAAATTCTGAAATATCTGTCTTAAAATTTTGTCCCAATGTACAAAATAATTGTATCTGCCCTATTCAATCAACTTAAAAAAAAGTTAATCTCAGAAGGATCAAAATAATAAAATTACTTAGAAATGACCCTCTTCCCACTCTTCCCATTAGCTATCCACTGATAATTAATTACTGTTACCTGGGCTATCAAACTCTTCTTCTCCTGTGGAAAACCTGTCCTCACTACAAGATGTGTGCTTGAATACCACTTCTGTGCACTTTTGTTTAGAAGAGCTAGCTAGCTCTTGCACAATAAAACTATAGTCTTGTCCATTAACATAAAGCTCATATGGATAGAGATTTCTGGATGGGAGAAAATAATACAACTCATTAGAGAACTTTTTATTTGATAAGCTAATTGCAGCCAATCACATAAATTAAAGCAATATCATGCACATTCACACCCTATTGTAATAAAAAAAAAATTACAAAAACTATTTTATGAAGAATACAAAAAATAATAATCAAAAAGCAAAATGTTTTACAATATTTATTAAAATAATAATTAAAATTAAGCTTGGTTAAATACTAGATAAATGAATTTGGACATGTGTTATTAAAATTAAACTTGCAGGCATTTTTTTTTACCTTTTATAAAACCTTTTTGCCAAGGAACCTCCTTGTTTATTGGGTTGCTGCACAACCTCCATATATACAGAATGCCACAGGTGCCTTTCACACACCTAAGTACACATGAATTATTTAGTTTACCTTTTAGACAACTTATAACATGATTCTGCCATGCATAAAATGGCAGTAACTTCAGAGTTTTAATGATTGAGATACCAAAAAAGTTTCTAAATATTTAAAGAAAACATTTAATGAAATTAAGATTTGAAATTTAAAGAAATACTAACTTGGCTATAACCTCCACGCTCATGGACTGCTAGATAAAGACTAAATATACTGACTTCCATTTTCTGCCAGATTGGAGCTAAGGCTAATTTCAAGCCATTACGTGACATGAATCTGATAACATCGTGTTCAAACAGGCGCTGATTTCTTGTGTACATCTAACATGAGCAACAGGTATAATTAACACAAAGTTATGCAATGTGAAGTTAATTCTTACATTACTTTACAAAAGAAATCTAACCTCTAAGTCTAGAATGAACCTCTCTTCCTTTGATACATCCAGTAGTGATGTGGGAAAGTCTAAACACTGTAGTTCTCTTCTTGCACTGTGGTTGTTATTTTCTTTAATAGGTTTTTTAGAATGTTGCTTCAATTTTTTATTTTCTTCATTCAGTTCAATTCCTTGAAACTTTCTGTTTTGATTTTTAATTGGTTCATTCCTTAATTCTTGATGTTTTGATTTGATAGTCTCTTTAAAACAGTTTTTCTTGAAAGAGTTGTCTAAAAAGTAATTTTAAAATACTACAATGTTCTGCAGCTTTAGCAATCCTAACAGTAAACACAAATAACTTTTTGTTTTTGATGTTAAAAATAACCATGTTTTAATAAAAAAGATCATACATTTATTAGGAAATTGTTAGCAATTTCAATACAACTTGAAAATTATATCCCAACATTTATTAAGTATAACACAGCTACTGAAAAACAATGTTTTTAAACTGTTTTTAAACAATGCCTAACATTTTTTATATTTTAGAAGAAAGCTAAAACAAATAGTACTAATTTAAGGAAAAAAAATTATTTTTAAAAAGAATGATTGTTGCCAAATTTTAAACTGAAATCTTTCAGCCTCTAGCTTAACCATAGGGGATGACATAATACATAATTAAAAACACAAAAACATAGTAGCTACTAAGAAATCATATGAATTTTCTCAGACATCTGTTCTAACCCTAAGAGGCATAGAAACCTCACTATTGAGAATACACATTGATATGTAATTCTAAATTCCTCCTCAACAGTTGTCAGTATGTGTCAGCTTCATTACCTGCAGGGTTAAAATTTTCACTGGTAAACCAGCAAGTTTTTAATCTATCCTCTAATGAAAGTGGCAGCAAAATCAAAGCTTCTTTAATGGACTCATGCACTGTGTAACCACCCTTGTATGTGTCTTTATCTTTCTCCTTTACTCTAGCTGGAAGACCAAATCTTTTTTGTCTCTTTGATTTTTTCTAATAGATTAAAAAATGTAGATATTTTAATTAAGAGTATATTATAATCGAGCTGCTCTATCTATAAAACTAAAACTCAGCAATGTTTACACATTTGTAGAATTAAGTACTTGTCAGAGTGGAGTCCATGACTAAAATGTGCATGTAAAGCTTAAATAACAAAGACCTTGGGAAGCCTGGGTTGCTTTTCTTCCTGTATAAGGTGTGTGTTTCCTGGCCCAAAAACCTCAGTGCTTTTGGCACCAACCCAAGCATGTGTCCTCTCTCCACCCACAAACTCTACATGATACCACAAGATTTCAATTCCATCTCCATCAAAATGAAGCCCATTGGCAGGATCAGCACTTATAATGGCTGGCCACCTAGAGGAAAAACAATATAATTAGTTACACCATCAGTTTTGTAATGAGTTGACTAAGTTTCAAAGCTCACATAATTGAGAAGAAAGAGGTACCTGCAATAGCCTTTAGTCTTGGCCCAAACTAATGTGCCAGGCTTTAGCTCTGACTTAATTACATCCAACTTCACACGTTTTGCCAATTTATCAAAAGCAGTGGTACTCTCTTCAGGGTATGTGCAGCTTCAAACAAAATTATAATTCAACGGTATATTAAAGGTATATCAAAGGTATAGAATTATAAACACAATAAAACTATCAGTAATGATGTTTAATTGGTTTTAAATGTTTTGTTCTGAAGATTTTAATAAAGTATTTAATGTTTTATTTTCCATTATTTATGAGATTCACCTATTAAAACTTTTGTCATCATTCATGTTACATGTCCAGTGGGTTTCTTCTGTAATGTTGTTGGCAACTTCGCTTCGAAGTTTTCTCCATTTAAGGCAATCTGGATTATCACATTGCACCCAAACTACTGATGAAAGCTTTTTTTAAAGATAAATAAAATTATATTGTTATAATAGCCTGCATTAAATTTGAGTTAATAAAAATTGTACAAAGGTTGAGTACAGTAATACCACTGTTCCACAGCACAGAGGCGTCACGAGGCGGGGGGGGGGGGGGTGCGGACCGCAACGGATGACACCATTTAAGGGGGTGACCCCCATGGCAAAAAATTTCAAAAATTTATAGATGATATTTTCTTTTTAATGATTCTTCAACTAATGATTAATTATAGTTAATCCACCTGTATTAATATCTGAGCCTGTATTAATATCTGACTATAGATAAGCATCTTTACTGTTAACTGTGCACACTTAAAACTATCATCCGGGAGATGGGTGTGTGTGACACCAACTGCAAAATTTACAGAGAAAAGAAGTTTTTGCTGAGTATTTCAGCAACTGAGTGCGTTTACAGCCATAGTCAACTTTATAGTAAATGGCTTTGCTTCTAACTGTAGGGAGTAACAATAGTGAAACAATTTAATGTATTCAGGGCAGGAGAAATTCCATTGATGTTATTGTCTATGGGAGGGAGAGCTGCAAGGTGATACAACAGGTTCATGGGATTAACAAGTAACAGTAAAACCTCTGTGATGACACATGTAGTGTTTTGTACTATTTTCTGGAGCTTTGACTTTAACATGAAGATACATCAGGTTTATGAACTACAGCAGTAGAAATGCATCTGCCAAACCTTGTCAAGTAATTTACTAAAACAGGGGTTAAACCATACTTCAGTGTGAGGTGCAATTAAATTATTAGCACAGGGTATCAGTTTGAGCACTCAGCTATTCCTAGATATGATATGTATATTCTTTAAGTAATACAAATAAAGTTACTGAAAGTAAACATTACACCACATTTCAGTATATCTATATATATATATGTATAGGTATATGTACACATATATTCATATTATACACATTGAAAACATTTTAAACCTCTTCCGTTATTCCTGGCTACACTTACATTTTTCCGAAGGATTAAGTCATCATCAGATACAGTTGAGTTAGCAGATCTCCTTAAAGAAGCCTCGTCTGGTTGCTTAACACAACTTATTCTTTGTAAATTACGTGGACGAAGAATTCTCGCATCCATAATCTGTTCGTCAAATCATAATTTAATACTTACTAGTCAGGTTCACAACAGAAGCTGATTAAATATCAAAAGAATTCATACATATTTAAACCAAGCCTATTTATAAATGTAACTAGAATAATAAACTATTCATCAATTTCTAATAATAATCTGTTCCAATAATATTATTCAAAGGTAACCAATACTCTCACCCACCCAATCCAAAAAAATCAGCTATTAAATCAACTATCATAATTTTATGTTATTAAAGTCGTTTTAAACATAATTGAATTAATTTTCCTTTTGTATCTTACTACCATTACAAATACTATTGATCAATGGGTCTTTTGGAATATCATCACATGAAAAGTATTTTTACTATCAGTGACCAGAAAATGTGTAAAAATGTGATGGGCAAATATGCACAAACAGAAAAATGTGTACACAGAAAAGTGAACCTGCAAAGAAATGCGCACACAGAAATATGCGCACACAGAAACGTGTGCTCACAGAAAAATGTACACATAATAAAATTGCAAACACAGAAAATTCGACACACATAGCTACTAAAATATACAGATATGGAACTAAAATATATCTGTTTGTGTATGAACAGTGACACATATGTCATGCATAAACACACACACATTGCTATAATCTTCATAGTTACATGTGTTTTATTCAATACAAAACACGATCTGACGCAATGTTCAGTACTTTATTAGCATCATTCAATTTACCAGAACCACCTAAGTACTGTCCCCATCACTTTTTGATGACATTGCATGGTCCTGCCCATTTTAGTTCTAATTAGTTCAATAATTGGGGTTTCAGTATCAATAGGCCTGCATGACTTTGATATCTTTGGTTGCTGATGAACTATTATTGTAATTCTTTGCTTTTTCTTCCCAACATTCTGATTTTCTGGTTGCATACCTGCATGCTGTTTGCAAAGGCTGCTTAAGTAAGGTCCAACAGCTATAGTTTATATTCCCTCTCCTCCCCAATGAGGATAGACCAGTTGTTGCAGGTGTGTTATATTCAATACAAAACCCGATCTGAGGCAATGTTCAGGACTTTATTTGTTCTCGTCTTAATGTATTCCACTACATTCCCTTGCTGCTACCAACAATCTCCTAACAATAATTCAATCTGCTTTTATACCTGCATTTGAACTTGTGATAACAAACAACACAAATATCCTGTGCTAACTCAAGTCACACTTCTTCTAAGTTCTAGACAAACCTCTGAATGACCGGTAATACTCATTACTGGGCTATCTGAGTGGCATTTTCTGTTTAAGCAATTCTTTTATTAGTGCATTTTTCTGTTTGTGCTTTGTGTGTGTGTTTGTAGTTTTCTGTGTGCGCATTTTTCTGTGAATGCAATTTTCTAGTTGCACAATTTCCTGTGTGTCCATGACAATTTTTCAGTTGTGTAGATTTCTGTGTGCTTTTTAAGCACTTTTTTCTGAGAACCATAGATATCTGCCTATAACATAATAATAGGCCTAGATGTGCCTATAATAAAATATAATTAATTAGGCCAATAGACTTCATGAGCCTATAATAAAATACAATTAATTAGGCCAATAGACTTTGATTATTTCTTAGATCTAGATTAGAGCTAAGTTGTGGTTTCAAAGGTTTTTAAGTTTATAGGCCAGTAGGCCTTTTGGATTGTTATTAACTTATTAGAAAATCTGGGTGTGGGACAAAAGGCCGACATCGAAAAGGCAGACAAGACATAAGGCCGACACAGACAAAAGGCAGACAGCCATAAGGCAGACAGCCATAAGGCAGACAGCCATAAGGCAGACAGCCATAAGGCCAACAGACCATAAGGCCGACAAACCATAAGGCAGACAAGCATAAAAATACTAATATCGCAAAATATGTGTTACTGCATAGCTCCTACGTTGACAGCCATCAAAATAAGGTATGAAAAAAGGTGAAACATTCAAGAGAAGAGATGGTGCAAGTTGCTATCCTTATAAGGTGAACCATCGGGTCAAGCGACTGGAGATTACAGGTGTGTCTTAAATACAAATAGCAACAACTAAATATTGCAAAATGCTGTCACTGCTGTCTTTCATAGCTCCTTCTATGTAATTGAGGTGAGATAATCATCAAAGAACCAAGTCAAAAGCCGCAGGCATCAATGCCCACAATAAGGTGGAACGCCAAGAGACAATGCTAGTTGCGATCATTATAAGGTGAACAATAGGGTCCATGCGACTAGGGATGATGGGAGTGTACAAAGGATAAACAGATAGGTGGCGTTACCACCATATTTCGCAAAGAAATCAAAGAAACCGAATGAAGTAGAACATTCGCGTGCCTTGACTACACTACATGTTAAATACAGATAAAATTTAAATTATTTTTTAGATTTGTCCATTGCAAATTGCATTAAAAAAAATGTATATTATATTTGTAGGATTCATTAATTCTGCTGTGATTGTGATACAAGTGTGCCGAAATTGGTACGTTATTTTTTGTTTTTTGTGTAAACATACCCCTGTGATTTCCCTACATATGGACCAATATATCTGCAACAAATAATTAGTTACATCGTGTGTTTTATTTTATCCTATTGTATGTACCTAAGAATATTTATTAGAAACTTAAAAAGTCGTATATAATTACATATTTTAGATATTAAACATGCCTATAATTGTAGTTTGTTATTTATAAAACTTGTCTGCCTTTTGTCTTGTTGGCCTTTTGGATGTCGTCCTTTTGGCAGTCGGCCTTTTGTCTTGTCGGCCTTTAGTCTTTTGGCAGTCGGCCTTTTTTTCCATGTCGGCCCTTTGTCCATGTCGGCCTTTTGTCCATGTTGGCCTTTTGTCCGGATCCCAGAAAATCTAGACTAGTAGGCCTACTAGATCTGTTCTAGTTCTAGTAGCAGCAAGTAGATCTACTAATATTCTAGAATACATCTAGATCTAGTAGTAAAAACTTAAGCTAGATCTAGATTCTAGTAGTGTATGCTAATAATAAATTATCAATGGACCGAACCAGGATTTCTTTCAGAAATTCTTTAAACTTCTGAGATCAGGGGAGGGGGGGGGGGGGGGGGGCTTGCATCTTTGAGAGGTGGGACTAGACAGAGGATTGAACTATTAAGGCCTATATAAATATATAGCCTATCTCTTATGCTATATTTTCTATCTATAGGCCTAAAGTCTTAGTTTAAATATATTTTTTACTATTATTTTGTCCTGGGGGGTGAGGGAGGTGTGGGTATGGATATGCTCTTGGGGAAAGTGCCCCCATGTTCTTCCCCAAGAACACTGGGCTGCACTCAAGCAAGCCACGGGAGACCCACTCTCAAAAGTTTAAAGTAGGCCTCTAGAATCTAGATGAAGATCTATCGACAGGTCAGGTAGTATTCTTGTCAACTAGATCTAGACTAGATCTAGATTCTAGAATCTAAAGGTTATAGATCTATAATAATCTGCAATTAATCTTAAATAAGTTAAAAGTTAAACTGCAACAAACAAATTGAATTATTATTAAATCTTATTTGACATCTAGAATCTAGATTTTACAGATGATTTTAGATACTGATGTCCGATAATAGACTCTTCCATAAAATAGGTGTGTTGGGTTATTAGTAGTATTGTAATCTCGACTAATTTTATGGTTAGAAATTAGGATTAGGCTTATGGTAGGACTAGGGTTGGGGTTAGGGACAGGGTTAGTGACATTAGGCAGCAATGTGTGTATTTAGTCATTAGTTAACTACCAGTAACCTAACACCCCTTTTTTAAAGAAGATTCTATTATTGGACAATGGTATAAAAATTCCCCAGATTTTACAAGCTAATCTGTTATTATTATTATTAATTTTATTATTTGTATTAATTATATTATCATATTGAGACACATTGTGGATATTAATTAAATAAAATTAAGACTTGTGAGATATGATGACTACCTTATTTATTCTAGTGCCAGTGGTCTTTTAATTTATTGATTTTTTTATTAGACTCTATTCACTATATTCCTGGGGGGGGGGGGGGGGGGGGGGGGGGGGGGTGGAGTATGAGTAATGAGTAAAATCACAAGATAGCGTTGGTTATTATTCTGGAATTGTACAGCAGTAAAAAAAACAGTAAAACCGTGGCGTAATCTGTCGAGCAGTTCCGGTAAAAAAATTATACTGTAAACCATCATTTATTGGCCACCATATTATTTTTAATACATAATGTTTAGAAATGTGCATGGATTGATTTTAGTTGCATTTAATACTGTTTTGCTAATAATTTTGTATTTTTAATTATTTTAAGAGTATGTGCTAATTATTGCTGCTACTAAACATTTGTTCTAATTCTTCTTACTACTTTTATAACTTTAGTAAATCTTATCATCCTATTTTTACGACATCTAGAATAATCTAGATCATAGATCTTGCTGTTTCAAAATCTTCTGCAAGTTTTTTTCTGGTTTCTTAAAAAAAGCATTAATTACTACACTCGACTTTATTTTACTAAATTAGATTTACTTTAGATTTACTAATTGTCGCTTTTTTTTGTCAATTAAACTTTACATTAAGTGAAAACATTAATAAATGCACTTGACTTTATTTTTTATTTCAACTGTCAAATAAGCTATGGTTTACATTACAGTAACAAATGTTACAGAAACCCAACAAACATTACCAGATAATTTCTGACACTATATAGAATAGATCGGTAATCTATCGTTTTGGGTACGTAAAATCGCCCGCGGCTATTTATGTACGAAAACGTTACCTCATTGTCAAGGCTTTAATACTACTTTAATAGAATTATATTGTCATATGTTTGTGTCAAATATTATAGATAAATGAATAATAAACCTAAATCAATGGCTAAATATATCGATATAGGCCAGAAATTAACTATAAACAGCAGTGTCTGAGAGCAAGATTTGCTATATAAACAGCAGCCATTTGTAAAATAGAGTGGCTTCCCCCTGAATCTGGCGCTAAAAGCTTATGAAAATAAAACTTAGACAAGATGGCTGCTGTAGTAAATGAGCATGGTTGCATCTGTTGGAAACATCGCTAGTCTTCATTAATTACGGCAAAGTTTTAATTCAATTGTTTAAAAACAGGTACATAAATGAATCAAGGAAACATTTTTGAATTTTTTAAAACATAAATCCTCCTCAAAATGTGAAATAATTATTAAAATTTAAGAAGTCACCTGTTTTTCACATTACAAATCGCGGGCGATTTTACGTACCCAAAACGATAGATTACCAATAGATCTATATATCGTGAGATTACCAAGCAAAAGCATGTTTTCTATAAAAATTCCATTTCGTTCGGGGGGGGGGGGGGGGGGGAGGGGCTGTAGACCCTCTACTGGGGGAGGGCAGAGCACACCCCCAACCCCCTCTCCCACACCCCAAAAAGATGCCTGGAAGAAACTCTGTTCACTAGACAACTAGGTTACTAGTCCGAGTGAGTAGTGAGTGACTATGCAGATGTACTGATGTATATCTATTCTTATTCTAGATCTACTTAATAGTTTTTAATACTACTTAAAAATAAGGTGTTAACATAGATCTAGAATAAAGATCTAGACTCTAATTATTAATTAACTATTAATTAACTTTGTACACTAGATTTCTACCGTTGTCTTTTACTTTTTTAGTCAGTGCAACTCAAAAACTATCACTAAGAGTATCAGACGTTATTAATATTATTATTAAAATTAAAATAAAATAAAAATTAATTCACAAATAGTCAAATACTGAAGCTCGATTTAGATCTAGATCTTGAAATTTAGATATCTAGATCTAGATTTCTATTCTTAGGACCATATCAAGATTCTAGATCTAATCTAGATCTAGAATCTAGATCTCTAGATTCTAGGTCCATCATAATAAATAATAAGATTTTTTTTTTAAATTAAAATTAAACAGGTTACGGGAAGAAACTTAAGTTCAAGAGTTGCCAGAACAAAAGAACTCAAAGTTGCCATAAACCCTAATCAAAATTATTACAAAAGTAAGCTTACCTTGACTTAAGAGCGTCCTAGCCTAACATTTCATTATAGAGATTTTTAAAAATACCTGCCGTCGAGCGAGCGAAGTAGTATTGCTTTGAAATACGAGAACTATTTGAAATACGATTGTTTTCTTCTTAATGTCCTGCGGGCAGTGTCGGAACTAGACAAAAAATGGCCACCCCGCAAAAAAAAATGTTTGCCCCCCCTATATATATATACATATATATATATATACATATATATACATATATATATATATATATATATATATATATATATATATATATATATATATGTGTATATATGTATATATATATATATATATGTGTATATATGTATATATATATATATATATATATATATATGTATATATATATATATATATATATATATATATATATATATATATATATACATACATATATACACATATATATATATACACATATATATATATATACACATAAATATATACATATATATATATATATATATACACATAAATATACATATATACATATACATATACATATACATATATACATATACATTTACATATATACATATACATACACATATATACATACGCATATATATATACGCATATATACATATGCATATATACATACGCATATATACATATGCATATATACATACGCATATATACATACGCATATATACATACGCATATATACATACGCATATATACATACGCATAAATACATACACATAAATACATACGCATATATACATACGCATATATACAGATACATATACAGATATATACCTATACCTATACCTATACCTATACATATACATATATACATATATACATATATACATATACATACGCATATATACACACGCATATATACACACGCATATATATACATGCATATATACACATGCATATATACATACGCATATATATATCTCACACAACAGCATGTGTTTGATTGTAGGAGAAATTGGACTCGGCTTTCACAGTGGTTTAAAAACAAAGGGAAAAAGAATATACAAGAGCGTCGTATGGTGTCTATAGAATAAAGATAATCCAACTGCAGCTACAGTAATCTTTTTACAAAACAACTATAAAAAAAAACTTTAAAAAATATTAAGGTCAGCTGTGGGCCCCTAACTGGCGTGGGGTCTATGCCGCCGCTGCCTGAAGTGTAGCATTAAGAATTTAATATATAAAGCCTATATAAATAGTCTGCCTATATATATATATATATATATATATATATATGTATATGTATATATATATGTATATACATAACGCCTATACTATGTTTTCCTAATGTGTCGTTACCCAGTAGTTTGGTCACCGATTATATGTTGTAATGATGCGGAGAACATCCTGACACATATTAAAGCTCTTGAAGTTGTGTGAGAATATTAATTTGATTATCTTTTTCTTCTTAAAAATAATAAATTTTTGTTTTTAAACAAGTCTCTAGATTCTAAAAACACTCGAGGGGCGGGGGGGGGGGGGGGGGTGACCTTAGGGTCATATCCTTTGTTACCTTGTTGTTAGACAACTGTCTACATCTCCACCAGCATCTTCATTTATCATTTAAGCTTAAGTCAGATGATTTCCAAGTAAAATAGCCTACACTGTGTAAAAACAGTTTATTTCTTCACATCCTCTTGTATTATGTTTTTATTAGAAAAATACATTTTTCAGTTCTTGTTCAAAAACACCTAACAAAAGCTAATGGGGTGGTATTTGGGGATGCAAGGATTAATGGCATTTCGATTAATTTCAACGTGGGAAAACTACTAGGAGATAAGAGCAAATTAACATACAAGCAAGGTTACTGATCAAATTAAATTCGTATTTTAGAGTTACCCGTGTAGGGCTATATTAATTATTAAAATTTTCTTTTCAATAACAGAAGAGTCTTAGAGCTTATTCGGTGGATTGTCTTTTTTCAAGTATTCATCTGTTTCTTATAATAATATGTAATTTTTCATTAGAAACAGAAGCATGCACTCAGCTGTGTCCTGCAACTTAAGATGGGTTAAAAAAGGTATGCTTATATTGACTTTGATGTTTTTAGTTTAAAATAAAAATCTATTTGCTTTTGAAAATAGGTGAGATACCTATTACCTATTGTAATGCTAAAGCTTGATGTGTCTAGTTTATTTTCTTTGATTTGGTACTTTGCAATGTTTCTGATCAAAGCAGCTTCGACGAAGTTTTGTTTTATTGTTTTTAACTCAAGTAAAAAAGATAATAAAAAAAAACAAAATAATTATATGTATTTATTCATTAATTCATATAAAAATATGCATAATAATATGTATGGATTACATGAGTCTGATCCTGTAATAACAAGTGCATCAATATTACAAAAACAATTTAAGGATTTACCTTGACAAAAAAAAGTCCTTCAATTCAAAATTTAAGGCAATTATGATTACACATTCCTATATGTTACAGTTTATAAAAATTTAACAAAACTATTTATAATAAAACTTATTTTTTTTAAATCTATCTCTAAAAATTGAACATTGTTATAAATAAAATGTAATTATAATGTATTAAACAAAAAGCAGAAAAATTCTTTAGACTTTGACTTGCAAAGGTAAAAGAGTAAACATAGTCCAGTCCTGCTGGAGAAACATCAATGATTACTTTTTTTCATACCTAATTTTAAAAAAAAAATGTTTGAAAATAATTCATATTTTTGCTATAGGTTCACAATAATATTGTTTTAAATTATTTCCTAAAATCACTTAAATGATGCTGATTGTCTAAAACAATATAAAATTAATTAAATAATTTACTCTGCATACATTAGTGTAGCAATTTGTACATGACCGGATAAATTCATTGTCATATTGATATTATATTACTTGTTAAATTACCTTGATGTTTATAATCTATAAATAATTTTGTCTATACTAATAGAGTAAAAATTTTAAAAATAAAAAGAGTAAATATGTACAGATTGATAAGTAAATGAAATAAAATTAAGGCACCAGTGGAAATTGTATATCACAACAACGCAACAGTTATAAATTTATTATGTATATGAATATGATAGAAATTAAGATTAAGACTTGGTGAACACAGAGGACATTGTTGTTAAATTGTATACCAGTATTCATAGTCCAAAGTTTATTTTGTTTTTACGTTATCTTCCATACTAAATATTATTTATGCATCATTGTTGTCGTACAAATCTTGGTGTGTTGGGGCTAGAGAGGGGTTGTAAAAAGTTAGACTTCTATCAGTACGGAGCCCAAATGTTCCATCATAAACCCTACCATAACTGGAATCCTCATCTGATGATGTTGTATTTAACTTTTGCATCCTTAAATGAAGTCTTCGTTTTCTGAAATATAAAATGTCTTGTTTTAGTTGGAAATTTCATTCAATTATTTTATAAATATGAAAATGATTATTAGGGTGTTTCTTGAGCTAAGAGTAAAGTATTAGCTAGTTTGTGGTAGAATATAAAATATGTGTACTAGATTGTAGTAAATTTAACTAAAGTATATATATATATATTAAAAATGAATTTGACTTTGCATCTCACATTTATATATTTATAGAATTTGGCTGTTAATTTTGCTGCCCTACTGTACATTATATAAAGAAAAAGGTACAACCAGAATCACCCCATTCTAACTACTAATTTTATACATACCTGATTAATATAACTAAGGCTACTGATATTACAACAATTAACAGTAGCCCTGCTATACAGCCAACTATGATGATAACTGTGAGGGAGTTAAATTCTACTGCATCTGGATTTCTGGGTTTGCAGTCTGTTAAATATAGTAAAAAAAAATTATATATTTTATATATTTACTTAGTTTTAGAGAAAAAAAAATGTGTTATTATATATATAATATTATATATTTATTTATATAATCCAAACTTTAATGCCTTGCAACATACTTTCTATAGTTGTCCAAGCTGTTTGAGATGTAGAAGGATCACACTTATTGCATGTATCCAGTGAATCATCCTTGGTATAGCATTTAGAGTCTATAAAACATCCAGCCTAAAATCCATGGAACAAAATGAATGATAAAATCTATTTTCAAAAGTTTTCAAACATTTTAAAATAAGTTATAGATCTAGTTCTCAGTCAGTGAAAAACATCACACAGTAAAGTGAAAAAACATCAGACAGTAAAAATAAAATCATAAAAATAGTAAATTTTGTGTTTTATTTTTTAAAGAGGTTTACATAATTATTCACAAACCATTAAGAAAAATGTTAATACAAATATTAAATATCCAATGAAATTAAATAAACTGTTTTAAATAATACTGTGTTACAATTTTACAGTGCACTATTTTTTCTGTAGTTGCGAAGCAATAATAATAATAAATAATAGCTAAAACCAAGTAATTGTTTTCTTTATCTAGTACTAAATAATTTATCTTTGAATAGATAACTAGGGTTGCCACTGGGTTAGGAGAAAGTTCGAGGATAGCCTGGAGCAAGTCCCACCCTGCCGGTGCGCGGGCTGATGCGCCAGATTCAATTTAGTTGGTGAACCGCTTAATTCAGTTTAGTGAAAGAATATAATGCCCCATTGTATCCAGAGTCTATCTCACTGTTTAAAGCTAATGCAGTCGCTATAGCCCTCACTGGATAGCCCAAGGCGACAAATCGCACCCTGCTGGGGGCTGGAGGACTCGCCTGATTGAATTTATTGAATGCCCCATTTTATCCATAGTCTATTGCACTATTTAAAATGAAAGTAGGCACCATAGCACTCACGTAAAGGCTGTGCGCCAAATCGCACCCTGCCAGGGGCCACCCAATCGAAGTTACAAATTTTTCCCCTGCAGAAACCTTCTCTGGAGTATTCTCATCAACCCTCCTGGGGCTCCAAAAATGCGAATATGAAATTCTTTTTTTTACAAAAACATTCTCAACAACTTCCCAAAGTTTCATGGCAATCGGATGAAAGGTGTAGTATTGCATAAAAGACAAACATACACACATACATTGCTTTATATATATATATAGATAGATAGATAACTGTGAAAGACTTACGGTTACAGAACACTCTATAGAGCTGCCCAGGCATTTGGCACATCTCGAATCATAGATTAAAAATAGTGCTTTTTCTTTACTAGACAATTCACCATTCACTACAGTGATGAGGCGACTTCTGTTATCAGTCACATTACAATAAACAACATATTGCGATTGGTAAATGGCGGAGGCTGTGCTTTTATTAGAGCCCTGAGGATGGTAAACAGTTTTTCTTAAAGTTTTTTAGGTCACTTTTTCCATAATATTCATTTGAAAGCTAAATAATTTTAAAACAAAGATATCTATTCAACTTTAACTGACATTTCTGAAGTATTATCTCTGTAATCTACTAACGCTAGCAGTCAAAAAGACATGAAAGAAAAGCTAAACAGACTATTTCTTTTGCAAACTGAGTTTGACTCAAATCAAACATTAACAAAACCAAGTCTACTAAAATAAACAACATGCAAGTATGGATGAAGTAAAAGATTTCACATATTTAGGCAAGATTGTTAATTATGAAGGAGACTAAAACACTCAAATCAAAACATTCATATCTAAAGCCAAGGAAGCCTTTGCAACCATGCAAAAAACATAGCGATAGGAGAAAATCTCCAAGACCAATGCAGACTTTTCAAAAGTAATATCCATAGAGTTGTATTGTATGGCAGCAAATGCTGAAAAGTAACAACTGCCACCAGCAGATCTCTGGATTCTTTCCAAACTAAGTGCCTACAAAGTATAATAGGCATCCACTGGCCCAACACATAAAAAAGAAGAGAGCCCTGGATAATGCATGTTTTAAGAATGAATCCAGATGACATCACAGGATTGGCACTTAACAGGACATCTCAGGGAAAAAGAAACCAGGTAAGGCCAAGTGAAATGCAGAGGTACACAGCAGAAAAGCAAAAGACAAAGGCAGGACTATCTTGGGGGACTGACAAGAAAATTTCCAAAGTCTGGCAAAAATGGAAAGAGTTTTCTGTGTCTGTTCTTGGGAACTAAAGGGAAAATATCATGACAGATCCACTAATTATTTTGTATAAAAGGAGGAAATATAGTAAATAATAATTTTAAAACATAACTAGCATAAAACATATGTTTTAAACACACAATGACACATCATATTTGAAATCCCACCTCCTACTGGTGAGTACACATTTGGTATAAAAAAAAATGTGAAAAAAAAATAGCATTTGTAATCCAACACACTAGATCAAGACTTGATGACCTTCTACTGAAAGCTTAATTAATCTTTATTTTTAAAATTGGTGTAACTTACATCAGTAAAGCTCATGGAACACATGGTTGTATTAGTAAAGCCTTGGCCTAATATTTTCACTAGGCTGCAATTTCCACTCTGTGTGTCACAAGTAACATTACTTTGACCATCAATGGCAGGTTGAGGCATGCCAGTTGTACTGCAGTCAGAGCCAGTGTAATTTAAGTCACAGTGACACTCACCTAAAAATTAAAATAATATACATGGTAATAATAAACCCTTTAAAAAGAATTTAAAAACATACTTCTAAAACAGGATTTGTGCTCAAAGTGCCAGTTCTTAAAAAATTTCAACCTAATCATATTCTATAGTGTCAATCGAGCTAAATCTAATATCAGCTAAATATATGAGACTGTATTCTCTAAAGGCACTTCTTCAAGGAGTAATTCAATTAACGTAATCTCAAGCACTTACCAGCACTGTTAGTATTAGTTATTAAATTCAAAAAATAATATTTTAAATTATTTAAAAAAAATTAAAGGCTTTTTAATAAAGTAAAAGTTAAGTGAAAAAAGCTACAAAATCTCTACCTAGCAGACAAGTTCCATGGTTGCTACAATTTTGTGGACACAGAGTATCAACAATAGGTTGTGCTGTTGGTTTCACTGATGCATCAGCTGTATTGGGGTCATTCCATAATGAGGAGTTAGTAGTTAATTTATCCAAACAAGTAGTTTTTAGACTGTCTACCATAGAATCCAGCCATTGATATGAGCCTGTCCTGCTTATATCTTTAGCACAATTGTTTATTTCCTCATTCAAGTTGTCACCAATGTAACGTAAACATTCATCATTTACTGTAGAACTCCTGTTTTTGCATGATTCAGTTGCACTTTCCAATGTAATATTTGATGAAGTCTAAATAGTGTAGAACAAACATTTATGTTTAGTCAATTATTAAAATTTGTCTCTAAATGTATATACATACATAGAACACATATATATATATATATATATATATATATATATATATATATATATATATATATATATATATATATATATATATATATATATATATATATATATATATATATATATATATATATATATATATATATATATATGTATATATATATATATGTATATATATATATATGTATATATATATATATGTATATATATGTATATGTATATGTATGTATATGTATATATATGTATATATATATATATATATATATATATATATATATATATATATATATATATATATATATATACACACACGCACACACATATACATGCACACGTGCAAACACACGAACACACATATATATTATACTAGCCGTCCCGGCCAGGCCCTGCTCTGGCTTCTGTGAAAAACCTTTCTGTTAAAGACCCTTACCTGTGTGTTTATTAATCATCATAAACACGGCATTGCCCACCCAAACCACAACCAACCAAAACAACAAAACCCAAACATAACGCTAACACAAATACAAACGAAAACAAAAACCTAACAAAAAAACCAACCACAATCACAAACACCAATACAAACACAAAGAAAAACAAACAAAAAAGCAAATGAAAACAAAAACCTAACAACAAACCCAACCACAACCACAAACACCAATACGAACACAAAGAAAAAAACAAACGAAAAAGCAAACGAAAACAAACCAAATCCAAACCCAAAACCAACCACAAACACAAACCCAAAGAAAAAAACACAAACGAAAAAGCAAACAAAAACAACCCAAACCCAAACGCAAAACCAACCACAAACACAAATACAAACACAAACCCAAAGAAAAAAACACAAACGAAAAAAGCTTAATAATCGACTATAGTACCCCAACTTATTCATAGTTTTTTTGCACTCACTTAAACGAACGTAGGTGCCAAACCAAACCAAATGAACAATTATAATACTCCAAGCTTATTCGTAAAATACCTACAACATTTGCACTTGATCAATCCCCACTAATTATGTAATTATTTTTTTCCCCAACACCAAAACAAAGTAATAAAAAGTAAATTCTTTTCCACTAATGCAATGTTTTATAAAGGGAAGTAATTGTGTTTTTCCTAATTTATCAAAGGGAAGTAAGTGCTAAAGGACTCAATATAAATAATTTTCAGACATAATTAGAATGTTTGTTATTTTTTAAAAATTGTGTTTAATGAACATGCCGAAAATTATTACTATCAGTTTGAAAAATGAAAATTATTTCCCAACACTTTCAATAGTAATTTTTTAACTCATAAATTTAGAGTATGAGCACGATAATTGATCTAACACTTAAATCCATAGAAGTATGTCAACGACAAACATGTTTTTTTTTTTATGTTTTTTTTTATTTTTCAGTCTGTGATATAGTCGTAAGTTTGAAAGCGGACTCTAAACCCCAAACAAGAAGAAGAAGAAGAAGATATGTATTTTTACATACAGAATTGAGATTTATATATATTATATACACTATGAGATTATTCATTAAAACTCATATTTTACTGCAAAACACTTTTCTGTTTAAGACAAAACAACTTTATAAATTAAAGGCTTAAAAAATACAGAGTTCTATGCACTTACTGGTGTAATATTTGTACTGAACCCTAAGAAGTCTGGATTTGATGTTTGACGACGTTTTCTACCAGATGTTTGCCTCTGCTGTATACCAGAAGACTTTTCATATGAATAAGCATCTAGTAATGACTGTGTGATATCAGTTCCTGAAACAACGTTATCCTTGAAATAACTATAGGAGTGGCATAGAAATCTTTCAGCATGAAAAAAACTCTAGTACTACTTTTAATAGTAGTGTAGTAAATTATTTTATTTAGGATTAAAGTACCATTTTATCATCAGCTTTCTAATAAAGTTTTTTTTCCCCTCCTCTCTCATAAACCCATATTGGTAGTGCAATAAATGTGTATTAATTAAGTAGGATACCACTTCTAAACATATTCACAGGATTCTTTGTTTGGTTATCCAACCAGTTTACAGTACCTGTTATACTAACTCCACACTCTGCTACATCTGTAAACTGAGAGCAACTGCTAGAGCCAGATGAACCACAAGTACAATATATTGCTCTGTTAAAACTTGCACTATACTGGTATCCATTATAGAGTGACTGAGAGGAGTTGACACTAAAAAATAATAAACATAATACTTTGTACTACAGTGAGAAAAAATGAACCAAATTAAAAATGATGTACAGAAAAAAAATTAGTATGTATGACCAGCTAAATAGTATATTTTGCAAGTACACATTTTAAATTAACCTCTACAAGTACATATTATGAACACATTTTAAAGGCAGCATGTGTTTCACTTTAAAATCTTTATTGAGTGTAGATAGAACATGAATGTAATACAATACAAAACAATTGGGTATAAATAACATAACACTTCTCATGCAGGCTATACAGATTCCAAATTCACTTACCTCCATGACCTGCTAAATGTATTAGGCTCATCTATTCCAGTGTCACTAACTTGATAAAGAACATTGTCCTGACCCAGCAGATCATTGGTTTTATTTCCATCATAAACACCACACAAACCTATGGAGATGTAACACATTGAATATTTTGTAACATAAACTTGAATAAGATATTCTTTAACCCTTAAAACCATATGAACCAACACCAGTTTACCTTTTACATTACTCAAGTCCAGAGCTGATGGCTTAATATACACATTAACTGATGCACCAATAGAGCTGGTCACTTGCACAATAAGTCCAGAAGGTAGAAAAATCTGGGTGGGGGGAACATGTTTTAGTTTTTTAAAGTTTTCATGGTTTATTAATTATTTACTCTCTAATAGTTTCTTGATGCCCAACTTCTTTTAAAAAAAAAAAAAAATTGCAATTATCGGCTTCTTATTTACTACTTACATATTCTTACATAAAATTGCTATAATTAACTACTTACATATTCTTACATAAAATTTGCTAAATTAACTACTTACACATTCTTACATAAAATTTGCTATAATTGATGTAGGGTGTTATATTCTAAGGCAGTGTTTGAATTTAGTGATTTTATTGTATTTGTATTAATGTCTTAAAAATTAATGTTTAAATAAAATAGTACCTTGACAGTGTCACCATTATCCTCTTGGTAAATTTTTGTATTTGAAATATTCATAGTTTTCAAGAAAAGTTTTATTTCTAGTGGATGCACATTGGAATTGATTGTTTCACATCTGCTGACTCTAATAACATTATCTCCAAACCTTGCTGCAATACCACATGCACTTGAGCCAGCTCCAGTTCTATAGAAGTAGCCATTTATCTAATAGAATAATTCAAAAATAGTAATATGAAATTAATGACATATAAAATATGGTTTGTCTAGTGTGAAAAAAGGTTTGATAGCCTTTTGTAGCCCCTCTTACTGACCTGAATTGGTAGAAATCTATGAAGGTGTAAAATGTATTCTCCAGTAGACATAACATCATACACCCTGAAGTAAAAAAATAACAATTTTAATTACCTTTATTTTTAAACATTTTGAAAAAATGTATCACATATAGAGACAGCGTTAAGAAAGTAATAACAGTATTTGCTTAGCTGTGGGTGTTTTGTAGAAATATTGAAATTGTATCTAAGGTCTAACATAAAATAAATTTTCTTTTTCCTACCAAACACTGAGATAAATTAAAATTGCAACAACAAAAAATTTTAAATGAATTTTATTTTTGGCATGTCAAAGAAAGTTTTTAAAACTTACGTATTGTCATAACTGTAAAGATGTGGATCTCCAACAATTTTACAGAGGGCGTTCAAATCTTTACTTATCACAGTCAACTATAATTTAAAATTATATTGTTTAATATTAGGTTTCATAGCTTTTTTAAAATTACTTCTTATTAAATGCAGATATCTTACAAAGTTAGTATTCAATTATTATTATTATAAATATATTAATCAAAAGGATTTTAAATTGTAATTTTCTTTTCAATACAAGTAAATAAGTAAGCCACATTATAAATTAAGCTTAAGATATAAAGGCCAAGGGAGTTTTGAGTATTTAAATTGTATTTATTCCAGTCTTTTCCATAGGCCTACACCAGAAACAATGCAAATAAACATGACATAAGCTATGCAACTTTCATTATCAGTAAATTAGATCAGTGTGAAAAATAAAACTGATTTAAAAATTAGTAATATTACTCACATTAAATGAGTATATTACAGTGCTGTTTGGGGTGCTCCCTGCTCTTTCTACTTGGTAAGCCTGAACTGTCACCTTTTTATCATCTCTAACAATACCATCCACAACAGCAGCTACTTCAAAACTGACATTAGATGTCAATAAATCTTGAGAATCACAAGTGTTTTTAGCAAGTGATCTTACCACAACAATCGGGATTGATGATTCTCTGAGACATTTACTGGGAACAATCATAAATCAAAATCATTAATAAAATAAAATCCAGAATAGCCATGTAACTAGCATAAAGTGTTTAATTACTCTCAAATAAGTCAACAAAACTGACATCTTCACACTAAAATAATAAAAAGCACTTTTGAAGTGTTGGAAAAATGTCTTCATTAAAATACCAAATTGTGTAGAAACCTATCAGTGTTATCACAAGAAAATTACACATTAAACTTACTTTGGAAATTCAGGGAGCAATGTCTCTAGGTGTATACTAATGTTACAGTCTTGATTATATTTCAAGTTGCAATAAGTTTCCTTTGATATTGAAGAACTGATATTTTTGAAGCTAAATGTCACAGTGGCAGGTGTGCTTCCCTCTTCAATTGCGGTGGTAGATAATGTAGACTACACAACAAAAGAAAATATATAATGTAATCTAGTAAGTGTGTTGCAATATACATATAAAACACTTCATGTGGATTATTCAAAGCCTACTTAATTATATGACAGAGCTACTGAGGGTTCTGACAACAAACTTAAATTATAATATATACATTTTAACAATGTGAGTGGGTGGATGGTTTATTTTGCAGTTATTTGAATATGGGGGTAGCAAGCCTCACTGAATGAATAATTTTTGTTAGTGTGGAAGATCTGTGCACTTCTGATAAACATGGGTATAAAGTTCATTAGATAGCAAGATTCAATTCTTTTTTCCATTTACTATGAGCGAAAGAATGTTGTGAGGTGTGGTCTTCACCACATAGAGGTATTGTGAGGTTTTCTGTAAAGAACATATTTATTGCTTTTATGTTATTTCCGGGATCTGTGGTGTTGCATTTCTAAGCCACAAGTAATATGATTGTTAAACTCATTATATATCTATTTTTATATTTTGAATAGTAGCCTCAATAGTATTAGGCATAGTATATTTGTGATTTGGTGAGCCATAAGTAGTTTAGTTGTTTTAAATATCAGTCTTAAATTCAGTCAATTTAATTATTGTTTGCAACCATTTCTTTGGATACCTATAATAGGACCTCAGTGGAGTGTTTTGATAATTCATGCAAATTTTAGCGTGTTTGATTGTGTGGGTCAATAAGCTGTGGGTTGTTTCTTTGTGGATAAAACTGACCTTAATTTAAATTCATAATAGCTTGGTCACTTATTTTTTATTATTTAGCAAATCTGTTATGCTGAAGTTGCTCCTTATAACTATATTTAAACTAGTTGGTACCATGAGTGACCATGTGTGTTCTTGGTAAGACTAGGTTGGCTATGCCATATTGTTAGTAGTAATATATTACTCCAGGGCTAGGTAGAGCTTAGTAAATGATAGCAGAGCTTAGAATCTGATATGTGTGTGTGTGTGAGTGTATTTTCACTCACTGTTTGTATGTGCATATTTTCATTTATATTATTATTTATATATTGTTATGATGCATGTTTGACTTGGGAGATCGGTGCGCAGGATTGATGGTGCGGCCGTATATTGAACGAGTGAGTGTGTGACGCTGTACGCAAGAAAGTGACGTTTTAGTGTGAGTTCCGTTGTTGCCGGGGAAGAAGATTGAAGTTAGTCTTGTCCATGTTATGTTAGGGTTAGGTTGTCTAGTTGTAGTATCGTTTGTCCAAGCTGTCCGATGTCCATATCTTATTGTGCAATAAATAGAGTTAGTAACCGATGTCATTCTGTCAAATCCTTCGTAAGCGTTGATGTCGTCGTGTCCCAAGATATACTGTAGCATAGCTAAACATAATCAAATGGTAGTGATATGGAAAGATGGTATTGGATCAGGTAGTTGTACCCTCTCACTGCATAACTGTGGTACACATATAGAACTCAGCAGTTATTATATGATTATTTATATACGAGAAAAATGGCCCGTTGAGGAAGGATACACCGGGCGCTAGGCTGATAGTGCTGTCTCTTTTCTCTAAACTAAAACCACCCCAGCCCCCCCCCCCACACACACCCCCACCCCCCCACACCCCCCCACCCCCCACACCCCCCCCACACCACCCCCCCCCACCCCCCCACCCACCCCACACCCCCCACACCACCCCCCCCCCACACCCCCCACACCCCAAAAAACATGTATACCGTCCCATTCAACGAAATATAATTATATACTTTTTCCAGTGTCCGCCCCCTCCCCGAAAATTCTACCCCCACCCCCGAAAACTTCAAGTACCCCCACCACTCTCCGGGGAGGAAAAAGTCTAAATTAAAACCACCCCCCCCCCCACTCACCCCCCTACCCCCCCCCCCACCCCCCCCCCCCCCCCCCTCTAAAAAAACATGTCTACCGTCCCATTCAACGAAATATAATTATATACTTTTTCCAGTGTCCGCCCCCTCCCCGAAAATTCTACCCCCGCCCCCGAAAATTTCAAGTACCCCCACCCCTCTCCGGGGAGGAAAAAGTCTGAAAGAAACACTGGTGTCGCGCTTAGCCACTACGCGAAGAATTGCATTAAAGAAATTGCGAGAAAACCACTTTTTAGATTAGACACATTAATTAGGCGGTAATTTTATTATAGAGTATCGATGAGGAAATTTCTTTTGAGTTGGGGAGGGGGGGGGGGGGGGGCTCATACGTTCTTACGCGTGGGGTGGGGCTTCGCCCCTACTCGAAGAATTCTATGCAAGAAACTCTTCATGCAAACCATTTAGATTAGACAACATTTCCTTTTTTTCAATGTTTCAATGACGTCATTACATTACTGTGTGCACTCTCTGGTTTGAGATTATGTTCTACTCTACGCTAAATGTGTCGACGTCATATTTCGTTTTTCGAATTACTGTGCAGGTTTTTAAATTCCTTGTGTTTTCTCTAGAGCGTTCTTGTCAGACAGATAGATAGATAGATAGAGAGACAGCGAAACTATTATTATAGATTTACCTATTTTGTTTCTTTCAGGTTATGTTAATAACTTGACTGGGTGTTATTTTGACATGTTTGGTTAAGTTTAAAATATTTCACATTTTGTTTTGTTAGGTGGAAGTTGATTTTTTAAAAACACATGTCATTTCGTGGTATTAGTTAAGGGAAATAATCATAAATAGCCTTGTGGGTATGCAATTGCTAGTCTTTGTTTAGCTCTTGTGAGGGAATGGAACCAGTATTTTCCCTGGGTCATGTGACCTCAGGAATATCTAGGTAATTTCACTTTCGTGATGCTCAGTACAATCTCAGGCTTTGAGTTATCATGACTAGATGCTCTAACGTAGTGGCAGTGTGTGAATGTATAGGCCCTATAGATCTAATGAAGGTATGGTAATTTTATACCTGGTAGTGGCAGTTTGTGAATGTATATAGATCTATTGAAGGTATGGTAATTTTATACCTGTACTTGTGCTGTATGTTGGGTACTAAAATTTTGATTATGTTTCATTATAACCATGTAATACTTGATGGCAGTATATTTTCATACTGGCCTTACCTTGTGAATAGGAAGTATTTGGATGACAAGGCTGTGAGGCTTTTGTTTCAAGTCTCAGTTTTATTTCATGAGTTTAAGAATAACTTATTTTTGTACACTATTTTTGGGGTATACACCCTCTTACACCAAAATCATTCTAAACCTTTCTATGTTATTGTAAAGGTTATTATATAGTTCATGATAATAGTCATTCTATACCTCTACCTGTATGACATGTCTATGCTTGGCTGCATCCAATAAAGTGTGTGCATAACACAGGGTATATGCAACGAAGTGTGTTCTGTGTTTTCTCTCAGGGTCAACCCATTGAAGCACTAAACCTCAGTGGGTGACCATCACATCAAATAAAATGTATTAGTAGTTCTTTTGTTTTTTTTTAACTATATTAAGGTTAGGATTTAACCACTGTGGGTTTAGTTGCAGTGATGACTGATAGCTTATAGTCCTGGTAGAGCTTACATAAAGGATTCAGACAAATGAAAGTAACTTAAAGATGAAGAATAAAAACAAATAAATCCTGTTATCTCTCTTTAAGTTTCTTATGTTTAACCTACCTGTATACTTAAGCCACTGAGGGAAACTTCTTTAGGTGAACTCTTAATATTTTCACAAGCTGAGTAATAAGCCACAACAGAACATGTTATCTGCAAAGTATAAAATAAGGATTATAAAAAGTTGTCTAGAAAACATCTGCTCAAAATCAAGGATAATAATGTTACCAATTGATTCATACATTTGTTACACCTAGAGATAAAACTTACTCCATCTTTAGATATTTTTTCTTTTATAGTCTGGTTAAGTGGACTGAAGTTGATGCTGTTTGTTTTAGCAGTGGTATTGAAAGCAGACAAGTCAGATAAACTGGTTTTCCAAGTAACTGTATAAACAACTCCAGTTTCAGAAGTTGGAGCCTGAATGTTACAAGTGAAGTGGGAAGAGTTTCCAACTATTGAGGGATTGCCATTTATCTCTGGAGGAGCTGATTAAAAAAAAAAGAAACAATTTTAACATACAAAAAAATAATGTTAAATTGAAACATATATTGCTAGTGGTCATCTATGTGTGATAACCCACACATGGGAATGTTTGGGGGATACAGGACATAATTTCATTAAGATTTTTTTTTTAGGTGGGGAAGGAAGGGTTATGTTATCTTGAATAACATAAATATCTTTCTGCTGTTTTAAAATGTTAAAAACATGTTACTCTTTGTTAAGATGAAGGTTGGATAAGGAGGGGAAGGTGGAGTTAATGCATAATTTAGAGGCAGATGCTGTTTTTCTTTAAACCAGTTTGTCTTAGGACAGATTGTTAAAATTCATCCAAAAAAGTGTGACCATTTATTTACAGCACCTGGTATGATTAATGCATTAGTTAACAGGGGTGGGCAAAGTCCGGGCCACATGTGGCCCACCAGAGTTTTTTGTGGCTCACCAGACATTTAGAAAACCCCCACCTTGAACTGAGATTTGCTTCATGTCCGCGACCAAAAGTTTATCTTATATTTTTTCCATTAGAGCGGCTATGTCAATGCGCATACGCAGGCAGTATAAATACGCACTTTTCCAGTTTGTCAGTTTTATTTCAGTTTTGTCTATAGCCTATGCAACAGTAACATTTATAAATTTCCAAAATTAAGTGAAGCCATGAACCCTCAGAAAAAGTGTGAAATTTGTGATGAATCCCATGTGTTTAATGAAGAATGGACACACAAATATTTCTTTGGTAATACAGGCAAGTTTTATTTATTGATTTTTATGATACCATTTATAATTTTTCTGAAATGAAATGTATTGTTAACTAAAGAATACAATAATTTTAAACAGTGCGGCCCTCCACTACCACAAAGTGGCTTTTTGAGCCCAAACAATTGCCCACCCCTGCATTAGTATAATATAGCTGATCATAACAAAAACTGTGTTAAAGGGCTATTATGATTCTTTTACTTATATTTACCTACCTGCACATGATGTTGTTGAGGGAGCTAATGTGAATACAGTTGTTGATTCTTGTGAACCTAAATATGTACATATATTATTACAATTTTGAAATGTATGTTCTTGTAATCACAATGAAACAAACTTTACACACATATTTTATAATGTGATTTTAAATTTGCAAGCAGTAATATGCATAAATTATTGAAGCAGTAAATATAGCAAAATTAAAAGTGCAGATATAAGAGCATATATATTGATAGAGTAAAGCAATATTGACATATTAGTATACTGGTTAAAAAATATGCATATTGAAAATGTAAAAATATAATTTCATCTTAAATAAGAATTAATGTGACATAAGCAAGTAAAAACATCTTGGTTAAAAAAAAATTGTATTAGAAAATGTAATAGTTTTCAAATAAAATTAGAAAAATAGATGGCATAAACAAATATGTGAGTATTACGTTAATAATAAAAAATCATGCATAAAAAAATGTGTCACAATTATTGCTTGTAATGCAAAAGTGTATCTATTATCTGCCTGGTAAACAGTGATCGCTTTAAAAAAAAAGAAAACTAAGAGTGAAAATAAAAAGAATAACAAATAAAATAAACAGAGTAAAAGTGATTTTTACTTAGTGGACTGTCTAAAGATTCAAAGTAAAAAAGAAAAAAAGGGTAAATTATTAATTCTAGTTGTAAGAGAAGGTAAAAAAAAAAGTATTTCTGTTTTGCAAGTAGGTTACCTGAACCGCTGGTTGCAGTGTTGTCCTGACCTGTTGTTACTGATCCAATTGAGGTGGTATATGTCATGTTACTGTCTTGTTGCACTGTTGTATTAGCTACATAGGTTGTGGTAGTGGTTTGATGGGCTGTGGTTGTATCTTGGGTTGCATTAGTATCTTGTTGGGTTGTAGTAGTGGCTGGTTGGGCTGTGATGGTGGTTTGTTGAACTGTGGTATTAGCAGGTTGGGTTGTGATAGTGTCTTGGGTTGTATTAGTAACTTGTTGGGCTGTGGTAGTGGTTTGTTGAACTGTGGTATTAGCAGGTTGGGTTGTGATAGTGTCTTGGGTTGTATTAGTAACTTGTTGGGCTGTGGTATCAGCAGGTTGGGTTGTGGTATTGTCTTGATGGGCTGTGGTTGTGTTTTGGGTTGTATTAGTAACTTGTTGGGCTGTGGTATCAGCAGGTTGGGTTGTGATAGTGTCTTGGGTTGTATTAGTAACTTGTTGGGCTGTGGTATCAGCAGGTTGGGTTGTGGTATTGTCTTGATGGGCTGTGGTTGTGTTTTGGGTTGTATTAGTATCTTGTTGGGCTGTGGTAGAAGCTGGTTGGGATGTGGTATTACCAGGTTGGGTTGTGGTAATGGCTGGTTGGGCTGTGGTTGAGTCTTTGGTTGTATTAGTATCTTGCTGGAATGAGGTAGTGGTTTGTTGAACTGTGGAAGTAGCAGGTTGGATTGTGGTATTGTCTTGATGGGCTGTGGTTGTGTTTTGGGTTGTATTAGTATCTTGTTGGGCTGTGGTAGTGGCTTGTTGTGGTGTGGTAGTGGCTTGTTGTGGTGTGGTAGTGGCTTGTTGTGGTGTGGTAGTGGCTTGTTGTGCTGTGGTAGTGGCTTGTTGGGCTGTGGTAGTGGCTTGTTGGGCTGTGGTAGTGGCTTGTTGGGATGTGGTAGTGGCTTGTTGGGCTGTGGTAGTGGCTTGTTGGGCTGTGGTAGTGGCTTGTTGGGCAGTGGTAGTGGCTTGTTGGGCTGTGGTAGTGGCTTGTTGGGCAGTGGTAGTGGCTGGTTGGGCAGAGGTAGTGGCTTGTTGGGCTGTGGTAGTGGCTGGTTGGGATGTGGTAGTGGCTTGTTGGGCTGTGGTAGTGGCTTGTTGGGCTGTGGTAGTGGCTTGTTGGGCTGTGGTAGTGGCTTGTTGGGCTGTGGTAGTGGCTTGTTGGACTGTGGTAGTGGCTTGTTGGGCTGTGGTAGTGGCTTGTTGGGCTGTGGTAGTGGCTTGTTGGGATGTGGTAGTGGCTTGTTGGGCTGTGGTAGTGGCTTGTTGGGCTGTGGTAGTGGCTTGCTGGGCTGTGGTAGTGGCTTGTTGGGCTGTGGTAGTGGCTTGTTGGGCAGAGGTAGTGGCATTTTGTGCTGCAGTAGTGGCTGGTATGGCTGTGGTAGTGGCTGGTTGGGATGTGGTAGTGGCTTGTTGGGCTGTGGTAGTGGCTTGTTGGGCTGTGGTAGTGGCTTGTTGGGCTGTGGTAGTGGCTTGTTGGGCTGTGGTAGTGGCTTGTTGGGCTGTGGTAGTGGCTTGTTGGGCTGTGGTAGTGGCTTGTTGGGATGTGGTAGTGGCTTGTTGGGCTGTGGTAGTGGCTTGTTGGGCTGTGGTAGTGGCTTGTTGGGCTGTGGTAGTGGCTGGTTGGGATGTGGTAGTGGCTTGTTGGGCTGTGGTAGTGGCTTGTTGGGCAGAGGTAGTGGCATTTTGTGTTGCAGTAGTGGCTGGTATGGCTGTGGTAGTGGCTGGTTGGGATGTGGTAGTGGCATTTTGTGTTGCAGTAGTGGCTGGTATGGCTGAGGTAGTGGTTTGTTGAACTGTGGTATTAGCAGGTTGTGTTGTGATATTGTCTTGTTTGGCTGTGATTGAGTCCTGGGTTGTATTAGTATCTTGTTGGGTTGTGGTAGTGGCTTGTTTAGATGTGGTATTGTCTTGTTGGGCAGTGGTTGAGTCTTGCTTTACTGTTGAATTATCTTGTTGTGATGATGTAGTTTGTTGTAGTGTGGTAGCTGCTGTTGTGGTAGTAGCCTGCTGGGGTGTAGCAGCAGAGCTTGTTTGACCACTAGAAGAGCTAAATGTCATTAAGTCTTGAGTTGTATTCCCTGAAGATACTACTGAGGGGCTTGTTGATCCTTGGGTTCCTGTAGTAGTGGAGCTTACAGCACCAGTTACTGTGGTGGAAGATGCTAGTTAAGCTTTGTATATAGGTATATATATGCATAAAGTTCTCCAGATAAATAGATGAAGAATATATGAAAAATAAGCCACAACCACCTTCACACCAACATAAATAAATGCATTATCGTTCGACAACATTGCAATTAATAATAGTTGATATGCATCAATTTAAAAAAAATATATTTAAAAGACATTTAATTAAATCTGTATGTATGTATTAAAATAACCTAAATAAATTAAATTAAATTTGTAAATCATTTGCATATTTTATTAGATTTTTTTTTTAAATGTTAATATCTTCCATTTTATTTTCATTATTTATAAGTTAGAGATTTGATTTTTAAGTAAATAAGTAAACAACTAAAATGAAAATAAAATTAATATCCATTTCTGTTAAATAATCCAACACCATTTAAAAGCAAAAGCTTAAAACATGCACAAGTCATTACATATCACAATTTGGATAAGTTATAATTAGCATGCTACAATATTGATGTGAGCAAAAAAATGTATTTATTGACGTAAGACAAATTTCCTAAATTAATCATGTGTAATATTTATCAATCATTAATTGATTTAGGAAAAATAAATCATGAAAAGAAAAACATTGTATTTGTAAAATTTAATACACATCTTAGTCTTTAAAATTCAATGTATCTATTTTAAGTTTTTGTTAAGTTTTAGTTTTTAAAAAACAATTAAACAATTTTATTATTAAAAGTTTTGAAATAGAACGATTTTAAATATTGTAAGTATAGTTTATTTAAAATTATAATTACTTACCTGAAGTCAATACAGTTGTAGCAGGATTTGAGACAGTTGTTACAACAGAACTAGATGTCTGACCAGAAGTTGCACTTGTAATGGTGCTTCCACTTGTTGGTGCTGGTGTAGTTACTGCCAACGTTGTACCATTTACAGTGGATGTTGCACCAGGTGTGGTTATTACTGTTGTAGTGCTGTCATTTGTTGGTGTTGGTGTAGTTGCTGCCAACGTTGTACCATTTACAGTGGATGTTGCACCAGGTGTAGTTATTACTGTTGTAGTGCTGTCATTTGTTGGTGCTGGTGAAGTTACTGCCAACGTTGTACCATTTACAGTGGATGTTGCACCAGGTGTGGTTATTACTGTTGTAGTGCTGTCATTTGTTGGTGTTGGTGTAGATGCTGCCAACGTTGTACCATTTACAGTGGATGTTGCAACAGGTGTGGTTATTACTGTTGTAGAGCTTACATTTGTTGGTGTTGGTGTAGTTACTGCCAATGTTGTACCATTTACAGTGGATGTTGCAACAGGTGTGGTTATTGCTGTTGTAGAGCTTACATTTGTTGGTGCTGGTGTTGTTGCTGCCAAAGTTGTACCATTTACAGTGGTTGTTACACCAGGTGTGGTTAATACTGTTGTAGTGCTGTCATTTGTTGGTGTTGGTGTAGATGCTGCCAACGTTGTACCATTTACAGTGGTTGTTACACCAGGTGTGGTTATTACTGTTGTAGTGCTGTCATTTGTTGGTGTTGGTGTAGATGCTGCCAACGTTGTACCATTTACAGTGGTTGTTACACCAGGTGTGGTTATTACTGTTGTAGTGCTGTCATTTGTTGGTGTTGGTGTAGATGCTGCCAACGTTGTACCATTTACAGTGGTTGTTACACCAGGTGTGGTTATTACTGTTGTAGTGCTGTCATTTGTTGGTGTTGGTGTAGATGCTGCCAACGTTGTACCATTTACAGTGGATGTTGCACCCGGTGTGGTTATTACTGTTGTAGTGCTGTCATTTGTTGAAGGTGCTCCCAGCGTTGTACCATTTACAGTGGATGTTGCAACAGGTGTAGTTATTACTCTTGTAGTGCTGTCATTTGTTGGTGTTGGTGTAGTTGCTGCCAACGTTGTACCATTTACAGTGGATGTTGCACCCGGTGTGGTTATTACTGTTGTAGTGCTGTCATTTGTTGAAGGTGCTCCCAGCGTTGTACCATTTACAGTGGATGTTGCACCAGGTGTAGTTATTACTGTTGAAGTGCTGTCATTTGTTGAAGGTGCTGAAGTAGTTGCTCCCAATGTTGTTCCATTTACAGTGGATGTTGTTTCATTTGATGGTGGTGATGAAGTTGTTGCTCCCAATGTTGTTCCATTTACAGTGGATGCTGTTTCATTTGATGGTGTAGATGAAGTTGTTGCTCCCAATGTTGTTCCATTTACAGTGGATGTTGTTTCATTTGATGGTGTTGACGAAGTAGTTGCTCCCAATGTTGTTCCATTAACAGTGGATGCTGTTTCATTTGATGGTGGTGATGAAGTTGTTGCTCCCAATGTTGTTCCATTTACAGTGGATGTTTCGTTTGATGGTGTTGATGAAGTTGTATTAGTTATTGATGTTGTGTTAGTAACTACTTCAGTGGTAGTTGATGGTGCAGCAGTTGTGGTCAACTGAGGGACAGCCATATCTATCTCTCTACATGCTGAAACAACTTTCCACCCACTGATGTCAATCTTGGAGTATACATTAGCTCCATAGCCCAGGTAGAATTGAGAATGTGAACAGGAAGAGACATTTCTGTAAATAAATCTTGTGGTACTGGTTATGTTTACATCATCAATGTACAATGTCAGGCCAAACTGTCTGCTCCAGGAGATCTCAATCCTGACTGCTAGATTCAGTGTGATTTGATTGGTGACTAATGTCCATTCTTGAGTTTCTGTACTGACAGTGATGTAGTACTGTTCTGACTTGTGGTACATGGCAATACCACAGTTACCAGCCTTACCACCACCACTCGTAAATATATACATATTTTCTTTCTCTTCCAGTACCTATAAATATACCAAATAATTGAATAATAGCTACAGTCAAGTTCAAATAATTACTTTTTTGAATACTTTAAACACACAAGTCTTCATCTGAACACAAAAATAAACAAAAATTAATACCAGAATAAAAGATAGTTAAAAATAATTAAAAGACCAAACTAATTTTATTTGGATTTGGTTTCAAAATTATTGGCCATTATAACTAAGATTTTCAACCAAAAATTAATATTATTATTATTTTTCTTTTATAATTGGATCCCTCATGGAAAAGACTATTTTTATAATTATTGTCTTACTAAAACTTGTTTTAATTTCTACTTCAAAAAAGAATATAACATTTATTAAAACAAACAAAATACTTAAAAACAATTTTACCTTTAGATCAAATACAATCCTAAGTCCAAACTTGCAAAGACCAGGATTCCAGATACAGCTATCACTTTCTATATTTGACATGTTAACAAACTGGTTAACTCCATTGAGCTGTACGGCTTTGTTGTTTGTGTCATTTAAGAAGTCTATTAGGTTTGGAGAACCAACAACACTAAAGTTCCAGGAGCTTGTTACCAGTACATTTCCTTCAATACTTGTAAAGTAATAGGTAACTGTGGTGATTTCAATACCTGGGGGGGGGGGGGGGGGGGGGAAATATTTATTTGAAATAACAGACTGTAAGAGATAGAAATGTGAGAAGGACAGCCAAGTATTGTGCTAACCATACAGTGGACTAAAAATGTTTTTAAATGTAATTGATTATTTCTTTACTTAATAATGTCATAGTGTAGTAAATGCTTCAAATATAGCATTTTATTAAGGCTATATAAAAAACAGAATTCCATACTGAACAGAATAAAAATAATTTAAGGAAAATTATACATTTCATATCTTTTTGATTAAAATCATAGCAACATTAGAATAGATCACCAAATCATTACCTCACCAAATTATTTTTGTGTTAAATTTTATTTAAAACTGCTATTTGGCGAGATTCAAACTAACTAACAAAACAATTTAAAAAGCTAAATTAAACAATAACCATTATACTATTTTAGGTTCTATCTTGGAAAATATGTAGTTGAATCTAAATAAGTAAACTTACGATCAATAAGTGTCCATGTATATGACTTGTTAGAATCACAAGCAAACGTTAAGTTTGTAGGATTGGCAAAACCTTCCCCATAGCAGCCTCCATCCAAGATGCAAGTTTTAGGCTTTAAACAAAAATCAAGTTTAATAATGAAGACTCAGTATTTATTACTGAATTGTCATACTGGTTTTTAGAAGTCTATACACAATGAAACAACTATAAAAACCCATCTTTGGTTTCTTACCTTCAGATTACATCCATTAGAATTACAGCTATAGCAGACTGAGTCAAATGATATGTAAGTGACTGGTTCAGAACTGATGTTAAAATTGTTCACATTGCTAATATACACATAGTAACTGTGTTTAGGTATTTTTATTGGGCATTGCACAGACTCTGAACTTATAAATTTTGCTAGAACAAAAGAATCTGGATCTACTGTTAGCTGCTTGTATGTCAGTGTGTAATTTGTCTGAAAAATAAAATGTTTTAGGAATATTAGTCATCTAGAGAAAATGAATTTAACAATCGTAAAACAATTCTAAAACAAAATATTTAAAAGCATGATAATTATCCTACCTCTATCTCTTGGAAGTAACACACTAAATTAGATGACTCAATGAAGTTGCTCCCTATTACAGTGACAGTGTCACAGTCTGATAATCTGGTATCACAAATATTGTCTGGTAAAAATTGCACTATAGTTGGGGGTGTTGAAATGCTTAGGGAACAGTCTTCTCCAATAAAAACATCATTACATATGCAGCCATCTGTCATAGAGATAAAAGTTTCACTAGCATTAATAATAAAATTAATGAATATATACTTTTTCAACATTTACTTCAAAATAAAGCACTTTTGACTTAGTATTTTTCCCAGTGTCAAACAATTGAATGGAAGCCAAGTTCAACCAACTTTCAAAATTGTATTTAAATATGAATCGCTTAAACAAATGTAAACAGGATTTGAATACCTGATGTACAATTGCCTCTATCATTGCAGTTGTCAGGGCAGAGCATGAAGTCAAGCAGCTCCTGGGGGGGTCCCAGAACCACAGTGTTGTTGATGGTTACATTGACCCAAAGTTGAGTGTTCATTTGTATAAGGGTTTCACATCGCTGTATCATGGTGACAATGGCTGAAGAAGTCCAGTTGATATTGTTGGATAGAAGCAGGTCCTCTGCACATGTGTCAATGATAGACCTCAGTTCTAACTCCACAATACCGCTACAAAGTTTATAGCTTTTACTGTCCCTTATGGCTTTTTGACATTCCAGTGTTGCATTGTTCAGTGTAAACAAGGTTGTTATGTTTGGCTGGTTGGGAAAAGCAAAAATTATGTATTATAACTGTTGTTTAAGATACATACTAAATCTTAGGAAATTATCTAGTGGAAAATTGTTTTTGATATATTTTATAGTTATTCATTCTTTCAAATTTAAAGTAATTACCATGGAATCTCAATGGATATGCAACCATTTTTAGGGAGTAGTCAGTTCTGTAATGTTTTTACAACACTCCATGGTGACTGTTATAATGCATTATTGAGATTTTTTCAATTCAAGATAAGAAAATTATAAATACCAATGGGGTTTGATCAATTTGAAATTCAACAGGGGTTTGTGATGCCTGACATTTCAAAGGAGGTTTCTGTGTTGTTTTGCTATTGATTACTTCAAGGGTGATGTCTTTTCCTATTAGTAGAGAATTTTTGTGTTACTTATACAACTGAATAAAGAGTAACATATATTTGAAGTTTTAAAGCAAAAAAATGTTTTATATACTTTAAATAACATTTCTAATATGTAATTTTCTAAATTTGTGTAACAGTACCTTGTAATCTTTTTGATTTGCGTACTGCATTACAAGAAAATATTGTTGGATTGTTCACACAAGTAGGAGTAACTATCCCTTTCTGACAATCACAGTACTTGGGTGTGTCTATGACACTACTGCTGGATTGGCAAACTCCAGAATAGAAAGACTCTGTTTTCACTCTACAAAATAAGAATGAGTTAAACTCAATTTAGAATGTAAATGGAATTAAAAATATCTCAGCACATAAATTTATTAAATTAATAAAAGGAGTCTGGTTGTGTTGAAAAAGCTTATGGCTGCTACACAGAAAAGTTCTGAGTTTTAATCCCCAGGCGGGATTCTGCTTATTAAAAAGAGATAATGTATAAAATGCAGCTACACAAACGACATTATGGAAATCACTACAACAATTAAATAACAAAAAAAATTACCTCCATAGTTCGTTAAATGTGTTTTCTTCCTCTAAATCTAGCTTTTCAGACTTGAATGCACCATTAAATTCTCCACAAAGTCCATCAACTTTGTTGAAATCTTGTGATGATGGGTGGATGTATGCATTCATGTATTTGTTTTTGAGGAAACCTCTAGTAGGGGTTAATGTGACTGTCATTCCAGTGGGAAGTGATATCTAACCATTCAAAGAAATAAAGACAAAAATCTAATTAGCCATTTTAGCTTTTAAAAGCTCTTATATCTAATTAAGTATAAATCTCAGTGTCCACAACAGTTATTTAAAAACTCGATGCTGGCTATTTTTTTTAAAAATGTCAATTGTACTGTACTAACTTTAATTGTGTCCCTCTTCATCCTGATTATTTTAAAGTTTTCTTCAAGATCACCATTGAGGAAGGCCTGAATAGTCATTGGATGAATATCATCAGGTTCTCCTATTTCTGCACCACATTTGTCAACTACAATGACATCTGAACGATATCTAAGTGCCATAGCACAAAGACAGGCAGCATAAGGATATGCATCTGTGCATCGCCTGAAGAACCCTTGAACCTCAACATCACTTTCATTATTTCTCACTATCAGAAATCCTCCTTCCAGGTAAATGTTTGACTTTCTGTAATAAAAAAATTCACATGGACTATTGTCTTTTATAGAAGTTTCAAGATAGTTAAGCATAAATATGCTAAATGTATTATCATTTACAACAATTTTAAGATAATAACTTGTGCAAACCATTTTAAAATATTTTTTAATCATGTTGTGCAAACATTAAAAATTTTTTGTCTATGTTATTGGACTTACAGTATCAATAAAATAAAATGTAGATACATAATTTCATATATTTTTTTGTATCTATGTCAAGGGACTTACCTGCCAGTAAATGATGTGATATGAGGATCCCCTTCAACATGACATTCACTGTCTATATCATTATCTTTTACTTCCACCTGATAACCAACAATTGAACAATGTTGCATAATTAAAATAACAAAATTCTTTAATTACTAGATTTAAATTGTTCACAGAATTATCAAATGTTATGTTATATTTTCAGCAATTATTATATTTCTATTACCTTTACTGTGTCTGAAATGGTATGTGTCCAACTTGTTGATTGTAAGCCCACTTCCAATGTTACACTGATTTCTAAAGTCAGCCATTGTGTCATATCTTTCAGGTTATCAAAACCAGCCTGTATGAGTATTCTCACACCAGAGTTCCAGTTTGCTGTTGTGATCATAGTTCCACACTGGGGTGAGCTGCCATTGTTAGAGGTCTCATTCCAAACCACAAGAGCTTGAGGGATTCTGTTTGAATCAAGACACTGGACAGAAAAAAATACATTTTATTTCTCAGCTCAAAATACAAGTAGGTTTTATCCATTATACTTATAATGGAAGTACATTACATTTGATTGTTGATTTTAATTTTTTTAGGCCTATACATTACCTATAATATTCAATTTTTAACAGGAAAATAAATGTTGATAATGTAAGATAAAGTACAGGCTATTTTAAATAATTTAGTGCATGCAGAAATATATCATGTTAGTGCTAATGATTTTGTTGATTAAGTTAATATATTGTAAGCAAGTTAAAAATTAATTAATCAAAATGTGTGTATTCTAAAAAAACCTTTTTATTCAAATAATTTTAATTTTGTTTTTCTAATAAAAATTATTGATTTTTGTTCCTATCTAAAAAAAACTATCTGATACTAAAAGAATTTAAAGACATTAATAAATCTATCTTTACCTTAATATCCTTGCCATTGTCAGTGAATTCTGTATAAACTACTAGATTACAGTTAACCTCTGTTGATTGGCAGAAGAAATTAGGTGGAAGTGTTGAAATCACAGTGATGGCCTGTGGCTCTCCACCTTCTATGACTTGAATCTGACTTTCAACAACCTTTAAAGACATACAAAAATAATATTATACACTAATTATTATGCAAAATGTAACAATTATTAAACAAAAAAATTATATTGTAAACATCTCATATGTAAAGCTTTTTAAGATTTAATATTTAGGATAAAATTTAAAATGTATAAAAGTAGTTTACGGTTATTTCAGCTTTGATAATGTTGCTCTTCTTTACTGGTCCAGTTGTATTCTGACAATCATCTTTAATGCAAGCATAGACACCACAAGCGATCTGTTTAGTGAATAAAGTAAGAATATAATTTTTTTAAATGTTTTTTTGTAGATAAATTGTTAGCATTGATAAGAGTTACATGAAGAAAAAGCATTGCAAAATTTGCAATTAAAGAAGTAGAAAAACTTATATCTATATATTATTTCAGTTTTAGAGCTTTTTTTTCAACAAACCTCATCTCCATAGTTGAAAACAGGAAGGTTGCTCTTTGCAAGAATGTGAGTGGTGTAATTTCCAAGACTATAGTTGTAAAATCCTATATCATTTTTATACCATTCTACTGTGTATTCATGTTCTTCAGTATCTACTGGTTGTATTGCAGAGAAGCTACACTTAAAGTTCAGATCATCAGCTTGTAGTTCAAGTTTTGGAGTCTCTTTAAATTTTGGTATGACTATACAGAAAATATAATTTTTTAAAATTCAAGGTTCTGTACATTATTTTCACATGCTGTGGGAAAAGTTTTTATGTATAATATTCATACATTTTATTTAGTTAATTTCAGCAATAAAAAAGATATAATAAAACTGTCAGTGCATTAAGACAAATGTGTTTAAGATTTAAATTTAGTTTGATATAATGGTGTCAATTTTCAAGACCTGTTATTCCTAATGGGTAATGGATTGGTCCATCAATCTAAAAGCCAGATGTGTCTTCTTTATTAACTAAAAAGCCAGTATCCATTCATAAGATGGTGGGCTTTGTGGCATAACCGAAGTCAAAAAATTCAAATTAACCAGTATTCATGACAAAATATAATACAACAGTTTTTTGACTTACTAATTGTGAAATTCAAAGAATCTGCAATATCTTCTGTGCTAAAAAGGATATCAAAGGCTCCAATTTCAATACTTGAGTAAATACTGGTGTTGAGGTTTGACCCAATATAGAACTTTCTGTTGTTCTGCGCTTCTTGTGAATGGAGAGTGAAGAATTTCTGTGCTGCTACACTTAGCCCATTAAAGAATAATTTAAGCCCTGAAAGAATATTATTTATTACAACTTTACAATCTCAATATAACACATGTAAGGTAAGTGCACAAAACAAAAGAAACATTAATTAAGATAAACATAAAAAAATAGAATGAAGAATCAACTAATCACACAAAATTTTTATACCTTGTTCCTTATTCCAAGAAAACTTGATGTCTATGAACTTATTCACTGTAAATGTGCTTGTTGCTACAGTCCATTCTTTTGTTTTAGTGCTAACTCTTAGATAGAGGCGACCTTTACTGACCCACATAAAGATGCCATAATAAGATGCATCTTCTGCTCCACTACTGAGGATCACCATCCCTTTAAAAAAATGTGATGTCTAACATTCAAGTTTCGTTCAAATTCAAGGATAATCAAACAATCAATTTAGTTTCTTGCAATAACACAACTATGATGAAATGATTAAGAATACAGCAGCACTAACCTTCTGTAACTGTAAGAATCTTCAGCTGAAAGTTTACAGTAAACCCAAGTTCACACTCTTCTATATCCCACAAGCATATACCAATGTTTTGGTAAGGTAATTCAATGTACTGGTCATTGCCATTCAAGTGCACTAGAAGATCACCATATGGTCCAGTGATTAGATTATTAAATTGGCTGCCATATAATGTTATATTAAAGTAGTTAGTGATCAGAATCTTGTTGATGATTTTCACAAATGACAATCTCAGCCTTGAAATGTGAGACGCTGAAATAAAGGTTTAAAGTAATTAGTATTGACAATAAATATTTAAGAAAATTAACAAAAGTGTTTTAAATTATTCTAATTTCTAAGCAGTAACAATTGCAGTGGATAATAACAACAGCAGCTTTCTCATAATTGTCTTAAAATTAAATTTAAAACAAAATAGCTTCAAAATATTTATATATTTGAATTTTCAAAAGTTTAAATAAAAATGTTGCGAAAACAGATTATTTAAAACTTTTGTAAACAAAAATAAAGTGTGGCAAAACCAAAAAGTTACAGCTTTATATCTTAATTTACCTTACTAAATTAGTTATCCAAATTACAAATGACATCAAATACCTAAACTTTGTTGGCTTAACTGTAATTTAATAAAGAACTAGCGTACCCATCTAGCATTGATGCAATCTAGTCCTACACACCAGAGTGATGCAACATTTTTAAGGGTTTCATTAACATGTTACGAATCAGTATGGTTAACAAATGGAATTATTTAAATGTTGTTGGGGCGATGGTTTATCCAAGGAACGCTGTATGAAAGCCTGGTGTTAATCAGAGTCACCAGAGAGCCTAGTGCAAGAGGTCGCCAGTTGCGGTTTGACAGTTGAATCAAGAAGTACCATGTGCCAGAGTACTTCCCTTATTCGAATTAGTTATTAATTTCTTTAACCTCATGGTATCTCTAGTATCTTATATATACATATTTTAGATACATGTTTAAGATGGAAATAAGTTTGACAACAAATTTCCTCAATAATGACATGAGATTTTAAAAAACTTGAATGTGTTACAACTACAAACCTGTGATGGAGGTCCAGGATGTTTTATTGACTGCTATGCTACATATCTGAGTTGCATTCTTTCCATTCACATTTCCATTTTCATAACACTCCCCATTGATCCTACAGATGTCAGTCTGATTTTCCAAAAATTAAATGTTACAATGATTCTAATCAACAACTACAGAGTGTGTCTGTATGTGGTTATTTGTGTTTAGGATTTTTACTCACACATTGATGATAATTAAAAACAAATATCAATAATCTAATTAAATAGACAAATTACATTCATATATTATGACAAAATTTTTAAAACTGTAGGTAATTATTATTATTTATACTGTCAAAAGTTTATAAAATAAAACTATAACTTACTCTCTGTGTACAACTACTTGTGTTGCAGTTATCACAGAATGAGTCATACTTGATCAAAACAACTGATGGTACAGGCCAGAATGTAATGGCATTGCTGCATACAATTTCTACTTTGGTATAACTAAATGCACTTATATTAAATGCACCTATTCTAATAGTATCACTTCTGACATAAGTAGCATTCACTGTGACATTTTTGATAGATGATCCCTGAAATTTAAAGAGTATTAAATAAATTAATTAAAGAATTGGCACAAAATAGGCCTAGTATTAAAATTCAACTGATAATTTCTTGAAAAATAGAATGTAATATTATCATTGCAAAGAAAACTGCAATTTAAAAAAATAAATAGTCACAGTTAAGGGGATATGCGCGGCAAAAAAAAATCACAAAATTTCTTGTTTTTCGTCATGATGGGTTTCTTGCACTTTTGGATACTTCGTCAATTTTTGTATTAAGAAAATAATAACAAAAATATATTTTAAAAGAAATGGTAGCATAAGTAAACAAAACTAGCTACATGGTCATTACTACACAGACAATAATATGCACAGAATTAGTTCACTATTTTCAGTTATAGAAAAGTGTTTGAAAAATATTGCAACAGTTTAGTCTATACTCTGTGTCTGCTAAATTTAAGTTTGAAAAGTATCTGTAAACAACTGCCCTTGAACCTAGAATTCTATTAAATTTTTGTGCTATATAAAAAATGACTTACATTTAAAATTGAAATATCATAAGCTATACAATGAAGTGTGGAAACATTCACGAATCCATATCCAATTATTTTGATGTTGTCACAATCTCTTCTCCGTGTGTCACAAAGACCACCACCTTCTATACTCAGAACACCAGGCAGGTCAGAATCCAAATTCACATCACAACTGTCTCCAGCATATCCATCATTACATGAACATTCGCCTGTGGATTAAATTGTTTTAAATGTTAGAAACTTTGCTGCAATTGATATGATTTACTTTGAAATAATGCAATGCGAGGCAAATTAACTATTAATACTAATTACTTCCTTTGTGTTTGCAAAAGAATATTTCATACAACTATAACAATTAGAGTACTTGATTTTTCAAACAAATGATTTGAGGTCATTTAAATTCAAAACTTTCTATTTTTAAAATACATTTTTTTCTGATGCATTAATAAACCTATATCTTACCAAAACTGCAATTGCCATTATTATTGCACCCTTCTGGGCAGATGTTGTCAATAACATCAGGAAGGCTTGTCCCCCCAAATTCATCTGTAATCCAGAGTTCTGTATCTACAGTCACAAAAATCTTACACTGGCTTCTCATGTTTTCAAGAGCAACTTCTGCCCAAAATTTGTCTGCTGTTAACTGTTGTGAAAAAAAAAAAATTAAGCATTTGCTATTAGTATGATCACTAGACTGAATAATCATCATGAATGGTTAAAATTCTTTTAAAAAGTTGTAGGAACACATTAGGAAAATATGACTTTCCTAACCTGGTAATCAGCAATACAAAAGCCAATGGAATTATAGTAACGTTCTCCTAGATAGCTTTGGCAAGATGCTACAGAAGCAGAACCTGAAATCTGTGTTAAACAGTAATTTCTTGCAACTTCGTAGGTAATATTTGATATAACAGGCTGAAATAAACAAAGAACATTCACTGTTGTTATGACAATGCTAGGAATTTCAAAATACAATTATGCAATAAAATTAAAACGAAGTACTATTTAGAGTGGTATTAAGTAATTGTCATAAGAGAGGGCAAAAGAAAGACATGTGAATTTAGCCAAAACATTGTTTGAAACTTAATTGCTATTGAAAACCTCGTAACAATAAACCCCAAAAAATTATCGTAATAAAACTGTGTAGTATAGAAATAAGTAATTACAGAAATGGCAAGGATACACTAGCTTGTTATTTTGACAGAAACACAGTAGTGGAGAAAGTAAATATGAATAACTCACAACGGAAACATAAGTTTCATTATAATAGAATTCCACTTGCTTCTGTGTAGAAGAACACTTTGGAGGAATTTCTTCACTGACACTTATCAGTGAGCTGGTAATGTCTTTACCTGATGATGGGTAATATAACAAGTTACAGCAGGAGTATACATTTTATTTTTCTCAATAAAATAACAGCTATATTCAGAAATTAGATTTGCAATGTTTTCCCTGTATAGAATTCACAAAAAACATTTCTCCATTAGAAATGACATAAAAAATTCCAAACCTTGTCTGAGTCTGCTGGAGATAGCACTAAGTGAGTCCTGAATGTCATTTCTAAAACACTGGAAGACATCTCGTCCTTTGCTGCAAGTACTAGCAGCACCAGATTGGCACTCACAGTAATAGGTGTCTGTGCTGTCAGAATCTGCTGCTTCTCCACAATAGCCATTGAAGATAGACTCATTCAATGGAACTCTGTTGTTCAATTAATACACAGATTTTAGATGTAAATTTCTTATATTTAATACACAATGAATTATAAATGTTTGTATTGATCATATCTAAATATTGATTTTCTCTCAATCTCAAAAGGTAATTCACCTCCATTTATTAGCATAATCTGCAGGTTCTGGGCTCTGGTCAGCTGATTTGGTTCCATCTAATTCAATGATGTCATTAGTTGCATCATCATCAAAGTTGCCACACAGGCCTAAGATCATACAAAGAAAAAAAGAAAATTGATAATTTTAAAGTTTTTGGATCATATTTCTAAAAAAATAAATAAATTATCTAGGGAGTCAGCTTATAGAAAACTTAACTAAAATTATTTTTATAGAGAAAACACTTTTATATAATTAGTATTTCATATTTTAATGTAATAGTATAACCATGTGATAGCTATTCTAATATTAGATCTTACATATAATCTTTATAGAAACCATCAATACCTTTCACTCGACTGAAGCTTCCACCAGCTGCATATATCCAGAAGTTAATGAAATTTGGAAGACGTTTTCCTTGCTTTGCATTGATGTACACAGCATCTCCATTAGGTAAATTAATCTGTTATAATAATAAGAAATATATTACGTAATGAAATTTTAAAGAAACAATTAGTTTATTTACATTTTTTTTTTAAACAACTATGAATAGAATTTATAAAATAATCCATAAAAATGCAACTTAACAAATATCAACAACTTACTGTGTATTTGTTGTTTTTATATTCATAGACTCTAAATCCTGGTTCTAAGTCATCATTTCTATAAAGTTTTATTTCTAAAGGCTTTATTTTTAGATCATCTTCATCCTCTGCATCGTGTTGACACTTGCCAATATAGACGACGTCATTCCCATATCTAACAGCAACTCCACAGTTACAAGCTGCAACTTTTCTACATGAACGGTAGTACCCATGTACCTGAAAGGTAAGTTGTAGAAATATGAATACACTATAACATTCAGAATACTAGACTTCAGTGTGGTAAATTCCTCACACCATGAATAGAAAAAGAAGCTACTGTTTAAAATTAATAAAAAATTCATCCATCTGTTTAAAATTAATAAAAAATTAGATAACAAATAAATAAGTTATTACAAATTAGGACTATGTTTAAGGAGTATATGCATAGGTATCCCCTTACATATAAAATAATGATCTGTTAAAACTTCACAAAGAAAGAATTCAATTCAGGAAATTATGATATTTTTTTTATTTTAATGCATAGACAATAAATACCTCAAATGGGAACAATATGTGTTTAAAAAGTAAAAATGTGCCCTCAATCATGACATCCAGTTTTCTGAAACAATTGTTTGTTGGAGCTAAAGTTAGCATGTTTAATTATTTCATTAGAGCTAATTATCAAATATACATGGACTTACATTTAATATTTATTCAGATAACTAGAAATTATGTAAAATTCAAGAGCTTATCTACCTTCCATCAAATGTTGTGATATGTGGATCATTCTCAGAACTACAACTACTTCTTCTATCTAGGTCCTTGATTGTCAGCTGAATTTGAACCAAAGAAAGAGTAAATTTAAAGACTGGTAAGCTCAAAGCTAACAATGAAATGTAATAATCATTACATAATAATAAACAAGAAAAACTATTAAATGGGTAAAGTGAAACTTACCTGAACTTGACCTAGGGACAGCGTGTTGGAGTAATCTTGTGTTGAGTTAATTGTTGCATACACCTCTATGGTTCTTTTCTGGTCCTTGTCTTTTAGAGCATCCACAACACCTTTGACATAGATAAAGTGAGTTGTTCTCCAGTTTTCTGAGGTCACCATGAGGCCACAGAATGTTTCAGTCGGGTTTGATTGTTTCCACTGAATAACAGCCTACAGATTTAAAAACACACATGATCATTTTATTCACTAGTTTCTTAATTTCAGTTAATTAGTTTGAAGTTATGTTAAAATAATTTATTAAACTTTTACAAAAAATGTATTTACCTGAGGTATTGGTCTTTGATCTGGGCATCGACTTTCTTGGCCAGTCTTTATTTCAGTAATGATGCGGACATGACAAGAATTCCTGAACTGTTCATTGCAGAACAAACGAGGAGGGACATAGCTTACAACAGAGATTTTATCTACACTTCCTTCAGGGATGACAAGTTGAGTTGTTTGAAGCTGCAGATAGAGGTTTTATGTTTTAAATTTTAACTTAAAAAACTATAAACACAAAGAAAATTTAAATGAAAAATTTGAAATAAGGTAAGATGTACTTATGAGGATCTACCTCAAGCCTGATGTAAATGTAGTCACTGGCAGTTGCTATTCCTTTAGTTAGTTCACAGTTAGCAGTCTCACATACGGTTACTTTGCAAGAAATCTAAAATAATAATTAACAGAAGTATAGTTTTTTAGTTATAAATATTTTCATATTTTTCATTGTATGTTATCCACAATACTAATTATCTTTAATGAATATTTAAATCAATTAGGTTATATATGTACGAGGAAGGGGGGGGGGTGTACCAATAATAAGGGTTTATGGGTGGCGGTAATGGTATAGTCACCCATCCATGCATCCTCATAGGGACAAGGAGGTTTACCAAACCTGAGCAAATTAATGACTAGATCTATACTGAATCATTGATGCTAAATTAATATTTAAATTTAACACACAGTCCAATACATTAATTTACATTTATTAGATGTCACATTGGCTTACATGTTTAAAAGCAATGAAAAGAATACAAATAAAACATGGCCTGACTTTCATATTCAAGAAAACATCACTTGAAATTCTAATACAAGCCAAAAGACCAAAAAAATCAGTTACACTTCAACTGGGGAATTATTCACCTTGGCTACTAACACTAGCTCATTGTTTTGATATAGAACAAGTCAGAATTCACACAGATAAATGTCATCCTCCCTAGTTCTACATCACTACTTGTACTACTCAGAATCACACATGTAAACATCATCATCCCTAGTTCTTACTCCACTAATTCAAACACAGTTAAGTCCTTCCATGAATACACAGTACTACTTTAAATGATATAGTCACACAGCAGTAGGAAGATTTCCGGCCACAGGGACAAGGTATCAGGGCCAAATGTACAAACATCTGGCCACAAGAACAAGTCATCAGGCCAAAGGTACAAACATCTGGCCACAGGAACAAAGCATCAGGCCATGGGTTCAAACATCTGGCCACAGGAACAAAGCATCAGGCCATGGGTTCAAACATCTGGCCACAGGAACAAAGCTTCAGGCCATGGGTTCAAACATCTGGCCACAGGAACAAAGCTTCAGGCCATGGGTTCAAACATCTGGCCACAGGAACAAAGCATCAGGCCATGGGTTCAAACATCTGGCCACAGGAACAAAGCTTCAGGCCATGGGTTCAAACATCTGGCCACAGGAACAAAGCATCAGGCCATGGGTTCAAACATCTGGCCACAGGAACAAGGCATCAGGCCACAGGTTCATGATTTCAGACTAATGGGAACAAGACATCAGTTTGGCCAATAAGCCAGCCTTTGTGGCTAGCCTTAGGTCAGCCACAATCCAAGGCCTATTCTGTAGTTTCTAGACACTTAACCAGAGCTACTCTTCCTATTATATACCAGTGGGCTACCTCACCCATTGCAGACCAAGGAACAGGTGTCTCTCATCAATCAGTACAAGTCAACAGACACTAGTCCAAGTTTTCAAGTCAGGCTCTGCACAGTCATTTGACATTTGAGATAACATCCAGTCACTATGCAATCATGCATTTTACACCTGACAACTGACCACTTAAGGTTTCCACGCTGCCTCTATTCTAATGATCTTGCTAAGGCAATAACGTCTTTCTATGGTCATGGGAATCATGTCTGGCATCCACCTGCACATCAGGAGTAATGGTTTTACCATGACGTTCAACGGCAAACCTGAACTTGACTTAAGACATAAATCAACAGGGGTGTCTCCCCATTGTTACGTGTCGCTCATGCACCCGCACATAGCTCGTAGCTATCGTGTGCCGATAACATTTAATTTGAATCTAGATTTCCCCTGGTCAGCTTGTCCCTAATATCTTAGGTAAACCCAGAGGCGTAGCGAGGGCAGGACGGGGGGTGCGGATCGCAACGGGTGACACCATTTAGGGGGGAGACACCAAGGCAAAAAAGCATATACACATACATGTATGCGTATGCGGCATATATTTAAATTATAGGCCTATGTAGGCCCACACAAACACACATATATACATATATATATATACATATACATATATACATATACATATATACATATACATATATATATATATACATATACATACATATATATATATATATATATATATATATATATATATATATATATATATATATATATATATATATATATATATATATATATATATATATATATATACACACTTTGTTCCTTGTGTGGGGGGAGGTGACACCAAGAAGTGCCGCACCGGGTGACACCCTACCTAGCGAAGCCACAGGGTAAGCCCCTTGGGTAGTAGTAAAATTGTGTTTGTAACTAGCACCTAGTCACCTAAGTCCCTTTAATAAGCACCCATGTTACTATTTCACTTTAGAATAAACAATAGAATACCAGCCAACATACAATAACATAAACATATGATATGAACATATATCTAACCTTGCTGTTGTATGTTAAAATAGGAAGTTTATCTTCTGTTAAGTAGGCAGAGCTTGTGGTTGATGAATTATTGATCTCCACATCATTATACAAGAAGCTTGTGATATAGCTGACAGTTGTGTCTTGCAGGGGTTCATATGCGCAAGTAAATGTAACTTTTTCTGTGACTTCATCTACAGTTATCTTCAATTCTGGTTTCTTTAACAGTACTAGTTGCCCTATAATACAAAAATATTAAATACATAGTTCATTTATTATTTATATACATGTTTTAATGCAAGAAAGATTAGTTTGATAACATTTAATTAAATTTGGGTATTAAAAAAAATCTAAGCTACCTACCATAAGTAATGCCTAATGTATCTACAATGTCTTTCTCAGCATAGATGAAGTTAAGAGATCCAAGCTCAAAAGATAAACTAGTTTTATTTTCAGCAGATCCCACATTAAAGTCACAAGCTCGCCTGGTTTGAATTTGGAATCTTCGTTTTATTGGTCTTACTCTCTTTGCTTCTAGCTCTTTATTGATGAATAACTGTAAATAACAAGCAGTGAATTTATTATAGCTTGTTACTTATCTAAATATCTTTCATTAAATTTTCAAAGAAGAGTGTGAAAAAAGTAATCTTTGCCTTACCCTCAAACCTGATTGTATGCTCCAAGAAATGTCAAAATTGAGTTGATCTACAGTGTTTATTCTCTTAGTGTACACTGTCCAAATTAGTTTCCTTGTTGTGAAGGTGAAGTACAGCCGTCTCCTACTGTAGTAGACAGCTATCCCAGAGGAGTCTGCATCATTTCCACAGCTTGTAAAGAGATACCCATTTTCTACAAACTTTGTGAATTTGACTGAGAACGAAACTGTGATACCAAAATTACAGGCTTCTAAGTCATTCAGGCATGGATTTCCCAGAGAATTTAAATTAATGCCCCCAGCTCCACCAAAGTTAATAACAACATGGTTCATAAAGTCAGTCTTTGTTGTTAGGTTGCCAGTAATGAGAAAATTTCCTTGAGTTGTAATCAAATTATTGCCATCTATTCCTTTGAAAATGATTAGTGCTTTTTGGATATCTGTTACTGAAATAAAGAAAATATTAATGTTTAGTAGCTTTACAATATGTTATACTTTTTTAAACTCACATAAGTTCAATTGCATAAGAAAAAAATGTATTATATGTATGACATAATTTAGTACAATTTAAAACCTGTCCAGATACTTAAATGATTTCCTACATAAAGATTTGTAGGACTCCAACATTACTTGCTTGTGCTATGTTAATGAATCAAAGAATTTTAAAGCCAATGTGTTCTCCTTACTTGTGATCTTAGTCAAACTGTCAATTGAATAGATTGTTTGACAAACAAATTCTGGATGGTCAATGTCATAAAAGCCATTAGCATAGCATTTTCCATTTATTTTACACACATTTTCCTGGGATGAAAAAATGATACAGGCAATAAGCTGTAGGCTATATTGAATAAAAATGTGTGTAGTTTTTTTTACAATTTCTCTAAAATAAACATGAAATAAGTGTCATAAGTTGTCATTTTGATCAGCTTATGCATTTATAAAAAGTAAAGTGTATAGGAACAAACTTATTAATATCTGAAATTAAAGTGCAAAAGTAAGTAATCACTTTCATTTTTTTCAAAGCATATATAAAAAATAGTTTTAAGTTTCACGTTGAAGCATGAGCCAACTGTTACTTACTTTAGGTGTGCAAGGCAAAACTTCACAGCTTTCACAGACTGAATCATAGATAGTGAAATTTAAGAAATCACTAAAGTTGATCCCATTGTTACTGATAGACACAGTGAATGATCCAGGTACATTAAATGGGCAAGTAACTATCTCTCCAGAGACAAAGATAGCAAGGATATTGGACACAGTACCATCCTGTAAAAGTTTAAAATTGTGATTATTTTATTCACAAGCCAGTTTTCAGCTAAAATGTCCCAACATTTATAAATCAATATCTATTGAAAAAGTATGATTTACAGATTAAAGGTGATTACAACAAGCATTCTGCAGACTTACAGAGTATGATTTAATGTGGCAAGTAAGGTTGGAGGACTGAGCAAAGTTAACACCAAATATCTTGATGACACAGTCTGACATTCTGGTGTCACATTTATTTCCTTCATCAATAACTGTCAGGGTAGGTGGGTCGGTGGATACAATGCTACAGTCTGGGCCCAAGAGACCTTCATTACATACACATCGGCCTGGGGAATATCCAAGACAAAACATACATCTTTATTTTGTAAATTAATTTTGTATATTAATTAAATATTTAAAAATGCATCTATCCATACCTGAAGGTAAGTTGCATCTAATTTAAGTGACATATTCTATTTTAAAAAATTATTTTTAAAATAATAGTTTAAAAAAAAACTTCAATATGAATATTGTTTGGAATATACTGAAGCTCAAAGATTCCAAATCTTTAAAGAAATTGTTTTAACATAGAAATGATAATTTAATTAAATATCCAATATAAAAACAAGAGGATATGTCTCATACCTGCTTTACAAGTACCATTATTGTTGCAGTCGTTGAGACAGCTAGCATCTGTAATACTTTGAGGAAGTTTGACAGTATCACCATCCACTATCCAGAGGCTAACATTAAAATTGACTTCTATGAGGCAGACAACACGAATATCTAGCAAAATATTCTTGGCCCACTTTAGATCATCCATTATCTAAATTAAAAGGAAATATAAATGAGAAAAATATTTTATTTTTCTATAGTAATTTGACATTTATAATAACTAAACATATAAAAAGACATTATTTAAGGTTTAGTGATAATTTTTTTTACCTGTATGTCAGTAATACAATTTAGTAATGAAGTAGGTAGTTGGTATTCTATCAGATCTTTGCAAGCCTTGTACATGGTACTAATTTGCACAATAGCATTACAGGCAGCAGTTGCCTGATCTTTGGTGATTCCACTCTTTGTTGGCCAGGATGGTAACTAAAATAATTGCATTGTAAACAAAATGTTATAGCTGTAATAATTTATATTTATATATATTTTGAAATATATATTTTTAAAAATTAAATATAATGATGAATTAAATAAAATTTAAACTAATGCAAGACAATTTTTGCTAGAAAAATGCTACAAAAAGATATTTATTACACTTACTGTAAAAACATAAGAAGGATCGTAAACCCATGTAACATCAGTTTCACTTGGAATACAACTGTCCACAACATCTCCACCTTCACTTAAAGTCTTTATGATGTCAGTGCCTAAAAAATAAACAAAAAGGCTTGAACTTTCTTAAGCAATAAATCCATAAACAAAATCCATAAACAATAAAATATTTAATTTTTAATATAAGAAAAATTTAAAACAAGCTAACCATCATCAGAGCTGGATGAATCAACACTATTACAGGTTTGAATCTCAGAGTCAGTTGAGCAGACAGGGGATGATAAATCATTTCTGCAGTCACACTTGACTGATGATGTTGTGGTTTCTTCAACAGGGTTACAGAAACCAGTATAGAAACTTTGCTCTGTACTGTTCAACCTAGAATAGTTTAAATGCTTTGGATAAGTCAAGTTAAGGATTAACGTCGGTTCTTATAATTTTTTAGACAGTTTTTTTCAGATCTCTTCACAACTGCAAACTAATCAATTACAATACATATAAAAAAAGAACATATATTTTTTTGAGTAAAAAGAACCAGTTACCTCCAAGAGAGAATGAATTTCTCAACTTCAGAGTCCCTAACAAGGGTGCTACTTTGCAGTCTGAGGTCATTACTATCATCATCATCATTATCACCACACAAGCCTACAAGTAGGTTAAATTGATTGATTTTTATGTGTTTATCATAAGCATTTAAGAATAGAAGCTAGGTCAAGACACCGTTTTTTTTTCATTTGGTCTTTAAAGCTTCCGAAGCAAACTTTCTGACCCAAATTAATGGCCTTTGCAGGGCAATTATTTAAGCAAAAATTGCAAATGTGTGATAATGCAATCAAAGCTGGTAAATTCTACTACCCTTAAAATATCTTTAATTAACATGGAAAAATTGATAAAGACAAAATAAGATATTTAACACAAAGTACTACTTTGGTCTCAGCAGTTTTGTGTTCACTGATTTTCTTTGTAGAGAACATGAAAATAATTATTGACATTCTTTATATTACAAAAAAAAAATGCAGCGAAAACTTATTATCTTTGAGGCTACAACTCATTATCTACTGAAAATAATATGACACACATTTTTATGTAATTGCCTTTTAATAATACAATTAATCATTTTTTAAATGTTTTTATCAGATAAGTGACAATACCTTCAACTTGCTGGAAGTCATAAACACTTGCTAAGATATACACCTCAACAACATCATGGGCATTTATTCCTCCCATACCATTAGTGGCGGCATGTACTTCTATAGTTGTGCCAATTGGAAGAGTTATCTGTTAATGATAAGCAACATTTTGTTTTCATTTCAATGTAAAAACCAAGATAATTTAAGCTCTGATCTCTACATATTATACTGCTGAATACCTTATAGCCTCCATCTTTGAGTTGGATCAGTGTTGTTCCAGGAGTTAGTTCCCCATTCAGGTAGATTCTAGGCTTTAGCGCAGCTCCTAGTACTCCTGCCTGGCATCGTTCTAATACAATGATATCATTTCCTGACAATATACCTAGACCACAGTTGCAGGCAGCTTTGCCATTGCATGTTGTTTGGAAGGTTCTTACCTAAGTAACAATTTAAAGGTTGGTTCAAAATGTAGTTAAAATAAAATAGTATCATTACTTAAGTCAAACTAATAACTAAAAATATGTTTCTCTAATTACAATTTTTAAAAATTGTTTGTTAAAGTCAATTTAATTTTGCAAACATCAGTACAGAGAAAGTAATATTTTTTAATCTGAAAAAGCAAAATATTCTATTTTCCATTTTTTATTTTTGCTTCATTTGAATTATAAGTTGATTATACAGTTCTAAAATGATACTGACCTAAAAAAAAATGTATTATCTACTTAATGAAATATTTTTACAAACAAACATGTAAGCATTATAAATCAATTACAGCCAAACAATTTTTATAAAGGACAGTCAATCAATAATCATTCATTTTTTACACTTATATTAAGTACAAATAAATAAGTGTAACTATTGAAATCTAGTTTTAAAAGTTTACCTCATAAGGCAATGTTTTGTGCCTGTACATTATTAGCTCTCCCTGGTAGTAATTGTTGTACAACCTTGAATTTAAAAAAAAAGATATAGAATAAAGCCACACATTAAAACCAACATTTTTTTTTACATACTGCAAATATTGGAAAGTATTATGATTTCTCAGGTGAGCAATCTATTTAAAATGGTTTAAAATATTTATAGGCCTATAAATATTTTAAATTCAAATAACAGTTGCATAAACAGAAACATACTTCTCATCAAATGTTTTGAAATGTGGATCTCCAGTTGCATGACATGTTTTGGCTTTTCTATCCATATCTTTGATCATAACCTTTACAAAATACATTTTGAAAAACAATGTTACATTCTGAAGGTAATTATTATGTAATTTCAAACAATTTTTAAAAAGAAGTTTTAAAGTTTGCCAAATCATAGTGGTATACCTTAACAGTTAGAGATGTTTGGCTATAGTAAGTTCCATCTGAAACTACTGCAGCTTCAATCAAGACTGGCTTAATTCTGTTATTATCCTTCAGCTGATCAATTGTGCCTTGAACAATAATGTTGAGACTGCTTGTCCAGGTTTGTGTGGTGATGCGGTAGTTACAAGCCCCATCTCTTACATAACTGTCTGGGACTGGAAACACCAGCTGTGACAAGCGAGCTCTATTGGGGCATCTCACATCTTGACCATCTTTCACCACAGACGTTTGCAATGATATGTAACAGTCATCATTGCGTTGCCCAAAGGGACAGAAAAGATTTGGTGGTAAGGAACATGACACTAATATTGAAGTCTGGCCACCTTCATATACCTCAATTGACTGATCTACAACCTGTTTTTTTTTTTGGAAAAAGACTATTGTTAGAAGTTTTCTAAATTAAAAAGAAAATAATTCTTAAACATATTTGAATTGAAATCTGCAACTATTCATATAACTACAACTAAACATTTGCATAGGCCTGCATGCATACCTTTGCTGTTCTGACAATGATTGTTAAGGTAATTAATTATTTGAAATATTATTAGCTAAAACTCTGCACATAAAATATGACAGATATACCTTTAGTTCAGCTACTATAATATTACTCTGCCTCACTGGTCCTAGAGTGGAATTACAGTCATCGCTATAACATGCAGAGACCTCACAATAAATCTTGTATCCAAACATTATTGGGAGTTGTATGTCATCTTCACTTAAGTTGGCTGAGATTTTGTTTCCTTGAATATACGGTCCCTGGCAATCATTAATACAGTGGTTAAGCAATGGAGAACTTTGTCTTCTACTTGGCTACTTTCTTAAACACTAAGAACACAACAATGTATTTCTGACCATCTAGGCAAGGAAATATGAGTTTTATCCAGCATTTACAGCAGATGGTTTTAAAAACAAAAATTAAAAAATAACAAATGTTGAGATGGATAAAGCAGAAAGAAAAAGCTGTACTGACCTGGCTAAAACTTGTTTTGCCAACAAAGAAGTTGAAAAAGTAGGTGACATTGGCTACTTGTAGAGGATTAACTGAGCAGACAAATTCTGTTTTGTTGGCTGTCGTCACTACACTTATAGATGGTGGGTATGCAAATCTGGGTAGGTCTAAACATTAAAAATGAAAAAAAAAAATGAAATATAAATGAACAATTCACTTTAATAAATTATATATTGCTATGCAGACAAATGGTGTATGAAGAGTAAAAATTTTATAATTAATTTACAAACCTAGGCTAATTTTGAGCTCTGCAGCAACAGTATAATAGGCATAGATGATACTCAGGTCAGAAACTGATATTTGTGAATAAGACAAATCAGTGTCAGAAATGGGCCTTGCAAAATAACATTTGCCTGGTGCTTCTAGTGTGCGATAAATTCTTTGAAATTTTCTGTCTTGGTATGTCCTGCTCCCATCAAGTTTCAGATACAGACCATTATTCATGCTCCATGACAACATCACATCAACAAATTTGCCTAGGTAAAATCTTCTATTGTAGGGGCCATGGACCTTTAAAAAATTCAATCATATAAATGTAATTTTCTTAAATAATTTTAATAGACAATTATCATTTTTATCATTTTAAAATAACAAAATGGTAAAAATGTGAGCATTGATAATTTACCCTCCATTCTTTATGTTGTGTTCTTAAACGTGCATTAAGTTTGTTGCCTTGATACCATATAGAAAGGCCAGCTGTCCTCAAGGAATCAGCCCCACAAGAAAGAATATACATTTTGTTTCTAAAGTAGTTGATTTTCAAAGTAAATTTTACTGTCAGACCCCAAGGGCAACCAGCAACACTACCTAGGCAAAAATCTAGAAAGCAAAGTAAATTAATATTTCAATACTAGTAACAGAAATACTAAAATTATACATAATACACACAAAATTATCAGTGGCATAGGCAATAGATACAGCAATTGGAGATAGAGCACTCATGTCAATAAAGGTTTGCAGTTTGAAAACTTAATAAATTATAATTCTACATTATATAAACTTTCTGGTGTGTGTGCATGCTTGTTTGCCATAAAAGATTATAAAGTTTAAAAACTTCTTCAATATTCAACAATAAACAGTACCTGGTTGATCACCAAACATGAGATAATCATTGACACCATTGAAGTCTATAGCATAACCACCAGCTGGACCAGGAATTAGCTTTGGAGATCCAAAAAGATGAAGATCAAATGATGTAGTTTTCAATATGTCTCCTATTATTTTTATAAAAGACAACCAGTTGACATCTATTTGTGTCTCTAGAAACAAAAAATGAAATGGTAAAAATCATTAAGATGTTTTCAAAGTTTAAAGCTCAAATATTTTACTATAGTTAAACACATCTAAAAATAAAATTAAACGGGTAGATAATGGTTACAAATTCACAAAATTTATTCACTTGTAATTAAGGTCCATGATGAATTACTACTTGTAGTGTCACATATTGCACTGCCACTTATTGTTGCTCCATTTTCATAGCAGATGTTGTTGATGCTACAAATATCAATCTGAAATTGTTTTCAAAAACTGGATTTACTTTTTTTTAGTTATTATTAAAAAAAAGTAAATTAATTTAATTTATAAATGTGTAACTAAACACACATTTTAAGTTGTAAGAATGAAAAGTATGATAAAATGTTTAACTTACCCTTCTCGTGCATCCTCCTGATGTGCACGAGTCACAATTAGAGTCATAGGAAATAAACTGGAAAGGATTACTAGGTTTACTAGTACTGGTCGAGATAGAAATCTCCCAACTGCCTGTTTGAATCAGATCACACCTGACCATTTCAGAGCTGATGAACGTAGCATTAAACTCCAATGTTGTTGCACTAGCATTCACTATCACAGAATCTGATGTTGTCTAGGTAATACAAATATATACATTTATAAAAGTGTTAGGTATACTACTAATATTTTGAGAAAAATGTGTGACTCTGCAAACTAAAATAAATACACAGAACGTGAATGTTGGCTTTTTTAAATCAGAAAAACCATAATTACCACAAGCTGGCGTAAAATGCACTTCACATCACCACGTATAAAAGGATAGCCAAGTATGGTTATTTTTTTGCATTGGTTTTGATCCTGTGTAGAGTCACAGATGTTGCCACCCACAATGTTCACAAGGGTTGGTGGTTTACTTTTGTCAATTGAACAGTCATAACCAGCAAATTTGGGTGAACACAAGCACCTGTAATCTGCAAGTAATAAGTTAGCTTAAACTTAATGATTATATTTTTTCAAATCATCTTTCAAAATTTTGGTTTTGTTTGTTTTCAACACTAGCAGTTTTCTTTTAATTTCTAGCTTTTATTTTTATGTTGTGTAGTTTGATAACACCAATGACAAAAATAAGTTCACACAGATATTGAATGGTTAAGCTGATAAAATCCAATGTATACCTGGCACATTAATTTAAAAAAGATTTACGCTTCTGATTTTATAAAAATCCATTTTAATGTGTTTCAGATATAAGTTGTTGAAACTTTATTTCCTTACTTGAACAATTTCCATTGTGATTACAATCAGATGGGCAGAAATTAAAGTCCTGACTGGTTACATTAAGTGAAATTTTTGTTTGACACTGTGTTTCAATATTGATTGTCAATGATTTCAACCAAATGGGATCATCAGTCATCTAATAAATATTATGGCAAAGTGTTAAACACAGAGATCAAAACTTTAAAAAAATTGCAAATCAAAACATTTAAAAAACACAATTATGTCCTTGCAATTACCAAAGCAGCAATAGACAACGACTGTTATTTATAATCAAAAAAGGTAAAATTATGTAATCTTACCATGAAGTCTAACACACAAAACCTCAATGCAGTTGTAATATCTATATTGAAGTTTTTAATGCATGTTTCAAGAGAAGAGTTAGTTACTGCTTCAAGACACAGTTTATAAACATCTGCTTCTTCCTTCATGGATGGTGTCGGCCACATAACAGTCTAAAATTGAATATAAATATTTTCAATATATATTTAATTTACTTTATTAGAGCTACATAAAACTATAAACATCTTTTCCTCCATCAAGAATCTTGTAGTTATTTGGAGGTTTGAATTTCACTTCACTTGTTCTCTTTAAAGAAAGAATATAATAGTAGGATGACCATTTTTAAACTATCCCCTGTACTTGAAACACATCCATCAAAACATATTTATAATTATTAGATGCATTGTACCTGAACATTGTAAGTGTAATTGAGGTCTGCCTCATATATGGGTACATCCACATCTGGATCAAAGCATTGAGCTGGTTCTTCTGAGAGATCAATGAGACTGTCTGTTATGTCCTCAACTGTAATTTTTAATCAGAAATTATTATCAGTTTCTTTTAATACAACTGATATTTTCACAGAAATTATTGTTTTTAAACATAATTAAAAACCCACATAAATCAGGATAAAATAATAAATTTTATTGGAAGTTGTAACAGACTGAACTATTATGTATAATAACTATATTGTAAACAACTATGACTGAATGAAGAAGAAAAAAAGCTACATACACTGCTTGAATACAGGGTCATTGAAATCTTTTCTACAATCCACCATGTACTGATCAGACCCACAAGGTTCAGTGCCATTTGATAAGCAGCTACAGTAGGTGTTAAAGGTCATGTCATCATCATCTTGAGGACAATAACCAGAGTAAAGCGAGTCCTTTGGTTGTACTCTGAGCAACACAAATAAAGAGTATGTGAAGAGATGTTGAAAAAAAAACTCTCTCTAAAATATGTGTCACAACTTCTCACATTTTAAAATAATTTTGAGATCCAAAGTTACTTTATTTCTAAGTTAATGTTTAACATAAACATAAATAAAATATAATACATTTCTAAAGCTCTCTAGTAAAGAATTTAAAATGCTGGAAGAAGAAAGAAATTCAGTTACATTAACAAAAAACAAACATTATAAATTGTAACTATTTGAGTTCTATAAGTAAAGTTCCACTTTCAGGCCAAGCAATACATAGGGCTGATGAAATAGTTTATGTAATTTGACCTTGCTATATGAAGGGATGATGCATTATGCTCAGCAGCCTTTACTTTCCAGTTACGTGAATCCAATGCCCATCATTGCTGGGTGGATTCAGGGACATTCTGCAGTCCAGAGTCCAGGAGGAGATCCAAACTCAAGACCCTCAGTCTCTCAGATGAGTGCCCTACAACTCAACCACACTGTCTTACTATTGTGAGTTCCATATTTATTTATTTTTAAAATAACTACAAACCTCCAGGATTCATAAAATACATTTTGCTCTGTTCCACCAACAGCCAAATTTTTTCCATCAGAAGAATAAAATTCATTTGCTGTGTTGTCATCAAATGAACCACACAGACCTACAAATTATAAAAAGGTCAGTTTGTAGTTGATCCAATAACAAAACTAACACAACTCACTAAAGCAATTGTTTTCTGTTATTAGAAACATAAATATAAGAAATTACCTTCAGTGTGCCTGTAATCAACTGATGAGGCTGTTATCCAAATATTTAAATATCGAGGTTCTCCAGTGAAGATAAAATTCTCATTTTTTATTATTATTTTAGTACCACTTGGAAGGAGGACCTGACAAAGATGAAAACTTCATACTAGAAACCTGTTTTTATTCATAATTAAATCAAAAGAAATAGTCAGGAAACTTATTTCAATCCAAAATACAAGAAAATTGATTTAGATACTATGTTTAGTTTTTATGTTATCTTCACAAGTTAACTGGTAACTATTAAACATGTTAATTTGTTTTGTAATTCATTTAAATTAGTTAACAGCAGAAGGTGACTAAAGTATTAAGGCTCAGAAATCTTCACTGTACTATTGTTTATAGTTAAAGACATGTTTAAAAGTAAAGTACAAATCTGAGACCTGATGATCCATTCAACAGATAAAATGAAAGATCCACCCTACCTGATACTGGTTTCCATCATTTAATTTCAAAACCTTGAATCCTGGATTGATGTCTCCATTTTTGTACAGTTTAACAGTCAGTGGATAGAAAAGATTATTGCGATTGGGACCGCAACGGTCAATCAAAAGTACATCATCCTCAACTTGAATACCAAATGCACAGTTGCATGCAGCAATGTTATTGTTACATTTTCGGTAGAAGCCATGTACTTTATAAGGCAGAGTGGTGTGTCTGTATATCACGAACTCTCCTTCTTTGTAAATATTATGTAGCCTGTATCATAAAATATATACTTTTAACAAAAAAATAAACAGTTATTTTACAAGAAGAAATGACACCTACAGATAAATTCTATTTTTTTTTTAAATTATTAGGTTAATAAACAATGCTTGATAAAAAATGTAAGTACATAACAGATTTAAATCTCTATACATACACTCCATCAAAAGTTGTATAGTGGGGATCATTTATAGACTGGCATTGTGTTCCTGTATCTTTGTCAATGACTGTTACCTATTTAATTATATGAAAATGAAAAAAAACATTACCATTAATGCATCTATTTCTATTATAAAATTAGAAATCATAATCTGATTCTTTGGTTGTTTTAATTACTCAGTGTCATAAATATTCAGTAATGAGTATTCCTTTTCTAACAAGAACAACTTACCTGTGTTGTATGGGTGATCAAAAATACATCGCCACCAGAACATGAAACTGAGACAGTGATATTAATCTGGCCAGTGACATCTCCATCTTTAACCATGTCCACTGTAGCTTGAATGGGAATCTGTAGTCCTGTATCCCAGCTGCTGGTTGAAATGTTCTGATTACAAGTAAAACTGGTGTCATTCTGATTTATGTTAGAGAAGACAACTTGTCTTAGTGCATTGCCATTCTGGCATGTTTGTGGCCCATTGAAGTTGAAAACATTGATTGAAGCTTGGAGCCAAGTTGAATCTGGGTTGGAGGATGCACAGAAGAGGTGTGGTGGAATTGTTGAGGTTACGTGTATAAAGGCTGTATCCCCACCTTCTGTGACAGTAATTTTAGTTTCTTGAACCTGAAAAAATATGTGAAAATAATAAAAATTAAATGATGCGTATATAGATGTAAACATCATTGTATGATCTAAAAGTTATTTTAATATTTATTAAATATATATTGTTAAGACAATTAAGTCTACAGATTTAAAAGTAGCCTCCTTTTAAAAATACATGACTTAAACATAATTATAAACATGATTGAGAGATTAGGAAAAGAGTAAATAAGATAGTCTTACATTAGGCCTCATTACTTTGCATGCTTACCTTTACTATGATGTCAAACGTTGTGGTGAATGTAGGTCCACTGAGATCAGCACAGTTGTAAGTGTAGCAAGGTGTCACAGCACAAGCAATCTATTTTAAAAAGCAATCAAGTTTATACAATGAGAAACTAATTAGCAAAAGGTTAAGTAATGGTCAAATCTTATCATAACATTATATAACACTGATCTGTTGTTACATTTTTGTAGTAGATCTGTTACACATGAATTATCTCAACTCAAAAAATAGAACTCTTAGTGTTAAAAGTTGTTATACATTTTTGTTTTTGTAAAAACCAGTAGATTGGATACAATGCTAATTTTATTAATATAATTTGATTTTTTAAAAATTGATAATTAGCGCTTAATTACCTGTGAACCGTAGCTTCTATTGACAATGTGACTTTCATCTAGGATACTGGTATTGTTTGTTCCATAGATGTATTCTTGTTTAACTTCTATATCATTTAAATACCATTGAACATTGTACTCTACATTGCCACGCATCAGATTCACAAAGGTGCAAGTGAAGAAGGTGAGGCTTGTTTCAGACTTGTATTCCACAGTAATGATTGGTGGTGATTTCAGAGTGGGAAATTCTTAAATGTGAAAAGAATTAATCAGTTGAGATGTCGTTTTAATGAGTTCACAGCTGAATTAAAATAATTAGAATACTTTTTTTTTATTAAGTAAATAGTTGTAATTTGTTGTTACACACATACAATACTTGAATTGTTCAATTGTTTGTCTTTAAAGAAATATTTTCAACTATAAAAAAAATTTAACAGGAGTGTTATTTAATTACTAACCTGTAATAACTCCAAGAGCTGTCAAAACTGGCTTTGCAGCTGTGAAAACTGTCAGGCCTCCTAAGGTCATGCCAATAGCACACTTGCTGGATGTAGTAGAACCAATCACTAGATCTCCAAAAGAACTGCCTAAAGTCTCTAGAGCTGTGTATGAAGTTGTTTCCTTGACAACACTGTTCCATGAAACAGCTAGACCAAGTGAATTTGACCAGCTTATTTCAACTGGTATAAACCTGGAAGATATTTAATTATTGAATAAATCTTTAGGACTATTATCTATTCCAAGTTTTTTTACAAACAAATATTACATCATTTAATTATTCAAATAGTTAATAACTTGAATTTAAATATTTTAATACATTTTTATCTAAACTAGCCCAAGAAATTTAATACTTATTTTTTTTGTTTGAAATGTGAATATAATAACTGAAAACTACAATTCTTCTAGTTACCTTGAATCATTATTATCATACATCAATTTTTTTAAAGTTCAAGTTTAACTTACTTGTTGATTTCTGCTTTAGCTATTTTAAGTGACCACTGCCTATCCAGAGTGCGGACAAAAGTATGCACCCAACCATCACAGATAGACAAAGCAAGACCAGATCCAGTTTTGTCTGTTCCCCAAGAACTCATCACAAGACTGTCACACAATGACTCAAATTTGATGTTAAACTTGATTGTGAAGCCTGGTTGTTGGTGTAGGTTAGTATTTAAATAAAATATATTGTCTCTGGCTATCGTTACAAGCTGGCCAATTTTAGAGAAAGGTATTGCCTTTTCTCCTCCATAACCAGTGGTCAGTTGAAGTCCACCCACAGCTGTCAAGTTTCCATGTGTTGTTTTAAGCAACGTTGAGCTAAAAGCTTCATATTTGTAATCTTTACGAGAAACAGCTTCCTCTGTAAATTATAGTTATAAATTAGCTAAGCAAATTGTGACAGATCTGTTATAACTTAGATTAAACATGTAGTCTTATAGCAGATAATCAGGAAAAACTGAGCCTAAAATATTAAATATAAATGCTTTAACTTGTCTTTCATTTTTCCATATTTTTTTTAATTGAAAAATAGATCTGAATTTCAATAGATAAAAAAAAAATTACATGCGTTAAAAATAATCTAAACTCTTATTTCACAAAACAACTAATTTAATTCAGTTTATAAAATGTTTACAAGTCTTACTTGGAATAGTAGTCCATGATGAGGAGTTGGTTGCCCAGCAATATTTTACAGGATCATCTTTAAAGACCGAACCACTTTCATAACAATGGTCATTTATGATACAAGTATCATTCTGTTAAGAAAAATTGAAAATAATTTATTTTACCCGTATGTAGTTTTTTAAATCTATTCTAAATTACTGCTGGATTCTTAAAAATATAACATTGATGTTCTACCTTGTTTGAACAGCCATTTTCATTACATATCATACAGTTTCCATCATACAGGATCCAATTGATTACTTTTCCTTTATTGATGCCATTTAGGCTAATTTCTATGGTAGCAGATTGCTGTAGGGTCACATTGCAGATAACTTTGTTGTTACTGATGTAGATAGCTTTGTGTGCTGTTGTTGTTTGCTGAGAAAATAACCATTCAGATTTTATTTGTGAGTAAACAAATAAATTATACTTGAATCAACTTTAAATGGTGCATTACTTTTTAGATAATAAATCAGACTTTAAAAACAAAATATATCAGCTGATTAACTTAAAAACATCACATACATTTTAAAATTATGTAATCACATTTTTAACACGTTTTTCTTAACTCAGCTTCGCGTTTGTTTGGATGTTTGTTGTTAAAAGGACATCGAAAATTAGCCCACTTCTGATTGCTCTAGAGATCTGAAATTTGGAATGCAGGCTATTTTCGCCTAACAATTTCAGATGCAATCATAAAAACTAGCAATTAGAGACCTAAATTAGCTTAATTAAATTACGCCCCAAGGACCATAAAATCGAGGACATGATTTCTAAACATACCGACAAGACTGGAGGCCTATTGACACAGTTACTTCGGCCCCAATCGATGTGAGCGCGCTGGCCGTGATCGTATAGTGGTTAGTACTTCGCGTTGTGGCCGCGACAACCCAGGTTCGAATCCTGGTCACGGCATGTAGGCTTAATTAAATTACGCCCTTTCTCTGTTTAAAGCGTATCGGTCGCTCAAGATTTTTAGTCCGTGTATTTATAAACACTTAGTCAAGTCATACTTAATCAAGTCATTAGATAAAGTAGAAAATAAACTATATAAAAAACTTTTTAAAAAGGAGAAAATAAAATACTTAAAAAAAAACTTTTTTAAAAACCACGTTTTTCTTGTTGACTAAAAAGTAGAAAATAAATTTTTCTTTTGTGCTTCCTCGAGCTGTGCAGGTTCTTGTGATGACTGACAAAAAACGTGGGTCGGGCAGATGGGTCGGGAAATTTGATGGTGAACGTACCCACGTTTTTTGTCAGTCATCACAAGAACCTGCACAGCTCGAGGAAGCACAAAAGAAAAATTTATTTTCTACATTTTAGTCCACAAGAAAAACATGGTTTTTTAAAAAGTTTTTTTTTTAAGTATTTTATTTTTAAATAGACAAATTAAATCTTACATTCATAGTTACATGACATGTTAAGTTCTGGGTATCAACAAAACCAGACCCTAGAATTTCAATTTCTTCACAGTTTTTAGATGAGCTGGTGTCACACTTTCCACTGAGAGTTAGTATTGTTGGGGGTACAGTCAGATCCACTGAGCAGTTAGAAGAATCAAGGCCTAGTTTACAAAAAAAAATATATTTAGCTCAACATAATTACAAGTTCTACATTGATGAGTTAAATCTCACAATTAGTTACAATAGAGTAACTCCCTACCAGTAACACAATTGTTGTTGTCTGGGCATCCACAAATATTAATCTCTGGTGCAGCATTGTTAATCCACAGGGATACATTGGTGTTGATGAAATGAAGACATGACCACTTATAGCTGGACTTGTATTCTTTGGTGTTTGAGGTGTCTTCGGTCCTCTAGAAAAAATATAACAATCGGGTTTGAATAAGCATTGTCTAATTCTATTTGGAAATATACAATATTGCTGCCAATATTTTAATTACCTGGATATTGGAAACACAGGTTTGTATGATGGTCTCAATGTCCAGATAGGTATAAACATTAGCACAATATTCACCAATTGCATTTTTATCTAATGCAGTCTGACATAAGCTTTTTACAGCTGCTTCTGTTAAGTTCTTGTTTTTTGTTGGCCATGAGGAAAGCTAAAAAAAATAATAACAAAATCATAAAACATTTTATGACATTGAACATTTTTGGACAAAACCAAATTATATTGATACTAATATACAAAAAGTTAAAAAGTTGTATACCTGTGGAATGTATGCTTCTTCCATGTCATAAGAGAATTTCTTGTTAGGGTCACAGCAATCAGTAGGAGTGTAGGAAAACTGCACTAGTGAGCTTGTAATATCAATGCCTGAAATTTGAGAAGGATTCAAATCTAGTGCCTTGTTCATTTGGTGCAAATAATAAACTGTTGATAAATTAAGAACTGAATATTTTATTTCAAGGATTTACAGCTTTAAAGCATTTTTTTTAAATAATAAACATGTATTTTATTTTTATATAGGTAAATATAAATCTTATTAAACCATTAATTTTACCAGTATTTAATGTTTTTCCTGATACATTATTAGCTGCAATATCACAATAGGTGATGTCTAGTCCTGAGTCACAAATTAGTTGTGATGCACCATCACATTGGCAGTAGTTATCAGTGTCTTCAGCTGGCATTGATGATTCTGAGCAGATTCCATTTAAATAGGAAATACTTGCCCTATAAAAGATTTAAAACAGAATTATTTTTTCTATTAAATTTCTTTTTAATTTAGAAAACTTACAGGAATACTGAAAATGGGCTATTAAAATAGATATTTAAGAATTTGCAATGATAGAAATAAATTACAAAAAAACAACTTTGATAAGGAAAATTTATGTAGGTTTGATGGTTGATAGTTACTCTGAGTTAATTATATAAAAATTATTTCCTAAAAAAAGCTACTTGAGCTGACTACTTCAAATACAAATTTTAATAGTCACCTCCAAGCTTCAATGAAAGCTTCTGTATCATTATCATTGCTGAAGTTTGAGGCAATGATATCATTGTCTACTAGTCCATCATTATTTCCGCATAGCCCTAGATTTGAAAGGTAAAATGTTAACACACTTACATTTATAACTGGTACACTTTAAAATGAATTTAATTTACTACAAAACAGATGTTTGAATGTTACTAAAATTTACCTTGAAGTACTCCAGAATCATAAGTGTAAATCACTGTGTTTAGGCTGTTTTCATTTACCATAACCTCAACAAAGGAGCCATTTGGTAGGGTAATCTAGAAAGTTAATGCAGCAATGAATTTATTTCTATACAAAACTAATCTTTTTTTAAAAAGTAATGCTTTCATTCTATCACTTTTTTTATTAAGTCAAAATAATTTCAAAATTTTTATTTCAAATGTTCATACAAAATTTAAAAAAAGGTTAACATACCGTGAACATTTTTCCATCTTCAAATCTGGCAATGCGTGTTCCTGGAGTGAGTTTGTCATTCAAGTGTAGTCGAACATCAACAGCTCCAGAGGAAGTACAGTGATCAATGGTAACTACATCATCATCAGACTTTACCATGACTGCACACATGCATGTCGATGTGTTATTATAACATGATGTTTGTATGATGTGCACCTAGTTGATAAAACAATAGTAAAAAAAATAATAACATTTTATTTACATTATTAAACCTATTGATTACAAAACAATAACAAAACCGTAGTCAGTTTCTGTATTGACAAGACAAACGGAAAAATTTACCTCTGCTGAAGAGCCAGTGCTTTTGTAGGCAACAAATTCTCCTCTCAGGAAGTTTGAATATGGACTGAATTTTAAAAAAATTGAATTTCATAAATGATTTTCAGATTATAACTACAAATATCTGGACATTAAACTTATAACACTGTATTTTATGAAGCCTTCAGTTAAAAATAATAGATTAAATTATTTTTAAATACTGATAGTATTCACAGTATTCAAAAACATGTATGTCAATCACATAATATTTTTGGGACAATGAATTAGATCAGACACATTCTATAACAAGTACTAGAGCTTAAAGACTTTAGATTTTTATTAGAGCAGAGAAAATTTTTAGAAAGATTATATCTCACATTGTAGGGACATTAGAAGCTTTGAGATAAAAACTGTGTGGTATGTATAATTATTTGATCTATTTCTAATAGTCCCATATTTTAACAAGGCTTAACTAATTTATAAGTCACAACAATATGTTGTTTGAGGTAAAACAGTATGCTAGAAAAAAATCATCTTACTGTTTATCAAATGTCACCATGTGAGTACCAACAGAACATTGTTTAGCTTGTGGACTGTCCTTGACTGTAAGCTTTAGACAATCAAAAATAGTTGTCATCATTTGTACAAGAAACCGAGTTTTTAAAAATTTAAATCAATGATGTGACTTAACTCATTGAACTCTAAAGTTTGACAATTCACGACCAGTTGAATGTAATTTTGAAGATAATGTTATATCTATATAGACCATAAAAAATAGAACTTACATTTAACACAGCTACATCCAATGACTGTCTGACTTCTGATCCCATAAGTACTTTAGCTGATACATGAACTTTCAACAGCTGATCTAGCTCTAGTAAATTATCTTGTACTGCTTGGACCTCAAAAGAATAAGTTGTTTGCCAGTTGCTGTAGGTCAGAAGTCTGCTGCACTGAAGGCTTGAACCAAAATTATTATTTTGGCTGAAGATAACTTGAGGCTAAAATAGTTTCAAAGTGAATTAGAAATAAACAGTATTTTACTCTTTTAAAAATGTATAACAGTAATACTCTTAATGTTTAGAAAAAAAACACGGATATGTTATGAAATTAAAAAGAAAAATTATATTTCTTGTGAAACCAACATAGTATTTTGTTGATAAACAACTAATTCCTAAAACTAACTTGTCAGTCTTTAATCATCTTTTTTTATATAAATATAAATATCCACATTAACCTATGTTACTCTTGGGTTATGTATAATGAGTAACAACATCATTCAAGAGGATTCATACCAGTATTTTTCTTTGACATGTGAGAGGTTGTTGCTGTGTAGTTTGGATATAGATTTCAATGCTACAGTTGTTCCAGTTACTAGAGTTGCCACAGAAAAATCCAGGAGGGAAAGAAGAGGACACATGGAAGGTGTCAGACTTGTTTCTTTCAATTACCACCAAACTAGTCTCCTGTATCTGGTTACAAGATTATCATTTTATGTGTTATTTGAAATAATGGTTTTGTTCTTTACACTATTAATTTACTATTAGAATTCTATTTAAATACATGTTTAAATAAAATATTAGTGTTACCACTATTCTTTACTTTCTATAAATGCTGCTTTGAAAATGACAATATAAAAGATACAATCTTAGAGCAGAAATGTCTTCAAATAAAAATTTCAAAAATGTATAAGTTATAGTTTATATGTTTACTTGAATTTGTGAAGAAAGTTCATCACTGTATCTCCAATCAGAATAGGTGTCTAGATTAGAAGCATTTTTGTATCCTCGCACTGCACATGTAATCTAAAAAAATATTTAAAATGGAAAAAAGTAAAATTAAAGAGGTCATATTTATTTAAGAACATTTAATGAAAAATTATTCTTGTTAATATGCAAAGTTAATAATAAATTTCCTCCTCTATCCCAATATTTTATAATTACACAATTTGTCACAATGTTGATGGTATAAATTCCAGTGAAGCCATTACTTACAGAGTCTCCTAGATTAAAGTCTGGGATATCATCTACACTTAAACGGCTATCAGTGCTGCATGTGATTGAAGTTTGGTTTTTGATTGTGATGTTTTGTCTGTACATCCATAGTACTTCATAATGAACATCAGATTTACACTGTTCACCTGTACAACATCATTATTTCATACAATTTTGAATTTTTCAGAAATGAAAATTACATAGTATTTCAATAGCTTTAGTTTAATTCATGATGAGACCTAGTTAATTTGCAATAAATTATTAGTATCAGTAGGGCTAAAACAATAAAGCAATAAAGTTTTTAAAAATAACTTTATAAAATAATACTTAATAATGATCCCTTTTAACTAAATGAAAGGTATAAATAATAATAAAGTAAACATTATTACTGTTTAGCTTGCAAGTGATTAAAAAGAATGGAGAATTCTTGATGTCTTGAGTTGAAATCACTGGTTTTCTGATGCTTGGAGCAACTAAATATTTTAAAACAATAATTAATTTAATCACAAAATTATTAAAATGCTTAAAAAAACACTTCTTTTTAAAGATGAAAAAATAGAATGACTAGATAAGAAAAAATTCTGAAAACATTTTAATTTTGTGATACAAACTTTTGAGTATAATAGAATAACTACATTAAATTCAAAATTATATCAACACTTACGTGACAAAATGCTGAAGGAAGTTTGATTTTTTGTTGGCTGACATGACAGAGATTGATTTTCTTGGGAAATTTCATCAAAAGCATAGCATCGATTTCCAATGAAGCATGTGTCAGTCTACAAAATGTTAAGATATACCAGTATAAAAATTATATTACCTACTGACACAAAAAGGTGTAAATCATTTTATAAAATGTATATTTCTATACACTTTTTAAAATATTAAGACTGATAAACATGTTGTATATGGTTCTAAATATCTTGTAAAACATTATGCTTAATAGTAAGAGCTGTTTTGATAAGTCAACGATGGAATTAAAAAAATCAAACAAGAACACATATCTACAAATATCAAGTTGACAGGTACAATAGCACTAAAAAAACTAATATAAATATATATTACCTTTATTGTGCAAATATCAGGTTCTGTTGTACAAGTAAGGCATGTAGAGTCATAGATCAAATAGTTGTTATAACTACTGAGAATGTCTTCATTGTTACTAATGGCTAGGGCAAAGCTCTCTGTAAGATTTACTTGGCATGAAACTGTGTTAAAATTGATGAATTTTGCAGTTGTTGTGATTTCTTCCTTAGAAACTTCAATGGTTTTTTCAAGAATCTGGAATATATGAAATCCATGAAATAAATTTAATAATAATAAATCTTGAGAGAAAAAAATAAATCTATTTAAAAATATTTTATTTTAAAAAACTAGTATCAGATTATATGTTTTTTTATTACTGTATACAAAATGTAATCTCAACTATTACCGTGATAGTCTTAATATGACAAGTCAAGTTGACACTGTTGAGGAAATTGAACCCATTGATGTCAATTTTATTAGGACATCTCTTTGATTTTAAATCACAGATTCTGTTACTTGGTGAATCTATGACTTGGGGAGGTACCCTCAGATCTATGTCACATGCTGCACCTCCAAAACCATCTTTACAAATGCATTTTCCTGTTGATGTGTTGGTATAGAAATATTTATTATCATATGCAATTTTATAGTTTTAATGTATTTTATGAAAAGAAAAAAAACACTACCCTTAGAGCATAAAATAATTTATTAACCTATAACAAAACAAAATAAATTTTTATAAATTTAGAGTTCTTCTAATAGAGTTGGCAATTTCTAAAAGTTGTCTAAATAGCTTACCATTGGTGCAAGTACCATTCATGTTGCAATCAGATGGGCAGATTGAGCCAAAAATTGTTTCATTCAAATACACCCCATTGCTATCATAGATCCAGTAGCTAAAGAAAAAAGAGCAATTTAAGATTCAAATTACAATTACTTGAACTAGTCAAAGTAGATAATACAGTAACAACTAATTTACCTTATGTTGGTTTGAAGATGCAGTAAACAACGCAAGTTGAGATTTTCCAGAGCGGAAAGGGCAAATTCAACAGAGTCCAAAATCTAATTAAAAAAGAATAATGATAAAATATAGCAATGTTTTTGATTAAAGTAAGCTGCTGTTGAAAAAATATACCTCTGCTCATAGCCTGAAAATTTAATCTATGTAATTTCAATATAACTCTTTGTTTAAGGGTACAAATTGATAATGTCATAGAAATAACAACATAAGTTAAAAGAATACATTACATCGCTAATTTGTAAAACAATTACCAGAATGTCCTCTACACAGCCTTCAATTAGAACATCAAATTTGAGTGCAGAAACCAATCCAAGGCATGCCCGACCTGATTGACTGCTATATAAATAATCTATACAATAGTTCTGGGCTTTTTCAAATGTCCAGCCACTTGGAGTTGGCCATGTTGGTACCTATAAAAGCAAAAATTAAATTATTAAACATTCCATATTTAAAGACCAATACCCTTATAATGTTAAGAAAAGATTTCTCAAAAAGTTGTTTAAAAGTTAACTTACCTCAGGTTTGTATGTCACATCATATTCAAATTTCAAGCTGCAGTTTGGTTTCAGAGCAGACATGTACAGGTCATTTGTGATATCTAAACCTATAGTGAATAGAATAATTGAACATATTGTATGTAGGATAAGGATGGTGCATTACTCATAAAAATATTAGTTGCCTTTAAAAGTAACTTTCATCTTACATAAAAAAGTAGGGTCACTTAAAGTAATCCATGTTAAAACTCTTACAGAATGCATTAATAAAAGCGTTTAGAAGCACTATATTTATTATTAAAGTTAAGTTTTCATCATGAAGCTGATGTGGGTTTTTTTAAGTTCCTTTGATGTGTGATTTGTCAAACATAGAAGTGTGAATTGAGAGAAGTGAGTATTCCATTTTTTTTCTCTTCCCATATAATGATATGCTTGGTTAAACAATGCTGATTTCCCTAAATTTAAAAGCTGCATTCTGGTAAATCTTGTGTAGCCCATGGATAATTATTGTGCCATTTTGAAATGTGCATCAGTAGCTTTTTATATAATCTAAAATTGTGGATACAATATCTAGGAACATGATCTAGTGAAATTTAGTTGGAGCTGAAGTTGTGTGCTGAGCAAAAATGTGAGTTGATGTGTTCCTGTAGTTTGTTTTTCTATTGCGGAATGGCCAGACTATAGGCTAATAGTGAGCAAAGTATTTTCATTGTGTGATGCTAGTCATTCAATTTAGATTCGTTTTATGGGGACATTTTCTAAACACCGGTTCATTTATAAGTAATTGTTAAGAATTATCATAAACTATAATTTAGGCCTAGATGCTTAGCTTGAAAAACTATCTACCTCCTAAAATGTCCCTTAATCCATTCTGGCAGCCAGAAAGATATACATTTGAACTGCATGACTGGCTAGAACCACAAGTACAGAAAGCTGTTGGGATGACTACATCACCGCTGTCACTTCCACAATAACCACCATAAATAGATTCTTCTTGTGTTACTCTGAAAATTTTGAATGAGTACAAAAAGTTATTTAAAAAATTCTAAATCAACAAATCAGTGTTGGAGATTGTTTTTAAATACAGCTATTAAAGTAATGGAATTTAATTTAAAGAAACAAACATAATATAAAATAAATGATTAGAAACTGTACATAAACATAAGTTATGATTGCTCATTTTTAAATATGGATTTTTAAAAATACCTAGAGATGTAGTATTAGTATAGTTAAATATTGATTAAAAGGAATAAAGGAATGAATCAAATAACAATAAATTAAATTTTAAATTGTTCTAGTGAAAGTTGTGTATTAATTAGAAGCACTCACCTCCAGCTCAAAGAAAAGTCATCAATTCTGGTGTCTGGTACAAGTTCACCAGTTCTGGATGTCAAATCATTGGTTTCATCATCATCATAGCTTCCACACAAACCTTATTAAAACAGAAATATAGATTTAAGAGTTAAATACTATAGCTTTTTAAAAATTATTAGAGTGTTCACTTTCTTTCTGGTTTGACAATTTTGATCTAAAAGCATAGTAAGGTAGTGGTAAAATCTTAAAAATAATACATTCTATTTAAAAAAAGAGAGAACCAATCAGGGGCATTTTAATTTTACAAGATGATATATTTATTTTTTAAACCAAAAAAATCAACAAACCTGAAGTCTGCTTAAATTCATTGGAAGGTGCCTGTAGAACAACATTGATAAATTTGCGGCCAGCTGTTGCTATTACTTTCAACCCTGTTGGAAGTGTTATCTGAAATACACATAATATAGGGATTTTAATTACAGGTGCTGAATCATATTTTTTCCTTCTAGCTTAGCAATGACAAGTAAACTTTCAATGCTTTTTGAGACTTGGCAGACATAAATGCAGTTGATATTTATGTCCTTATAAACTTGTTTACTCAGCATACTCAGGCTAAACTATGAGCTTACTACTTGGCAGTCTAGCCACACACATTTACATCCCTTACAAGCAGATTCAGAGAAAAAATATAATACCAAAAAACCAATAGGTTTATAGTAATACTATCAAAACCATATAAGTGATACATTATATCAGAATACACATTTAATAAACAAAAATTCTATATTATTTATGTGTTCTCTTTTTTTCTTATATAGATAATGCTTTATAAGTAGATCTGGGGGATAGCATAAATTGTAAAAAAAAATAAAGTTATTTAACCACTAAAAGACTATTACACAAAAAGAAATGAACTTAGATTAAGCACTTAACATCTACTTTGTTAAATGATATATTTTATAAGCCCTTGATTAAATGACAATTTACCTCAAACCTTCTCCCGTCATCATAACTTGCTACAGTGAGACCTTGAGTAAGTTCTCCATCTACAATCATATCAACATTAAGTGGATACTGCCTTTCAGGATCACCAATAAGTGGTCCACATCTGTCTATTCTGACAACAGTTTTCCCAGCTCTGACAATCAATGCACAGTTACATGAAGCTTTGCCATCTCTGCACTTTCTATAGTAAGCTCGCACCTGTCATGTACAAAAACAAATCTCAAGTAATTTTTAATGATTTTTCTATACAACCTATTTTTTTACTTTGAGTAACAGAAATAATCAAGTTCACAACTCACAATAACAGCTTTAAAATTTTTAAACATGTCTTATTTTTTTTTGGTTGAGGTTTAAAGTAGCTCTTTATTCCTGTCACTTTTTTCTGGTATGGTTTCAGTTCTTAATACCTAAGTAGCCTCCCCCCCCCTTACTATCTCCAAAAAAGGATCTTTTTGATTTAATATACCTCTTGCTGTCCAGACTTGTGTAAGTATAGAATAAATTCTCCAACATTGAAATTATTGTAATACCTGGAATGAATTAAACATATAACCAGATTATCAATTTAAAAGTAAGTATTTAAGATAATAATACAGTCTCAAGATTAAAATGTACTATTTTAATTTTTACAAACTTTCTGTTAAAACTCTACCACCAGTAAATACTCACTTTCCATCCAATGTTGTCATGTGTGGGTCATTTATAGATTGACAGATGGCAATTTTGTCTGTGTCAATAATCTTGACCTAATGGAACAAAAATATATTCATTTTTAGACTTGAATAGTTTTAAATAGAAAATTAATTCAGAATAAAATTTCAAAGATTAAAAAACTTTTTAAAAATTACCTGAAGAGAGCCAACAACAATGCTGAAATTTTGAGTAAGTTGAGCATTGACAGTGACATCCCTTAAAACATCTCCATCTATCTTGCCATCCAACACAGCTCTGACTACCACTGTCTGAGTAAGCTGCCAGTTGTTATTGTTGATAACTACAGCACATGCAGGAATGGATGGTTGCTCTGTCTGCCATCTAAAGACCAGCTGAGGCAAAGGTTGTTTGGTAACAGGACAACGAATATCTGGTGAGCTGGAACTGGGTGGGACTTGCATGGTTATGGAAATCTCACATGAGCTGTTGTTGTTCTTGTCACAGAAAACAAGGGGAGGGAAGTTGGAAGATATCCTGAAAACTTTGTCTTCATATCCTTCTTTTATCTCCAGTGATAATTTTCCAATTAGCTGAAAATAAATTTTAAAAATAAAACAATTTAATTTAATAGAAACTGCATAAAAATATACATGATGATCTCAATAAAATATATTTATGTATTAAGTGTTTTATGATATTTTACCGTGATCTTGAAATAGAAATCATCACTTTTCACAACTGGACTCCTGGTTTCACTGCATTTTGATGAGAAACAGATAACTAGTCCACAGTATATCTGTGAAAATATAAAAAGAAATTTCTTTCAGGATGTGGTACTGATAATAAGATTTATTTATTACCTGTAAGAAAATATCATAGTTTAGCATAGATTTTTTGCTTTATTTTATTTAAAATATCTCTAACATCTTTTGAAATGTTACCAACCTTCGAACTGTATTTCAAGTCAGTGAAATCTAAATAGGAGATTTCATTTGTTGTTTCATTGCCAATAACTTGACTTTCCCTCACAAAGTCATCATCTTTATACCACTGAGCATATACTGAATAGTTTGTGTCAGAATTTACATAACTAGTCCAATTACAGACCAAATAAAATTGGCTGGAGTTTTGTTCAAAGCTGGTAGTGATGATTGGTTTTGTGTCAATTCTGAGGTAATCTTGAAAAGAACAGGAAGTGGAAATCAATGATATATAAAATAACCTTTTTTATTTTTAAAAAACTTACTGTAAAATAATTTGCAACTGAAAAAGATTAAAATTATGCTTATTTCTTACCATTTCTATTAGTCCAGTCTGATTTACTTTTGGAAGGATCACAAACAAGGTTGGGATTACCAGCTTTAGTTGTAGTAAATTTTTCACATTTGTTGTCAATGTAGCAGTATTTTGGCTAAGGAATGTTTTAGTAGGCCACATTTAGATCATTTAGAAAAACTTTGTAACAGATTTTTTTTACAATATAGCCTTTTTTAAAACTATTTTCAAAAACAAAAGAAAAATAAGTTTTTAAAAAAAATCGCATGCATGTTACCTGTAGATAGCAATTAGCCCCAGTACATGTAAAGCAGTCTAAATTGTAGGCTTGGTAAATAACAACATTGCTGGTTATGTTAAGTACATTTTGTACAGACAGCTGGAAGCTTGCAGTGAAAGGAAGTTGACATGTGATGCGCTCATAAGACTTGAACACAGCACTGACAATATAAGTGCTGTTGGCTCTGACAGTGTAATTCTTCTCACCAACATACTGAAAAATTTAAGCAATCATTTTATTTCATTAAGTGGAAGAGTTTCAAATTTCTAAAAAAAAATTATCTTTATTTTTATAAACAGATTTTTAAAAAGAAATATTTTCTCATTTCTTACATTGATCTGTTCAAACACACAGGTCAGATTCCCAGAGTCAACAAAAGGTCCACCTATGACAGTTAAAACCTGGCAGTTTTCAGACTTGACTTCACATGACAGTTTAGGGAGAACACTCAAGATTGTAGGTGGGATCTTCAAGTTAATTGAGCAATCTACACCTCCAAAGCCATCACTGCATTGACATACACCTAATAGGATAAATAAGTGTATAATTATTGAAAGGTAAAAATGTTTATTATAAGCATTATTTTATCCAAGACTTTTTAATCATTGCTGTACATTGTACCCATTTATTTATTTTAACTTACATCAATCTGGATCAACATATATATCTTTACCTTTAGAACAGTTGCCTCGATCATTGCAGTTATTGATGCACATTAAATCCAAGAAGGTCGTGTTTGGTTTATTTGAAACCCAGTATTGAACTGTTCTTGTCATTCCACTTAGACATTGCTCCAACAAGTTACTCAGGGCCTCTACAGCATAATCAGTGCTGTCCATGATCTAACATAAAAACAGTTAAAACATTTATATAGAATAAATAAAACAAAAACCAATCAAAATCTTTTAAAATTTAAAACTGTAATAAAGTGATATTAACTATATATTTCTATTTTATTTTATACACTTCATGTTCATATTTGATCATTTATTTTTAAACTCAATTTGTACCTGTATGTCTGATACACATGAAGAAACAGTTGTGTTGTAACTCAGTGTAAATATGTCCCCACACATTACTCCAATTGTACTCTGTCTAATGTAGTTGATACAGAAATTTCTTGCCTTCACCTCAGTCCAGTTGGAAAATACAGACCAATTCAGAGCCTGGAGAGTTAATTAGTTAATAAAAATATGTTCATGTAACAGAATTATTGTATTTTGTTTAAGTAGTAATGCATTTCTTATCAATGTCTGGTGTAATATATCTACAAAAGACATTTTTATAATGTGACTTATAACATACAGGTGAAGTGTAGTTGGCATCATATTCAAACTGTTCGCCATTGCATTGTGGAGTTATGCTGTTGTTCACATAAAATTCTGTCACATCTATGCCTAGATTTAAAAAAAAAACACAAATAGTATATCCTTCTTCTTCTTTCTTAATTTTAGTGTTGAAAGCGATTCTCTCCTACACAATTAAGCTTTTGTGTCAACTGGTTATGCACCGTATTTCCTTCAACAAAGTGTTTTTTATATTTTGCAATAAAAATAAGTTAAGTTTACATTTGTGGACCTCATAGCTAACAGAGTAAATAAATGGATAAGCAAACAAAAGGTTTGTACCTCCACCATTTAATTTCAATGCTGTGTTAGACAAAGGACATTTGACGACATTAAGCCCAGTTTGACACTCTGAAGAATCATTAGCCGTGCATCTACAGAATAGGCTTTCTGATGTTGTACTTTCTGTGGCACAAATACCTCGATAGTGGGTCAGTGTAGAATTGACTCTGTTGAAAGATTTAAAATTTGAATAAGAATCTTCACTTTAACTTATATTTTATTTAAAATTAAATATAAATTGAGTAATCATTCCAGCTTTTTTTATGTTTTTATTTAACACCCTCATGAAAACCAAAACCCACTAATAGCTCATAATAATTTATTTTAATTAATGTTGCTCATTACCGCCAAGACAATGTAAACTCATTTGGTTCTGTAGATCTACCAGTGAAAATTGTCCCAGACGGCATTTTCCAATCATCTGATGGGTCTTGATTGTAGTTGCCACATAAGCCTTTAAGGAAATAAATAAAATGAAATGCATGCTAGAATCAAAATATTAACAAGGAAATAGACATGGTAATTACAGCTTTGCTCCACAATACAATGTATAGCCCATCTTTTTTATTATATATATCAATATATACACATGCGCATGCACATGCATACACACACAATAGACATGTTAATGTTACTACCTTCTGTATTGTTGAAGTCAAGAGCTGATGCTTGCACCCACACATTAAGGAAATGGTTTGTGACAGTGACTTTGATTTCAGTGCCAGTAGGTAATGTGATCTAAAAGAATAAAAACAATTTAGTAAATATACACTATTTCTTTAACAATTTCAACTTAATTTAATTATTAATTTAAATAAATTGTTCTAGCTGAGTTTTAAACTAAAACTTTCAAAATGTAGATGTCACACCTTGAACTTCCTACCCTCCAGTTGTTGAATGATACGTAAACCAGGAGTCAACATTCCATTTTTAAATATTTTAACCTCTACAGGTATAGGTTTGTCACTTGCTGTAGATCCACATCTATCAATGAGAATGACATCATCTCCATACTTGACAGACACAGCACAGTTACAGGCAGCCTTAGTGTTGCATTTTCTGTAGTATCCGTGGACCTAGGAAATAATAAAAATCTTTTACAATATCTTACTTTACTCACAGAAATATAGTCATCTGACAATGAACTTTTTTTTTAAAAATAAAAAGAGTTTGTAAAATATTAATACCAGTACTTCTCACTTACTAATATTATAAACATGTGTTTACAGAGTCCCTATAACTAAATACAAAATCCAAACATTCATTTGTCAAGATTAAAATCTTATTAGATCTTACACTTAAAAAAAATTACAAAATGATTACAAGCTACAAAAATTTATGTAGGCTACATACCTCACATGGTAGGGTTGTATGTTTGTAAAGTATGAATTCCCCTTCCAAATATATATTATAAGTTCTGAAAATAAGAAAGCAATAAAGTTATGGAGAAATTCAGCTTCTTTTTTTTACTGTGTGTGTGAATTATCCAATTTAGCTAACAATATCTTTTCATCAAATAAATTAAATCCTATTAATTTAGTTTAAAATTAAAAATTGTTACAACAGTTAACAGTAAGAGTTAAAATATAAATAAATGTCACTGCTTAAGATTTTTATCATCTGCTGTTGTCTAAGAAAACAAATTTCAGTTAGCTATAATTCTTACCCCTTTTGTTTCTTTTTATAATTCTTTTTGACAGTTACAATTTTTGTGTTAATGTCACTAACATATTTTGCTCCTCATTCTCATTAGTATTATTATAAAATGGAAAATTGTTCTTAGCTCTAAATAAATAAACTCTAATTAGAGCTATTTTTTTTGGCTGCTCACAAAGTGCTAACTGAATTGATTCTTCTTAAATATGTGCTTCTCCCACAGTATTTAGCATATTAATTACATCGTTTTTTCAAATCCTCAAAAATAACTTATTTATTGCAGTGATCAAATTATCTATTAGTTTGAATAAATTACTAAAGTTCAAAAATAAAAATTTGCTGTAGACCTTTAAAGAAAATTCCAGATGGAATAGTTTAGGAAAGACAAGTCTTTATGTTATCAATAAAACTTCTATGAAAATTAAACTTACTGTCCATCAAATGAAGACATATGAGGGTCATTCACAGACCCACACATAGTTGAAATATCACGATCAATGATGTTTACCTAGAAAATATTCTTTTAATAGTTACACTTCTGAACATAGATATCTTTTTACAAAATATTTATAAAATTTGATTGTTAACAATATAAAAAACTTCACTAATGTAATCATGATATACTAATTGCAATTTTAGAGAATTCTTACCTGCTGTTGGCCTATTGATCTGATAACTTCAACAGTGCTGTTGTATTCAAATTTGATGAAGACCTCAACAGACCTAGATATGTCCCCTTCTACAAGAGAGTCAATGGTGGCTGACACAGGTGCCCTCACAGTTGGCCATTTATTAAATCTGGTACTGCAACTTTCCAATTCTTCATGTAAACATGTTTAAAATTAATAATATGGTTTGATATAAAAGTGAAAGTACATGTTTTAATTACAATGAATCATTTACATTTTAAAACAAAACATCTAACATTTTTAAACTGTCTATTAATAAATCTAATTTTTTTCACTAACCATTGTCTATGTGAGGAAAGATGAGCTGCTGAATAACTGTATCACTCTGAGGGCATGTGTATTCATTTGTTGCCTTGACATATTGAAGGCTGACATACACAGAACACAGCTCAACACTACTGCCTTCACATAGCAGGTGTGTAGGTACATTAGCTGCCACTTGGATATAAGCAGGTCCCATGCCTTCTGTCACCACCACATTCTGTTCTACAATCTAAAAAATAAATTACAAATTTAAGCCAAAGATTCTTTAAGCAAAAATAAGCTATTAAATTAATTGAATAGATTAATTCCTTACTGCAATGTTAACATGGAAAGCATTGCTTGTTTTTGGTGGGCTTTCAGATGAAGTACAATTATCTGTATAACAGGCTGTTAGAACACATGACACCTATTTGAAGATACAGATATAATATTTAATCATGACATGATTGATGTTGCTATCAGAAATAAGAAAAATTACTCTATTTTAACAATAAGAATATTATGCTATTATACTTCTACAGAAATGTTTGTTCATAGCCTATTTCTTCAATGTATATTTAAAAATAAAATTAAAACCTTTAAAAATTTTAACTTTATCCTTAAATTAATTACCAATGCAAATAAATATGTTTAGTTTTAAAACAACTCAACAGCATTAATTCTGATTAAAAGCCAAACTTTCTGTTTAAAACTGACAACACTTGAAAACAAAAATAAGTGCTATGATAGTAATCTGTTGGTGTAAATAATATTCTACTTACATTAGACATGTGAAAAAAGTTGGGGATTTCAGAAACATTTAGTTTGAGAACTGTTGAATTAACTCCCATGTCAGTAATATTATATTTTGTTACTCGCTGACTCAAATGTAGCCATTCAATGAAGTAAGTTACTTTAGGGTGCTCATGTTCAGTAAATTCACACAGGAACATGAACTCATCTAAGGTTTCATTGTAAGATGTTGAAAGCACTGGTTTGCCTCTAATGTAAGGATAATCTGTAAAGGAATTGCAACATTTTTTCTAAACTGATGCATTTTAAAAGTGAATTTAGTATCTTATCATCTATTTTCATATTAATTTACCTCTTTTTATGCTCCACTGGTCAGGTGCGTCATAGTTATCACATACGAGTGACTGGTTCTGTGGATTCTCTTGTCCATAGAAATAGCACTGATTGTTGATGAAGCACTTCTCAGGCTATGGGAAATACAAAATACAATTATATTGAAAATGTTAACTGTTCTCTGGTAACTCAAAAATTTATTTAATAATATAAAAGTAAATTTAACAAAGGAAAATATAGTGTGATTTATTTTTAAATATTTAAAAACAAAAAACTTACAGCTAATGTACAAATGCCTGATGCATTACAGTTGAGACAATCTGGATTATATACTGTGAAGATAAATGTCTGACTGAAGCTGCTGTTATTGTTACTGATCTGGACTTCATAGCTACCAACATTTGCTAATGGACAAGTAATTTCATTGAAGGAGAAATATGAAGCTTGAACAAACGTAACATTGTCTGACCTCTCAACTTTGCCATTTAATACCTGAAAATAAATTTGTTTTGAGTTTTTTATTTTGAATGCAGAAATGTTTCATAATTTTAAATGCATGTTTAATCAATAAAGTTCTTTTGGCAGCCCATAAGAAAAACAGTAGTAATCTTACTTTTCCTAAGCTAATAATGTACCAGGACAATGTTGCTAACTTTCCCAAAATTAAATCAGGTGACCACTAACAAATTGGGTAGTGGGTGGTTGGGGTGGGGGGGGGGGGGGGGGGGGTGAGTGTAACTGAAACAGCTAGAATAAACAAATCAAATTAACTAGCACTTAAACCACCTTGGGTTAATGTTCACAACCAAAGATCAATCAATTTCGCAACTAAGATTTTTTTTACATGAAAATCATTAAATAGTCTTGTTATGTAACAAATAAAGAATAAATTAAAAAAATTAAATTTGCAAAATCAGAATCCACAAAAAGCTATCATTTATAAACAAATGTTTATGATTAGCACTCAATCTGTGGAGGGAGGTTATCCATTTTCAATTATTAAAATGTCTCATTTTCAAGTTAGAATTACATCAATTTTATGCAATCTATGAGCTTCTGCTGAATTTTCATCAGATTGTGCAGAAAAATCTACCACACTTTAACATTCTTTAAGCAAAAGTAAGTTAGCATCAAGTAAATTTTCAAGATTACACAATTTTTAATAATGGTGACATACCTTTACTGCTAGTAGTCTACAGACAAGGTTTTGTGAATAAACAAAGGTTGCTCCTGTCACTGTGATAGAGCTACATGCAGACTTTGAAATGTCACATAGACCATCATTTTGTACTGAGTAGATGGTTGGTGGGATCAACATATTTACAGAACAATCAGCCAATCCAAAGTTAGTTTCACACCGGCATGTGCCTAGATAGATTTTTAAAAAAAATTTTTGAGTTATGTTTTTAAAAAGACCAATAAATAAACAGTTTAAAAAACTTTTTCAGGGGAACCTGTTTTAAATGCATATTCAACATATGTACTAACATTTACCAAATAATGGTGAAACCTTTGCTAAAATACTGACAGTTTTAGGTAAAGTATCTGCATATAGTGCATATCCATCATTATTTAAGAAAAGTGGAGACCTGATACAATAATTTTTTTAACAAAATTTTATGTGTAATAGAATATCTCTCCATTAATATTCATTACAAAACCATAATTCTTATATGCTACCAATATGATAATCTACTGAAATAAAAATTTAATAAATGAACCTAAGAATTTTTTCTAGTAGAAAATTCATCACTACTTATTATGTTTACAAAAGTTGAAAATATTAATTTACCATTAACACATGTTCCTCTTTTTGAACACTGATTAAAGCATAAATTGTTTACTGAGCTGACATCAGCTCCAAACAGTCCTGAATTGTTGACTAGGGTGTTCATGTATTTCAGTCGACAAAGGGATATGAAGACAGAGAGGCTGGAGCTGGCCCATGTTAAATTGTTTGAGAGCTGAGAGATGACATCAGAGTTAAAGTGAAAAATTATTTCAAAAGTGGCAATGATGAAAAAATACAACTTACAGTTATTTCTGTAAACTGAAATGTGGATATAACATATGAGGTATGATATATCATTGTTTAGATATTACTGATATATACAGCTGTTATGCACTAATTATTTTATAATATGGAGGCAAATAAAAAAGATAATTTATACAATTTTCCAGAGTCTTAATTACCTGTATGTCAGTAACACAAGAAGTAACAATATTTTTGAAATGTGCTGGCATCAAACTTTGACACAATGCACCCTGAGTGTCATTAGTGATAGTTTGTTCACATAGCTCAGTAGCAAAATCCTCAGTGTAATTAGATTCAGTGGGCCAGCTTGCACTCTGCAAAAATAATTAGTTTTGTTTTAAAGAATTGTCAAATAGCTGTTTGAGAATATGACTCCAAATATTTTGATTTTTTTTTTAAAGTATTGAGTACAAATAATAATTTACAATGTCTGTACTTGTAAAAATAAAGAATCTATAAGGTCATCACAGAGGTAATAGAGTCAAGCCTTGATATTTGAATATAAGCCTACTAGACCATATATAATAATTGCAATAATTGCTGGAAAAACCATGTACTGCCATAAATAAGTCTGTTTTTTTTTAAAAAGAATGTTTAAAGTTTACAATTATATTTGAACTAGCTCAAGAAAAAAAAATGAAATAATTATGTTTGTTGTATAAACAAGTTACTCAATGTTTTACATTTACATAAGAATAACTTATCTGCATAAACTTGTTTTTAAAAATGTAAAGGATATTTATATGCTTATTACAACAATTCATAAATTACAAAAATATTCTGAATTGGTTCCCTGTAGAACCACTAAGTGTTTAAATGAAAGAACATCACAAACAATTAAAAGTTTTTAGAACTAAAAGACAATCTACACATAATACTAATAACTACTAATACTAAATACTAATAACTACTTATAAGAACTATCAACACTATGGCGTATTAAGTTTTTTAAATTACAGTGGAAATTCTATACATGAAACCTCCATCCAACTTTCATATATTAATAACATTGTAAAAAGCCAAACATTTTATCAATTTTTGTTAATATTTTTAACATTTATATAGTTGGTGTCCAACTTTTTATAAATTTTCTACAGTACAACTCTACATTCAATGAGGTTAGACGGATATTTTCTATCACAATAAAGTTTTTCAAGTGAACTTGTTATGCCCTAAAGAAGCAGCAGAATCTGATTTCAGCCTGCTTTTTTTTCTGGATTTGCTTCCTTTGCCCATCGAAGAACAAACTATAAGGCTGTAGTTTTTTTATATTTTGGAATTTTCTCTCCTAGATGGGTTGCTGTCCCCAGCTATCTAACCTCATCTGCATAAATTATCCAAATTTTCAAATTAATTTTTTAAATAAGTTCTTCTAATTTGCAAAAATGGTAGGACAAGGAATTTATCCGTAAGATTGAGAAGTTACCAAATGATGGTAAAATCCATAAGACAGCATTGACTTTTAGCTTAAGTCTGCATTTTTTGTGATTTTCATACTAGAAAAGGATGTCATTATTAAAAAGATATCCCAAAATTCATTGTTAAAAACTTATTGGTTTTTCAATATCAGGTGTTCACAAATAAAGTTTCCACTGTAAATGTTAATGTGATTTTAAGAATTTGTAATGTGATTCTACTGAAGTGTCTATACACCAAAAAGGAAATAGCTTATACTGAATAGTAGAAAAAAGAAAGAAGTAAACTAACAATATAACAAGAAACACACAAAGCTAAATACTTAATGCAAAATTTAAATGCTTGGAAATTGACTTGAGGTATTGTGCAGATGGAGAATTTTTTTGTCAATCTAATACATTATTTTTTTGTGATGAAGATAATTTATTGATGACCTTGAATTTTTTTTTATCAGAGTCAGGCAATATCTGTTTCAGTTGAAATAAAATGTTTGTTTTTGTTGATTGAACACATAAATAAAAAAAATGCAAATGGATGCTTTAATTAAGGTACATTCTGCTTCCATGTCAAACAGGTAGCTGTTGATATTTTGATATTTTAACAAAAATGTAAGTCAAATCTAAATACAGCAATACAGAGCATTTGTGTTAATTTTAAAATTGTAGGTTATTTATAAATAAAAGACTTTGAACATTTTTAAAAAGTGTTTGACAGCAGACTTGGAAATAACCACACACATTTTTTCACAGTGAGAAATTTAGTATAAACACTGAAAAAAAAACTATCTAATACTCAGAAACAGCTTAACTTCCCTCAAACCCCTTACCTTTGATTCTTCCTGTGACATACAAAATAATATGACATTAAGAATACACAACCTTATAACTATAATAAATCTCACAAATGTTTTTAAACATTACACAAGTTTTCTGAGAAAAAGGATTTTGTGAAGCATTTTGTTTTTAATTGAATGAACTATTTCAAAATATAATAAAAGCATGCTTGATAAATAATAATAATGGTAAATATATTGAACATCTAGAAAAAAAGATTGATTACAGGATTGACATTGTATAAAAAAGCATTTTAAATAAAATATAAAATGTGTAAACAGATATATTTCTTGAGTATTCAATGCTATATTTTTACTAAATGGTGAAAAACATACCCCAGGATTGAGATTAGGGCTGTATTCAAAAGTGACTTTGCTGCCTGCACAATCTGGTTTCAAAGCTCTAGTCAATAGTATAGGAGTGATGTCTTCACCTGACAAAAAATTAGAAGCAGCACTATGAACAATTTTTATTTTATAGCATTGTTATTTACTTTTGAAATTACAAAAGTTTATATATATAGCGCCTAACTTTTATTACCAGATGAAAAAAACATTTATTTAGAACAGCATGTCATGTCATGTCATGTTTGCCTGTCGTCCCTACTGGGACATAGGCCGCTGACAAGAGCTTTCCAGACGTCTCTGTCCAGGGCTAGTCTCTCCAACTGTCCCCAGGTGTATCCAATCTTCTTGGTGTCTTCTTCCAGGTCACGTCTCCAGGTCTTTCTTGGTCTGCCTCTCTTCCTCCTGCCTTGTGGATTCCAGGTGAGGGCCTGTCTTGTTATGCTGGATACAGGCTTCCTGAGTGTGTGGCCAATCCATTTCCATTTTCTCTGGAGGATCTCTACTTCCACTGGCAGTTGATTTGTCCGTTGCCATAGAACATCATTTCTGATGGTTTTAGGCCAGCGAATTCGCAGGATAGAACAGCATGACTAAAATTTAAAGATCTATTCCAAAAATTCTTCTAAAAATCTGCCAAGAAAAATCTTTGTTATAGTTTACTCTTGTATAGAGAAGTGTTTTACCTTTCCAGTAGTTGAAGTGATCACTTTCTCTGATACAAGAATTAAGTTCTCCATATGGGCTACAAGTAGCATTGGATAAGGCAGGACAGTCACATAGGCTTTTGTTTGTTTCAGTTGATTGGATATGGCCACAATATCCAGAATAGATACTTTCAGTCTGGCTCACTCTTCAAATAGAGATGTTATTTTGCTTTATTTTATTCATTTTGTTTTTAAATTACATGTGGTAATACAAAAAATCTATTTAAAATCTAAACTGTTAATAAACAAATTTACCTCCATGATTGTGTGAAAATATCTGGCCGTGTTCCTGCTCTGTTGAAGTAGGTGCCATCAGATTTAAGTAGTGATATATCCTTGTCACCATTATAATCTCCACAGAGACCTAAATCATAAATTTCATTTTCATTTAGTATTTTATGAAATAGCTGCATTGTATATACCTACTCTACAAGACTTAAATGATTTTATTTAAATCGAATGATTGAACCAACCTTTAGTGTGCTTATAATCTTTAGCTGAAGGAACAATTAAAACATTCACATAACCACCCTTGCCATCTACTTCTATTGTTGTACCAGTTGGTATTTTAACCTAATGTAAAAGTTTAAAATAATGTTTAAGTTATTAAAATAAATTATTGATGATTAAATGTAATAAAAAACAACTTTTTAGATTAATTCTGTTTCACATTCTTTAAATATTAAAGTTCCTCAAGAATTCTTACCTCATACTTAAGACCACCACCCACTCTTCTAATTGAAGTTTTGGGTGTCAGATCATCAACTAAAAACAGTTTAACAGCCAATGTCTGTGTTGGGCTCTCAATAGCAGAGGCTCCACACTGGTCAATTAAAATAACATCATCAAGGGATCTTACAGCCACAGCACATGTGCAAGAGCCAAGAGATTTTTGGCTGCATTTTCTATAGAATCCATGGACCTAGAAAGTGGTGGTTAAAACATTAAAAACATTAATTAGGAACAAAATTTTAAAAATATAATACTATAGAAAACATTTTTCTCTAACAGTACTTTGATTTAAAAAATAGCTTCATTTTATTGACGCTAATTTTTTTCAACAATCTTACCTCAAAAGAGAGTGTATCATGAGCATAAAGAACAAATTCTCCCTCATAATTATTGTCGTAGTATCTGCCATCAAATGTCTTCATGTGAGTATCAGTCATAGATATACAGACTGCATCAGTATCACTGTCTTGTGCTGTCACCTAGAATTTTTTTAAAAGTACATAATTAAACAAAACTGTCACACCTTTGTTTATAATACTTCTTAAACTTCAAAAACATTTTTGTATATAAATCTCAGAAATGTTAAAATTTACTAAGAATTCAATATGTTTAAAATTAAAATATTTAATTTAAAGAGAGATATCCCTTACCTCAACTGTTTGTAGGATACTTGACCACATCTCAACACCACTGCTAGAGGTGATACTTCCCAAAACATGTACCACTTGTGTTTGATTGCCATCTATGATGTTGTCTATCTTTGCCTCTATGTCAATCACTGCATCCAATTGCCAGTTGCTGGCTGTGATCTCAATACCACATGATATGTTACTCATAGATTTCATGGCCCCTGTACTCAGAGCTATTTGAGACCATGCACCTGAGCTGGGACACACAATGTTTTGGTAGCTTGGGTCAACCCAGACTTTGATATTTAAGGTGCAGGCTGATGTTGAATTGAATGAATCACAGAGGAAAGCAGGTGGGAAATTACTATGTATTGTTATATTTTTTCCAGGTTGACCTTCTTGCACTAGTAGAGCAGCTGGGCTTGTCACCTACAAACAGATTAAATAACATTATTAAAGTATATAATTTTGTGGTAGCAAAGAAAAATGGTCAAGCAGTATTTTTTAATATTTTTTTTTAAACTATGAAAAATCACTTTTAAAGATAAGAGTCAAATTCAAATTTATTCAAATTTATTCAAAAAACGGTAGCAATTGTAGGCACATTCTGATAATGTATTCTCTTATTTAGTTAATTTCAAGATCGTCAAAAGAAGAGGTTTAGAAAGTATTTTAATCTATAAAGAAATCTAAAATATTATTTTTATAGACATTATTATATCCAAAAAAAATATTTAAATAATGAATATGAATATATATCTTAAAAAATAAAATATCAGTTAATTTGCACTCAACTTGTTAAATCACAATGAGAGCTTATCAAATTATTAATGTTCAAACAATCTCTTACTGTTACAGCGAGTCTCAAAACTTGGCTTTTTCTGAATCCTCCAATAGTTGCTTCACAGCTTCCATTGACACATAGACTTACACCACAAGAAAGCTGAAGGTAATGTAAGAAAACAGAAAATAATTTTACTTCTTTATAATTCATAGGATTTTTGTATAGTTATTATTAGTAGTATACAGCTTATTTATCTATTATTGTTAATCCTAGATGTATAAATTAATAGTTTTCAAATAATGGAAACCACTCCAAATAAAAATATCCAGTTACAGTTAGTTACTTTGGTTACTGAAAAGATTAAGAAGGTAAAAGCTAATCCTAAATGTAAAATGATTGACATACCTGAGCACCATATTTCAGGTTGATTAGTCTGCCTGGATCCATGCCTACCCAGTAAGTGTTATTCTCTTTGTTGGTAAAGATTGTTTTCCTTTCCACTACTTCATCTTCTATCAAAAATTTGACATTTGCTTGATAGATGGTGTCTGAGTTTGATATATTAAACTTGCAGAAAAGAGTATAGATGTCTTGGCTTAAAGTGTCCTTCTGTGCAATAACAGCTTCAGGGTTTGCAGTAGGTAAAGCAATCTCAGCTTCTATAAAGAGGAAAAATGCATTGTTATTAAATTATGAATTTTGTAGCTGAAGTTTTGATGAACAAAATATATTTTACTTCTATTTTTAAAAAGTGACAATAAATATATATGTAAAACATTTTTTGAAAAGCATAAAGGCCTACAACTCAATTAGTTAGAAATGCTATTTACACTTCATATAGAAATCTAGCAGATACTTTAAAAAGAAAATATTTCAAAGAGTTTCTATTTAGATTATTATATTTAAAAAATGTCAATGTGAATATTTACCAGTATTGCAGTTCCATTCTTCAAAAACATAGCCAGGCCATCTGACAAGCCCATCTCCTGCAGTAAGGGCTGAGAGGTAACATAATTTAGCGTCTCGCAGCAGTTGAATGGATCGACAGGTAAATTTCTTTTCTTCCAAGCAATATCTGCGACACTCATTTATACTTGAAGTCACTTTTGGCTTGTCTTGTGTTTTTACAAAAGCAAATCCAGGTTTACTTTTCCATGTGATGTTCCTCATTTGGCATGGATCTAATGACATAAGCATAGTAGCAGTGGAAAATTAGTTAAAATAATGGTATTACTTTGTTCAATATTAAGTTTACATTTTGATAGTTATTTTGTATTTAAGGATTTCAGTAACAGTTATATTAACCAAAGCAAAAAATAATATAGGACTTACAGTTTTCACAAATCCATTCATAGTTGTAGGTTGAAGAATCAATCAACAGTGCTGAGTCTTCTGTGTTGAGGCTGCATTCATTACTGGTTGAGTTGAAATCAAATGACAGACAGTCATCTTTATCTGCACAAAGTTCTTTACAGAAACTAGTGTTGCCATTCTGGGACTGACCACCAGAGATGTAACCTTTCTCTTTTAACCACATAACAGGAAGACCTCTACAGGAGTCTGAATAAGACAAGGTTTTTATTTTAAATGGCATATATAGATAGAAATAAGACTAAGACTGGTAGAGATTAATAAGGACGATGTAAACTTTAGTTGGTATTGATGGTAGACAATATGGTTCGAGAGTAGGTGCGCTTGTTAAATAAAATATGTGAGCACGAATGAGCCGCGACAATGTTAGCAATAATGTAGGACGCGAGACTGAAGAGAGTTGGGGGTTTTGCCAAAAAGGACATGTTCTATATTTTGTAGAGTAGATCTAGTATTACTATTGGTGGTTGATGATTAAAGTTCAAGTTAGTTGATGAAAAAGTTAATTATATTTCATAATCGGACTTGTTGATATCATTAGTGTCGTTAAAAATAAGAGTGTTCCCATCCTCATCACATGTTTATAGTTAGAGTAATAGTAATAAAAGTAATTCATCACATATCACACATCCATTCCCCCCACCACATTAGCTACCCATTTGAGTTAGATGTACTGAGGTTTTCAGGTTATAAGTTGTGCTCTCTATTACCCAATCGCACCAAAACATAAGTATAATAGAAGCAAATATTTATATTAATTTACTTTACCTTTAGCCACTTGCCAGGTTGTGACACTAATAGATGAATTACAGAACTCTTTTACAGAATTTGGATTATATTCACCATCTTCATAGCAAAGGTTGTTGATTAGGCATGTTGAGGTCTGTTTAACACAATATAAATACTTGTAAAACTTGTTGTCTCACAATATTTTGTTAAATAGAAAAACAGGAAAATGTTTCATAACACAAACTGCAATTTAAACATATATTTAAATGATACAAAGGAAAGTAGGCTTAAATAATAATTTTAGGTTAATTTAGTATAACTAAATTCATGTTTTTTAAATATCTCAATTGTATTCTTAAATATTTTAAAATGAAATGTCTTAAATTTGTTACTAAAAATAACAAGTAAAAAAATAAATGAATGTTCATTACTAAATTAATATATTTTAAAACATTTCTAAATATTTTTGTTTATAACAATTAGTAACCTTATTTAACCGCACAAATTCTTTACCATTATGTCTCTGCTGGTAACTTTTCGTATCTTAGAAGTACATAAATCAAGTGTATTAAAAATAACTGTTTCATTTCTTATTCATAAGTAACATAATATAAATCAAAAGTAGACTATAGTGTACAGAATTATAAACTACCTTTTGGGTGCAGGTTGTATTTGAAGCAAAGCAGTCCATGCATTGTGAATCATAGACAATGACAAAAGCTGGTGCACTCAGTGAGTTTTCATTTGTAGCTATCTGAACCTGGAATGTTCCTGCTCCAGGCAATGAGCACTGCACTTCATTTACTGTCAAAAATGTGGCAGGTGATTTTTCCAGAGCACCCAAAGATCCAGGTAAGTTGTATGTACCAGAAGCATTGGTCTATGGAGAGGAATTGGTTAGGTTTTTTTTTTTTTTTTTTTTTTGATAAATAATAACATTTTCAGCATCACATTTTTTTAAACATAATTATAGTTTCAAACTTATCACAAGTCTTTTAAGTTTTAAATATTTAACTAGCCATGGGTACCTGGATCACATGAATTATAGGCCTATATATTATTGGCTTTTTAATGTTATACTTTTTAGAAAAAAATTATTTTTAAAATAGTTTTTGGTCAAAACACAATGTTCTTGAACGATATAAGTGACAAAGCAAAGAAATAACTAAATAGCTAAAACTCCAACACATTTAAAATAACATAGGCGACTAATACCTATTAGAAAAACCAAATTATATGCATTATTAGTCAACACCATATTAAATGCACACACTGAATAAGAGACAAATAATTCTGTTAAACTCCCGGCTGTTTAATGGTATTTATTTTGTTTTTTAAAGTAATTTGTATTACTTTTGTCCGAGAAAATAGTATACATTTCAAAGCGCATTTCAAAGTAGACATATAGATCTAAATCAAATTTGAATGAAATAGTTCATTTCTTCATATTCAAAAATGGGAAGATGACGCCATAAGTTTTGTGTACTTTCCATAGTTTAAACATGTAGCATGTGACGTCATTGTTCATTGCATTCTTGTCACAACAATAAGCACTTTTCCGGTTGCATAATTAAAAATGTTCATCTAAATTCAAATATGCCTTTATTTTTATTTTCCTTCTTTAAATAAAATTTAGTTTATATATTTAAAACATCCAACATATTATTTTCAACAAAAGTCCTTATCTTTAAATTCTCCAGATATAGCTGAACATACTGATCACATGGCCTCTTTTAGAGAGAGAGAGAAGTGCGCACATTGGCTTTTATACATTAGGATTATATATTTTTACACACCATCAGTTTTGTGACATAGCAGGCAAGTTCAGGCACATTGACAGTGTTGTTAACATACAGTACAACAGTGCTACATTCTTCATCACGTGTATCACACAGACCATCATTGGCCAACCCAAAGAGATTAGGGGGCAGGTTTGTCTCCACAAAGCAATCACTACCACCATAGCCAGCATTGCAGGAACAGACACCTTCAAATTTAGATAATTGATGAAAATTACATAGAATGAATTCAAATAATTTATAAACATATTTGAACCATCAGGGTGGGTATATCTTTTTAAAAATGAAATTCCAGACTTTTTATATATTATATTGTTTTAGCGACTAATTTATAAAACGATACACATTTGTACTTCCTTTTAATTACAGTACAATGACATTTATTTTAGGCAACTGACATAATGTTTTTTTTTAACTTTCTCTACCCAAATGTCTGGCTTTTTCTGGACTTAACAGACTAACCCTGTACCTTATTAATGAAATTCAATGTTCAAATACTATTAATAAAAAATTAATTTAAATTCTAAATACATTTATTTTATTTTATGTTTTACTTTATAAATTATAGCCTATCTATGCTGCCAATTGTTAGTAGAAGTCCACATAGTTTACTGAAATGTTTAGTAAGTGTTACCTTGTGTACAAGTCCCAGCTGCACCACATTCAGCAATGCAGAATAAAGAAGTATAACTTGTTGGAGGAGCTTTTGGATCACCCTCCCACAATGAAGTGTTGCGCTCTAACTCTATTTCACATTGTGTTTGTATATTTTGAACAGCAGCTTTTGACCAAATGTACTGCCCTGTTTCCTGTATATTTATTTTTAAAAGTAAATATTTCTTCTTATTTCATTTAAGTTACAAGTAGACAATATTAAAAAATCATAGTATAAATATATTAAAATGTGTACTTATGGCAAATATGGTACTTACAAACATATCATAAATCAAAGATTCTTTAACTGCATACATCCTAACTGCACTGATGTCTTTACATGTTAAAGCTATGTTATCTGATTCTAAAATTCCTTCAGCTAATACCGTAACAGCTTTATAGGTAAAACCTGATGGACTGGTGAGACTTGTATTGATGAACTAGAGAGAAAAAAACAATGTGATTTAATCGTTGCAGATTGTAAAAAAAAACAGAGAGTATGCAATGAGAGAAAAAATAGCATGTCTGTTTCATGTTTGTTCTAAAGCAGTGAGGGCAATGTGATAAGGTTATATATATAATAATATATATCTAGTTAAAAGAAAACAATAAATTATATAACTGGGAATATAAGAATATTAGTATCTGAACTTATAGCTCTGTTTTCTATATTTAAAGTTTAGAAATAGTTAAATACCACAATTCTGCATGTTCATTAATTGATTATTGCAGCTTTTAAAGAGTCATGTCAAATAAGATGCTTAATAATGCATTAGCTTACACTTTACATTTACATACCTCTGCTTTATAGTTTTGGTTATATTCAAACAGGGGAAATGTTGTGTTGTCATAGTTAAGCTGGTCAAGACACTTCAGTGGGTAAACAGCACGAGCTTCTAGTTGTGCAGTAAAATCTATCTGATCTAAATGTTTCAAATATAAAAAATATTTTAAAAGTTTATTATCAATCGAAATCTTTAATTTTTACAAGAAGTATAGAGGAAGCATTGTAATCATAGAAAAAAATGAAATCAAGATTTGACAAAAAATTTAAATGAACTGTTATAACAATAAAAGGAACACAATTCAAACAAATATAATATATATCAATAAACAATCACAGGAAACAAAAAACCCAAAAGATAAAACAAAAACTAATTTTCTTCTCATTTCTTTAATATTCTATAATAACATTGAAAGACAACATTGGAAGGAGGACATTGAGGAATGTAATAGGTTGCTCATTGCAGAATTACTTAAAGCAGCAATGGACTGAGAAAAATTATTTGAAAAAACAACTGTAGTGCCCCAATGACCAAGGGGTTAAGGGAAGGTTGATCGACTGATTCTAAAAAAATTAACAAAAGATTGGAACAAAAACAGATATGGCAAATTTAAGTGGAGTGTGCTGATGACAGAAAAGTCATGTTGAAAAAGAAGCCATGTTATGGTCAACATCATTGTTGTGTATTGTATAGATAATTTTATTATTTCTATCCTGAGCTAAAAAACACAAACATTAAAAAATACAGAATGTTCAGGATTCAAGTGTTCTTAATATTAAATAGACTACTTAGGAGTCCAAATTCACCTCTTTCCAAGAAAGGGCAAATAACAAGATCATAGCCATCTCCACATTTTTCACTTGAATCACAGTAACAAAATGATTGTTTTTCTAGCATATTCTCAAGAGAATTTCCATTATCACAAGATCCAGTATAAAGTGTGTCCTGTGGGTTAACTCTGAAAATGAAAAAAAGAAATCATCACTGATTAAAAACAATAAGTTATAATTTTCCTTATTATAGTTGTTTTTCACAAATTTCATTTAATATTTATTATTGTTATACATACATCATACAACTAATAACTTGTTCAGACAGTTCCAATTGTACCCTCTACACTAAAAATTTTCATTTCATTTTTAAACAATTTACAGTAATCTTCACCCCTGTTGTTATAATTACACATAGTTTGGTAGACTTATGCTTCAGAATAATACTTAGCATTATCCTCAAAAGAGCATATATCTTTAAAACAATTTTAGGTAATTTAATACCACCTTTAATTTCAAATCTCATAAATACATTCATTTTAATGTTTGGAATTTTCCCAAAAACGTATATTTTTGTATTTTTACAAATATTGCTAAAATGCTGATCTTGAAATATGGACAATTAAACAAAATAAATAAATATGATACCAGATATTTTAACCCTGAGTTTTTGCAGTACATAAATAAGATGATCAGTGATTTGTAAACCTACCTCCAGGTTAAAGAATAGTCATTAGGTTGATTGAGATTTGTATTATAGACTGTTTTATTTGGAAAAGTTAAATCATTGGTGACATTCCCATCGTACATTCCGCAGAGACCTGTTAGAATATTTTCTTTTTATTCTATGCTTCAAACCAATTCGGAATAATTAAAAAGGCTAGGTTAACTTTTGCACCTATTATATTTTTTGTTATGGAATAGAACTTTTTTTAAACATTTTATTCTTTGATACCTTGTGTCTGGCCATGGTCAACAGGTGCAGGCTTCAGCCAAAGGTTGATGAAATTTAAACCCTTGATTGCACTGCGATCCACATACAGGATAGCCCCAGTAGGAAAAATTATCTAAAAAATAAAAATTATTGATAATATTAAGGCCTATATAACATAATATTCAATAAAGAATAATTTTGTTATTGAGGCATTTACCCATACAAAGCATAAAAAGTGAGAGGGTTTTCAGAAAAATTGAAAATTATCAAAATATTGATAGTGTCTAATCAAATATCATTATCCACTATATACTCTAAATTTATAACCTTCCTAGACAAACAAAAATACAAAATAAGAATCTTTAACACAAATTTTAAGGCAGTATTGCTTTATGGCTCAGGGACCTGGATGGTTATCAAGTCCAATACCAACAGAATACAGTTGTTCACAAAAAGATATCTACATCAAATCCTTAACGTAAGATGGCCAGATAAAATAACCAATGAAGACCTATGGCAAACCACAAAGCAACAGTCAATTGACAGGGATATAAAAAAACCTGAGAAGGAAAGTGGTCAACATCACAAGGGGAAAAGAAAAGTAGGCCAACCTAAGCAATCCTGGAGAAGGCTAGAACTGTGTGAAAATGTCAAACTTAATTGATTAAGGATGTCTATTTGGTATTATAATTTATTATATGATATTAAGTTTTTTCGGGCAAACAGCCTTAGGACAAGTGGATTTGTCACATTCTGGCGAAGTCCATTAGGGTGTTTGTCACATTTGGGCAAGTGTCCACTCAGGAAATCGGCCTCTGGGTACACGCCTTTTGAGCTAGTTTCTTTCGGGAATTTGTCTTAAACCCCAAGCATACTATGTACACTCATATAAATGATGTTATAACAACCTTGGATAAATGCAAATACTGATCAAATTATACACCTTAATAGTTTGCAATCATGATAGAGAATGGTTTGGTGGTTGTTAACAAAGGTCACAAATTAGGCAACAGGGCTAATGACTGCAGGTTGTCCCCTGACCTAACTGCCATAAATTCTAACCAGAGGGTGTAATGCTACAGGATATGATAAAAGTCCGTGGAGAAACAAACAGGATTTAGCAACTGTCAACAAGGGTAAAATAAATATTCAATCTTAAACCCTGTTATGATCTGCCTGGTTTAATAACATTTTTTGAGTGGATTATTCTAAGGAAAAAAAGGATTTTTAAGTAAAAAGCTAGCATTCTCTGAAAATATAGTATATACAAAATAAAAAGACACAAACATCTTACCTGGTATTCTCTTCCTTCATACTGACTAAGAATCCTGAATCCAGGAGTTAGAATGCCATTCTTAAACAATTTGACAGTCATTGGGTAAAAAGCATTCCCAGAATTTTTCGGACCACATTTGTCAATGACAATGACATCATCTCCTGCTCTTGCTGCAACTGCACAGTTACATGACACACGTCCACTACCACAGGGTCGATAAAACACTCGAACCTTTAGTTTATACATTTAATTATAGTTACATATAAATTAATAAAATAGCTTATAAATCACATATGTTACATGATAATAAGACATATTACAAGATAAACCTAACCTACCTCTACTCTTTACATTACATCATATACCTAAGAATAACCCTAATATTTAAAGTTATCATTATCAGCAATATCTGCTGTTTGAAACATAGCTGTAAAATATATATCTTTTGCTTGGACTTATTTTTTTTTTTACTTTTATTAATGTGCAAGTATTTAATTTTTATATATCTTAAAAAATTATATTTTAAATCAATAGTAAATTCTTATTTGAATTATTTACCTCAATTGGTAGTGTGGAGTGTCGATAGAACACAAACTCACCAAGCAAGAAAACATGAAACAACCTATAAACATACAAAATAAATATTATTAAAAAATCGTAATTCAATCATTAAGTTGAAGACAAATTTATGCTGTTTAACTGTTTTCTCATACTTAATGTGTCAATATTGTTTAAAATATATGACACTACAATATTATACTACAGAATGACACTGTATTTGTTGTATTTTTATTCATTGATGTGAAATTTAGGGCAACATTTATTTAAATTAAAATGTTTTTAATTACTCATCTTCTAAGAATTAATTAACACATTTTAAAACAACAAAAGTTAGTTAAATAAAAACATTATAATATTCATAATAGACATCTTTAAATAGTTAATAATGTAACTGCATTTCTTTTTTTACAATTCAAAAGTTAGCCAATAAATATCAGTTGAATATAGGTCTTACTTTCCATCAAATGTTGTGATGTGGGGATCATTCACTGATGAACATAAAGCATTGGTATCTCTGTCTACCAATTTTATCTGAAATAAAAACAATTAAAAAATCAAATCAAAATGAATAAATTAGTACAATTAGTATTGATCTTTTACTATCATACAAAATATACAGTACGAGCCGACCCGCGGCGTATCATACGCCGCTATTTAGTTGTTTTATTTTCTACTATTCAGTAATTCATAATTTGTGAATTCGACAGTATCAATGCTGCCACTGAAAATATTTGCTTTAAAACACTAACCCCCCCCCCCCCCCTTTCCCCGACCCCCCCCCTCTCCCCCCCCCCCCCCCCCCGTGAAAGCAGCCTCCTCTTAGTTACCTCCTGTAAGTTTAAAATCATTTCAAACTAAATTATCTGCCGTGACCACAGCTCACCAGACCATGTGGGGGTGGGGTGGGGGTGGTAGTGATAGTGAAAGAGAGAAAGAGAGGGGACTGCAAGGATGCACTTGCAGCTTGTTTTCTAGCGTCTCCCAGAAGAGAATTATATATATAGATAGTCTAAAAAGCTTAATAAATTATTCTGTTTTGCATTATTAATTGCAATGTCTCTTAACATGAAAAAGAGTGGCTGGAAATTAGGGGTTTCAAAAATAGTAAGAATATTAAGGACTAAGAACATTTAATTTACCTTAGAAGTTGGACCAACCAATGAAAAATTAAAGGTTGGCAAAAATACAGTTTTTGTTATATTTAAAGAGACATTGTGGTCTCCATCATAAATATGGTCAGTGACTGCTTTCACATTCACAGAAAAATTTGATTGCCAGTCCTCATTGGTAAAACGTATATCACATGTTGGTGATTCACTGCTGTCCTTTTTTATCATTACAGCTGCCTGTGGTATTTGAGTGCCTACATTGGAAAGACAAAAATCTAATGAGACTTTCTTTACAAAAAGAAAAAATTCATATTCCCTTGTTTTAAAGAAAATAACATTGTTTTAATGAAGTTTTTGAAATAAGGGAAAAGTAGTCACCATTTGGACAAGAACTGGGTGTGGTGGATTCCAGCACTTCTACTTTTATGCTGAAATAACAAAAATCAGCACCTCCACCATAACCTTTGCAAAGAAAATAAGGTGGAGCTGTCAGTCTGATTGTTATGGTTTCTCCAGTTTCCCCTTCATTGATGATAAGGTCTTTCATATTTTCAATCTAAAAATGTAAACATTATTGGCAGTTGTTATATACCTTTATTCATCATTTTGATTACAGCAATTATATTTTTTATTTCAGAGTCATTAAAAAATTATAAAGATACAGTTTATATGTTCACTATTAAACCTTTACAATTAAGCTGAACTAATACTACCAAACAAAGTAAGAAATATTACATATAATTCTGTTTAGAAATTAATATGAAATTATAGAAAGCTTAAGAGATGAATCCATACTCACTCAGTTACATGGATAAAAAGCATAGAAGCTAATATTTACCCTATTGTAGGATACATTAGTGATGGATATTAGATCATTAAAGTAAGTAAGAGATATTTAGGGCAGCATGGTCTAGCGGTGGTATTTAAAATAAGATAAGCCTTACTAGAACGGTTGCTCTGTAAATATTAGACATGATGAGTGGTCCTCGAGTGTCTTCACAGTTGCTCGCAATACACACACTAACTGCACACTGAAGCTGTAATTATATTACATTAGCATTTTATTTCACATTTTCCAGTGATAGGATATCCATAATAGTCAAAGTATATACATGTAGCTAATGATTGCAGGAACAATAGTATTAAATATAAAATACATTAAGTAATACCAGAGCACTGGTCACACTAAAGAAATATACAAAATATATCTGCTATAGCAAATATTTCATAGTGGAGCTTAAACACATTCAATTAAAGATTGTATTATTTTATAGTTTAAAACATTTACCATTTCACCCGACATTAGTTTATTTGCAGTAATGCTATCCAAAGTTTGTGAGGAGTTTCCTATGTTAACCAAATTAGTTTCATGGGCCCATATAATATCATATTTGTAATCTCTTCCAGTTAAAGGAGAATATTCACAAGTAAAAATATCTTTGTAGGGTCCACCAAACTGAATATTTATTGTGGCTTTCAAAACTTGGTTTTGCATCCTTGTAGATATACCTGGAAAACCCATATTTATAGATTATTCCTTATTTTCAATGACAATAGCAAAAAAAATGAATTCAAAATGTCCATACTAAAAAGTTAATCAAATTTTTATTTCAATAAATTTTAATTTTCAAATCAATTGATGTTTGTATATTTCATTTGTAATAAGAAATTTTATTTTTAAAACATACCACTTAAGCACTGAAATTTTTCATGTATCCAGCCAGGAGCAGCCCTATCAGGTACTGATAAAGTGGGATCTACTAGCACACAAACTCCTCTTTTCTTGAGGAAGTTTATTCCCTGGCAACTTGAATTAGATAAACAAAGAGATCGGCAAGTGGTTTCCATCCATATATCACTATGCACTGCTACAGTTGTTCCTTTCACAATATTTTCAAAAGTTGTCCATTGTAATTCTTTTCCTTGACAGCGATCTGTCATAAAATATATTTTCAAACAATAATTAGTTATGAAAAATGTAACTAAATTTTTCTAAATGAACACAATGTTTAGTATTAAAAAAGCACAACATACATCTATTAAGAATGCAGATAATGGACTCAAATTAAACACTAACAAAGCCAAAGTGTTAAAGCAAAATACAAATAGCAAAGAACCAATTAAAATAAACAACACACAAGTACAGAAAGTAAAAGATTTCACATATTTAGGCAGCAGTGTAAATTATGAAGGAAACTGCACCACTGAAATTAAACACACATCTCTAAAGCCAAGCAAGCCTTTGCAACAGTGCAAAAAACATGGCGATCAAAGAAAATCTCTAACAAGACCAAATGCAGACTTTTCAAAAAGTAACGTCCTTAGAGTCCTACTGTATGGTAGCAAACGCTGGAAAGTAACAATCATTACCAGCAGATCACTGGACTCTTCTATAAGGCATCCACTGGTCTAATACCATCTTCATTAATAGACTACTAAGAGATATGGAGATAAAAGTTTCCCAAATCATTGGGGGAAAAAGATGGCACTGGATGGGACATGTCCTAAGAATTCATCCACATGATATTGCAGGAATGGTGCTAAACTGGACACCCTAGGGAAAAAGAAACAGGGAATGCCAAGGTAGACATGGGAAGCAGCTAGCAGAGGCAGGACTGTCTTGGGGGACTGCCTGGAAAATTACGGGAGACAGGCAAAAGTGGAGCTTTTAGCTCCGAGACACCCCCAAGTACCTTGGGCACAAAAGGGAAAAGTTGAAGTATACAGGTAAAAATGTGTATAAATTATACTATAAAATTAGATATTTACTTGTTCATCTTTTAAAAGATGTAAATGTTAGTACTCACCATAATTACAGAACAAATCAATATGAGTGATGTTTTGTGCAGGCAACAAATAATCTGGCACAAGAAAACTTGTGTATTTTGATAGAGCACAATCTTGAGTTATTGTGTTGAAGTCCACAGATCTACAAGGTAAGTCAATCTCTTTTTTACACATGTCTAGACACACATCACTGTCAGAAACATTGCTGTATGTAACATCATTGTAGAATGCAAGAATACTTGTGGTATTTTCTTTCCTTTCTACTTCAGATCCAAAGCATAAATCTGTATGGTATATTATTAAGCTGTATTAATATTGTCATTTCATTCTGCTCATTCTGAATATTTGTATTTATATTTTTAATTAAACAAATTTGGGTTACTGATGAATCATTTTATAATTGCAAAAATAAGATATTTTAAACATTTCAAAATATGTTTTTTAAAAGGATTGTGCCTAGTAATTATTTGTTATAATTATTAGTTATTTGTTTCTAACTTTCTGAAGTTGTTTTATCAAACAGATGAGTGTCTTGATGGAAATTTAAAATTAATGTTTTTAACCGTTTAAGAGATTAATATTCCAAGACTAAAATACAAAATAGAAGTACTTTTCACTATGTAAAGTACCCATATCAATTTTTTGTTAATTGTTCGGGTAATATGTGAAGAAAAGTGAGGTATGTATAATGCCCTGGCATACATTTGTACCTTACATTGTGTATTTATGAAAGCATTAAACTCACCTGGCTTCCTAGTCCAGTCGTCAGCATTGTTTGTAGAATTACATATTTGCGTGTGATTTTGGGGGTTTTGATCTAAGTCATCATAGCAGTTTCCAGAGATGAAACATGTGTGGGGCTAAACAGACATAAATGTAGGCAATATATAAATTAATTTTATTGATTTTTACAATTTATTGTTCAGTAAATAGATTCTTATATTAAAGTAGTGAAATCTAATTATTTTTTTAACAAATGTAACAGTTTCAAACAAAAAACATTTGTTAGAATGGCTTATCTACCTTTCTTTCCAAACTCCCAAGAGATATTTTAAAACAGCTTGGATTAAATGATAGATATGTAGCATTACTGCTAAGTGGTCCATTCAGATTTTGTACTCTTATGAAGTAATTTCCCTCTGCTGGAAGTTTGCACTGAATTTGGCTGGCTGTTATGTATGTTGTTTCTGCAGCAAATATGTCCCCATCCATAAGATAGTTGGTATCATTGATCTGGAACGAGGAAATAAAAGTAACTTTAAGTAATTGTATTTTAAAGTCACTTAAATTTTACAAATAATTTATGTCGTTAAAACTAAAAGATTCAAAAAAATAATTCCATTATAATTCAAGTTGATTATTGTAGTTGACTAACTCAAGTAAATTACAATTCTTTTAATAATATTGAACTTTCATGATCAACTCAAAAGTGGTTTATTATGGCTGCAACTGAAAAGATAGTTGAACCTTTATTTTTTGATAATAGCATTTTATGTCAGATGCAAAGGATTTTCCAAAGACTGTGACATAGGCACATGTTCCTTGAAGGTTAGTATTGCAAAAATTCTGGTCAAATCTTGTGATGGTTGGAGGGTTGCTCTTTATTATAGAACAATCAAAACCACTGTATCCATCATAACATTTACAATAACCTGAGAAAAAATATCAAAATACTGTTTTTATGTCAGTAAACAAATGTAATAAAATAAATTGCTAAGAATTTTAAGTAAGTTCAATATCACAAACTTGAAACTAAAGCAAAAACAAAATGTTAGTAAATGTGAATAGAAGAAAAACAATTCATAGCCTAAGCTTTGACAAAAATAATTTTTTCTCACCAGACAGGCAAATTCCTTGGTTTGAACAATCATTTGGACAAAGGACACTTAACACAGCATTTGGCGGACCATTTTGACCATAATAATGATAACATCGTTCAGTAAAGATTTCTAAAAGTGATGTGGCCCAACCTTCATTTCCAGTTCTCTGTCAAATTTTAATTTTTTTATTTTTAGATGTGTATATAACAAAATAGATTTTGATTTAAAACTACACAGAATTTCTATAGAAACTATACTTTTACAATGAACCAAAACAATTTTAATGATTTTTTAAAAAGTATATAAAATACCTTTATATCTGATATGCAATTTGTATAGTCATCACCCATTATTAAAGATAAATTGCATTGATGTACTGCATTGCTTGCATTAACAGCTGTTTCACAGACTACCCTAGCTGATTGATCTGTATAATTTGTACTCTGTTGAATAAGAAAAATTGTTAATATGTAAATTGCATGCTTTTACAAGTTAATAAACTAGTTATTTGGGTGTTGTGGTGAATACATTTCCAATGCATACATAATCATTGTACAGAGAAAAACAAAGAATTATAGTTGTTAGCAAACAAATAGGGATATGTATGTGTATTATTGCTTTATTTTTATGTTCTACTTACTCAAATAATAGTTGAAATCTCCTAAATTCTTTCTTATTGTTAATGTAATAGTTAACAAAGTGTTTATTAAATAAGTATTGAATACTTACAGTTACAACCATTTCCACATTATTATAACTAAATATGTTGTCTAAGCTGTCTTCAACAACACAGTTGCCAGGCTGATCACTGTTGCTTTTGAGAAAGTCTGTTATGTCCTCATCTGTTAGTAGATAGGAGAAAAAAATGGAAATTAAAATGTGACTTCAACTTGCGTTTAGGTGTTGTTTCTTAAATATGTAGTGTCATAATTAGCCATGACTTTAATATAATTTAGCGTGCTTCTCAACATATGAAACTAGCTGAAACCTTTTATAAAAATTTATTTTACTCAATACTACAATCAAGCTAAGGTAGCTAAGGTAAGTTAATTTCTCACTATAAGTTGTTTGTCCTAATAGGCACCTATTCCTCAGCATACACCGATGCTCACCAACCATTTAAACTTTAAAGCTACTACTTTCAAATTTCAAGTGTTATCAAATAGCGAAGAACACTGTGAAGGCCAGCTTTTACCAGTTACTTTTATTTTAATATTTTCTTACCTTTATCAAAATCTTCCATCATTTCGCAAGTAAGAAATGTATCTGTCATTGTCATATTTGAAGCACTAGTAATTGGGCTTTTGCATAGAGCATACTCTTCCATCTTCAATGTGCTTGAGCTAGTGTCATCAGGACAACGACCGTTGTAATAACTTTTAGTTTTGTTAATCCTGAAATTTATTTTAATATGTTATCATTGGTTTGATGTTTTAATTTATAAATTAACATTAATTGACAAAGTATATTATAAATGTTGGATTGACTGAACATGGTTATCTGTCAGTTTACTTCAAGAAATGTCCTCATTTGAGCTGCACACATATTTTGTAGTGTTGTACCAATTACAAAAATGGTCATGAGTAGCCTACATGCTTAATTACATAATATCTCTTTCTAAGTGTTACTTTCCGATAGGTTTTTTTTGGGGGGGAGGGGGGGGATACTGGTTAAAGTATATATTTTTAATATAAATTTATAAATTACATATTTTTTCTATTTCATCAGTGGGTTGTGGATGTGCTTTGGGACAAACATCCACCTCTAGAGATGCCTAAAAAACTCTTCCTTTGTAATTTCTTTATCTAGATCTAATATTATATTAGTGTACTAGTAATAGTAATAGTCTAATAGATATATCTATATTCTATTCTATCTAACTCTAAAGTTGTCCAAGTAATAGATCTAGATCAAAGGCATATTATGAGTATAATTTATCTAAATTTTGTATAATAAATAAATGTATTATTATTATATTATATGATTAACTGTTAACAAAATTAGACAGGATTATTAATTGTCAATAACTGTATGTAGGCATTGTCATTCTGCATATGCCAGCCATAAGGTCTTGAGTTTAGAATAGTTTAGATCTTTGCGATACTGTTAAGTCTGTTAAGTGAAGCTTCAGAAGATAGATCTAGAATCTAGATCTAGATCTACTTCCAAAATACCCATACAATCACAATGCAGAGAACTCTGCTTCGACTTTAGACTAGGTCTAGATATTCTAGAGTTCCAGACTAGATCTAGAATCTATCTCATTTTATCTGGATCTGGGCCAGAAGGGTCCTTTGCATTGTATTATGATTGTATGATTGTCACTTTGTGACTTTTGTGTGTTGTCTGCAACACTGAGTCACTCAGTCAGTTCTCAGTGAGTAGAGTAGCAGGTATCAGTAATTCATCAGAAGCATTATGCATGGATATGAACAAAAAGATTTAGAGATCATTTAGATCTAGATCTAGATCTAGACTAGATTCTAACGATCTATTAAATCATATCTATTATTCTAGAATAATAATCATTATTGTATCATAAATTGAATCATTGATTTTACGGTTGAATCTAGCAGAAGTTATGTCTGTTTATGAGCTCATACGGTTGTGGTAGTACAAGCAGTTTAATTTTCTGAAATGGGTCTAGGAACGGTAATCTAGTTTATTATCTATTAATATTACGAAGATATAGAGTTCTAAGTTTAATGAAGGTGACTAAATTAAGAGACAATCGGCTGTATGAATACAAACATGTTACTTTTCTACAATTGACCTAGGAATGTGGAATAGCTTATTAATTATAATTTTCAGAGCTTTCAAAATGGTGAATCTAGAATCTAGATCTAAATGTCACTATAATGAGTTTACATTAAACTCAGCTTTATTTCTGCCTTTAAGCCAACCAAATTTATACTAAGCCTTCCTTTTAAGTGGGGCTTTGTAAACTAAAATTTACTGCTTTATAATATTGTGGACAAAGGCTACATGCCGAAAATATGCACCTGATATGTATGTTATAACCTACACGTCACTGTATGAGAGGAACCGCTAACAAAACTCCTTTACATGTGTAGACCTAATAATTATCATCTGACTTATTTGTCCATTTATATACTAGATACACACAAACCCATTTGCCCAGTTCTCAATTTGCAAATAAACACTAATTCCTTCAAATATGTTTTCCAACTCCTCCATTAAGGGATAGTGCACACATTATATAGCACAAAAATATTGTTAATCACCCCTAACTCAAAAAAATCGTTCTATACCATTTATATCCTCATATTGTTTCTTAGAACCATCCCCTCATCTCTCCTACCCATTAAATAATTTAAATACATAAGGGGTCGTCAATAATTGACGTCACACTAGTAGGAGGAGGGGGGGGGGGGGTCGGTAATTTTGTGACGGTGTGTGATGAGGGGGGTTCGAATGGTGCGACGTCACACTTTTGCATTATTAAAAAGCAATTTTAGAAAACGTATTTTAGACGTTATTTCGCGTTTTAGAAAACTGTTTTAATAAATTGTAATAGGAATTGATTAAAATACTCTATTTTGACAGAGTTCAGACAAGATTTTGGAAAAATATCGATGTTTAAAAAAAAAATTCAACTGCAGTTTTGAGGGGGGGGGGGTGTAGGCTGAGAGGTCTGGCTTTTTGTTACGATGTGTGACGGGGGAGGGGGGGAGGAGGAGGTAAAAGTCGTCAAAAAAAGCGTGACGTCATTTATGGATGACCCCTAAGCCTACTATTTGGTAGTCTTACTATAAAAATATGTATTGATTATTCATATAACCTAAGCTATAGTTTAGAAAAAAAAATTTGTTGCATTTTATAAGAAACAATGGCAAAGCCTGTGGAAATTAAGTGTGTAAAATGAGGTGTCAACTTATTTGTCAAGCAATTATCAAAAAACAATATTTTGCGAATATAAAAATTAAGATGAAGGCACCGCTACCTAAAACAAAATTAAAGCCCACCCCTACCCCAATGAGTGTTGTATGTCCATGATGGTTAAGATTCAAAGACTCTGTTGTTACTAATACTATGCACAGTTAATCTAAACTCAATACATTGTCAAGAAAATAAACTTTTCTTACCTCCACGTCTCAATGCTTAAACTGGCACTAGTTGATCCTGATCCAAAAGACCCACACAGACCTAAACAGAGTTGAAGCTTTGTTATCGATTGATCTCTATGATCATTATGTATTAAATTGTGAACATTTTAAAACGAAGCCTAATTTAAATAAACAGTCTTTAAAACAATTTATACCTTCGGTAGAATTGGAATCAGAGAGGCTTGGATAAAACCAGACATTGATCGAATCTTGGAATGTTTTTCGGGCCACAACGAGACCGCCAGTGGGTAGGGATATCTGGGGAAACAAAGTATAATATTCAAGCCAGTATTTTTCATGTAAGCCTACTATTACTGTCAGTTTCTTACAAGTACTACTTGTTTGTTTCATAAACATTGAATACGTACCTCGTATTGCAAACCTCCGTCATATCGCCGCACAAAAAATTGTTCTGAATTCTCCCCCTTGAAAAGCTTTGCCGTTATTACTTCCCCTGTAACACAACCTGTCAGTAAGACAACGTCATCTTTGATTCTGACGGCTAACGCGCAGGTACATCTAGAATTGTTGAGGGTTGTATTGTCTTGGCTACACTGGCGGCTGAACGTGCGTACCTAGATTGGGTGGTGGGTGTATAAGAAATAAAGTAAAGAACATTGTTTAAAATAAATGACGATAGATCATTGTTGTTACTTTGTTTTGCAGTTATAATGGGAAAATTTATTTTTTTCCCTATTTTTTTGTTATTGATTCTTTACATTTTAAACATTATGAAACACCTACTTCAAACGGTAGTTTAGTATGCTTGTACAACACAAATTCACCATACAAGTTGTTTTCAATGAAGCTGAAAAATAAAATAAAGTTGTTTTTTTTATCTGTGAATTCTTTTGATTTATTTTATAAATTCGTGGGTTCATATTTTTAACAGTGTGAATTTACAGAATAAAGAAAATGCATTTAGCTTTCAAAACCAACAGGGTAACCACCATAATCACTAGGTCTAGATCAGATTTATGCAGATGTGTTTACTTATAAATGACTCAAAATCCCTTGTAAATCAAGCATGCCTAGCGAACCTATTTATTAAAAAAAATAATTAAGTCGTATACTCATAACTACGCATTACAGATGCAATCATTATGTTTAGATAGCATCTTCTTCTTTCTTTTTCGTTCTTAATTGTAATTTAGACAGAATTCCCTCCAACACAATGTTATGCGCCACATTGACTACGATTTCAGCCTGATTATCTTTATGGATTTGCTTCTATAGCTTTTGTTCATCCAAGAACAAACTACAAGGCAAGAGTTGTTTGAGTTTTCTCTCCTTGATGGATTGGTGACCCCAAGCCTCATCAACCCGGGGGTATCTAGTTGTGACAACATCATTCCCACGCTGTAGGCCCTAACTTACTCACCTGCCGTTGAACATTCGTATATGTGACATCCCTGTAGACTCACACACCGGTGTTTGCGTTGTAAATGTTGTCGTCACCTTTTGATATACAATACAAACTATTAGGTCAGACATGGATATCCTGCTTTAAAAAGTAAAGGCTGTACTTGCTTTCCGCAGTAAACAGTTATTTTTCGATTCTAGACGCCTAATTTGCATAAGCCCTTTCAAAGATATCAAATTTCGAATTTAAACACTAGCATAACAGTAGAATAAAAGTAATAATCTACATAATTACTTTATTACTTTAATTCTTCTGCTATGCTAGTGTTTAAATTCGAAATAATTGAAATCTTGCGTTTCTGTATAAGAAAACGGAGTCATGCCTCAGCATATAGGCTCTTTCAAACTTTTTTCTCCAGGGGGGGGGGGGGGCGGCACTAGAAATTTGGGAGTGGGAGGTAAGTAAGTTTCCCTTTCAAACCTAACGGTCTATGGGGCAAATGAAGTAGAGTTCACCTGTTTCTGTGGAAGGACGGACACAAATTTTCTATAAAATTTCTATTTTGTTCGGGGGGGGGGGGGGGGGGGGTTGCCTCACGAAGAGATGCCTGAAAGAAACACTGTATAAAATCAGCGTAATAAAAATGAAAATGCTTAACTTACATTCAAACTTTTTGTGCTTCCTTTGTAGGTATCGTCAAACATGAGGCCGACGTAGATGGTACTGTTGAAGACACCTGACAGTTCTGTGCCAGAGTTGGGAGTTACTGCGATGGACATTTCTTGTCTCCAGTTGGCTTCTGACAGCGTCATCGCGCAGTTCGAGATGTCTTTGTTATCTCCCTTGGGAAATAGCAGTTTTGGAAGCACTACTGATGTTTTGGAGCATCTGTAAACAAAAATTTGTATTTTTATATTTCCAACACAAAAAAATTAGTTTGTCAGCTTTCTGTCGTTGTTTTTTTAACATTATAGTTCAAAATTTAAAAATCAATACCCGAATTAAGATGTAAGGACATATTTCATTATTTTCTGTTACGGGTCAGTTGTAGGATAGATAGAAATAGGCTAGAATAATCTAGAACTCAGGGGAGAGTGTGTCTGTGAGTTGAGTTTACCCTAGTGTGTAGTTAACCCCGGTGTGTTTATGTATTGTTATCCCAAGGTCGATTGCGGTATAAAAGCGGGAGTGAATGATTGTTAGAGGGGAGGGGTGTTAGTTGGTAGCTGTTAGGGGGAGGGCTATTGTGTAATGTGGAAAGTTGAGACCGAATAAAGTACTGAAAATTGTCAAGAATAGTTTTCTGCGTTAAACTGAACCCGGACGTAACATTTTCAACTGAACGGTTTTTATAAAGCAAAGGAATTAAGGGGTCGTCATTAAAGAGCGCCACACATCTAGAGCAGTGGTTCTTAACTGTTGTACCGAACCCCACTAGCTTTATTTGCGCATTCACCGAGCCTCTCTCAATAGGAAAAATAATATGATTTTTTTGTCAAATCCTAAACACAAGTTGATTCTATATATCTTACTGGTGCACAAAATGAACCGTATAAATCATATGAGTTGGGTATGTGTCTGGATCACCGCCGAACACTGAGCCTGCCTCTCCGAACTTTTGGGGTTCGATCAAACCCAAGCTCAGAACCACTGGTCTAGAGGGTAAATTGAAGTTCTGACTTATACGTCACGGAGGTTTTAAGAAACGTGACGCAAGATTTATTTTGAATATTTTAATAAAGAAAACAAATAGTAGAAAAACTGCTATTTTACATTATTGTCACTTTAAGTAAACGTCACGTCATTTAAATAAAGGCTTCTTGTTTGTTGTTATGACGTCTATCAATGTGATTCAAGGCGTAAAAATTAGAAAAACACAATACATATAACAATTTAATATTCTTTTTATTATATAACTGACTATCTGTTATTCTGTTTTAAAGGGGAAAAATATGTAAGTGTACTTTATAGATAATATCAACGTTGTCAAACTCTAAAATAATTCTCACGTTATAGACTCTTCGTCCTCCGATGAGATTATAACGGAAGCTTTGCATTCTGACGGCAGACCAGCTGCGGCACAGAGCAGGTATGGAGGAGCTGTAGCCTTGACCCGAATATATTTGATCTCTTTCTCACTCAGTACCATGACGTCTTTGTTCAATATCTGTTCAGATGTAAAGATGCAGAAAACCTGATATCGCATACAATAATATACTGTACTGAAAACGTAACAGATTATCTCGGTGTAAATCGTCGTGTTAATCGATAATCGCAGCGCAAAATAAAATCAACACTATTAACACTATAAACACTGACCCGCATTTACAGCTATAACCCAACATTGCAAGAAAAAATCAACACTACAAACGCTAACCCAAAAGTACATCACTAACCAATCACTACTACAAAACTTTAACATTACAAATATAACCGATCACTACTACAAAACCTTAACATTACATCTACAACCAATCACTACTACAAAACCTTAACATTACACCCATAACCAATCACTACTACAAAACCTTAACATTACATCTACCATCAATCCTACCTGTATTTCGGGGACGTATGACTGGCTTTCCTTTACTGCTGTGTAACTTCCAGCGTTGTCACGATAGGGCTTGTAGCAAGCTTTAACTTTACAGGAGTGCTGTTAGAGACCATACAGTAATTACAAGCAAATATTCGAAAATAGCCCTGTAAATTATAATTACGTCATCTGGAGGTATTGAATCGTATGGTGACGTGTGGGTAAGAACATAGATAATAATGTTGGTAATTGTGGGACTTGAATGTTCAGGAATAAACTGTCGGTTTGATTTGATTCGATAATTTTTTTAAATTTTATTCCAGATAACACATCCTCCCCCCCCCCCATCTCCCCCTCCCCCTTATTCAACTTTATATTACTGAAGTACCTTTTGCTGTACTGAGAAGTCAGACAGAGTTACTGTCAGGTAAGAAACCATCACACCATCTGTCACGTTCTCTTCTTGTACCTCCATGTTGTCGGCGTACCACGTGATCATGTACTGGATACCAAAAGTCGCCTTGTCCATGACGGTGCACGCCAGTCTCATATCCACGTCGGAGGGCTGATAGTCCACGGTGGGTGTCATGATGTCTGGTGGAGCCATGTCTGAAAATATGCACGGTGTTAGAGGCCTCAACGAGAATTGCATGGAGATAAACTTCAAATCTTTTTTACGTGGTTAATTAACATTAACGAACGAACTTCATTTACATCCTCAAATATTAAAACAAATGCACAAGATCTTTTATGAGAAGAATATTTTAAAGTATATATTTTTAAAGGTAACTGCATATATATATATATATATATATATATATATATATATATATATATATATATATATATATATATATATATATATATTTATTTATTTATTTATATATATATATATATATATATATATATATATATATATATATATATATATATATATATATATATATATATATATATATATATATATATATATATAACCTATGTATATACATATGTAAGCCCTGCTAGGGGGGGGGGATACCTTAAAATCTACTCTACCCTTCCCTAGGCTTATCTACTACTACTGTCCGGTCAGTGCAAGCCCGGATAAACCCAGACTGGTTAATACCTTAACCTTAGTCTAAATTAAAAAACAAAAAAACTTTAACAAATTAATAAAATTTATTTCATGGAACCAAAAGTTATTATAAAAAACTAGAATCTAGATCTAGACAAAACAAAACACTCAAGACATACAATACACGCAGAACTCAACGAAACAAAACAGTTTATATACAACAAAACATTACGTTCGAGCCGTTCCTCATTGGACCACCATGCACTCCCAGATTCGCAACAAATAAAATAATACAAAATAATCCATTCACCCGCTCACACATATATATACATAGATATATATGTTTGTGTGTGTATGAATGTATGTATATCTCATCAATGACTTTTTAAAAAAGATATGTAGATAATTGTATACATCTATAAAATCTCATTACCGACTCCACAGCCCCGTACGTCCATCCTGAGACATGGACGGCCAGTGAAGTTGACCACCTCAATTCTAACCCGGCGTGCAACAAATGGTGTGTCCAGTTTTAGCTCATACTGTTTGTTCACGTAGTCAGCTGTGAAGACCTGCCAATAAATATGTCAAAGCTGGTAATGATCTCGCGTCCATCACGTCTTACGTTATGTTACGTGTCTGATGTGGATCTCGATACTGAATTAATTGTAGTGCTGTCCAAAATTAAGGGTTATCCATAGCTTAATTAAGAAAATCAACCATACGGAAATATCGGATTAACACAAACGTAGCGTTAAGAAAGAAAAAAATTAAAATCTCAAATTATTTAGACTATATTATTAAAAAAAGAGTTAATTTCATCATTCATTTCATCGACTACTATAATATACTTTTTTACACTGTTTTAAGTTTGATGAGATTAATCTCCACCCATTAGGGGGTTGTCCATAAATGACGTAACACTCGTACGGGAGAGGGGGGGTCCTTAATTTTGTGACGGTGTGTTTTGAGAGGGAAGGGGGGGGGGGGTTCAGATGGTGGAACGTTTGATTTATAAAAAAAAAACAATGTTTGAAAACAAATTTTAGCCGCTATTTCGTGTTTTAGAAAACTGTTTTGATAAATTGTGATAGAAATTGATTAAAATACATTATTTTGACAGAGTTCAGGAAAAATTTTAGAAAAATATTGATGTTCTAAGAAAAATTCAACTGCAATTTTGAGGGGGGTTGTGGGCTGAGGTGTGACGTCATTTTAGGGGTGGGGGGCTGGCTTTTTGTGACGATGTGTGACGGAGGGGAGGGAGAGTAAAAAAATCGTCAAAAACGTGTGACATAATTTATGGATGATGACCCCTTACCTGTGTTCCATTGGTGCCGCTGTAGTTTCTCAGCTCACCAAACGGACCTTCGGCTGGCTCATAGTAGAGCCGGAACCTGGTCACCGAGAACTGTAGGCTCGTATCTGCCGTGTACGCCGGCTGTAAGAACACTGACGTCACATTGATGGCAGACTCGAAGCTGACGTCATACCAGTCGCCGGCCACATTGTTACTTGGACACCATCCTCCGAGTGTCATACCTTATCAATGACGAAATTATGGTTTTGTTTTTATTCAACAGGTCTTAAAAAACTATTTTTAAAATCTTACTACGCTTAAAATTTGTTGTAGAACGAATTTAATTTTTTTTTTATGTAAACCCATATAATTTATTAAAAAATCAATTGGATGAATACTTTTACTGTTTAGTTTGAAACATAGCATATCTCGGAGAAAAACTTCTGTGGTAGGAGTGAAAGGGGGGCTATCGCGTAAATGTATGCCTACGCTAAAACTAAAAGAATTATTTTGCCCGGGTAGTATAAATTAACAAGCGCATTAATTTTACTGTCTAGAGTCCACATATTAAAATGCTATTTTATTGGGTTGAAGTGCATATTTTAAAAAGTTTTCGGGCGCAGAAAAGATAGTATGAAACGAAGTAGCTCACTTGTGCAGCAGTCGAAAATGCCGTATGATGTGTTGAGCTTTGGGTCCGTCGATGATGCAGCAAACTGGACGTTCTTGTTGACGACCTGAGTGACGGGGTTGACACATTCTGTAACAAAAGGTGACAATGTGTAACGAAAAGATGAAAGAAAATTTACGGAAAATATGAAAACAAATGTAGATCTAACAAATGATAGCAAATCTTTTGTTTTAATTTTTTAAAAAATGTTCTGTTTACACGTGTCTTAATGTATTTGTAAAGCTCTAAGGAGATCTCTGGAGGGACATGATGGCTCAGAGGCGTAGAGAGGGGGGGGGGGGCGGGGGGGGGGGACATATGTCCCCTGGCGCCGACCTCAGGGGACGCCAAAATGGTTTGGAAAAATAAATTGAAAGCTTGAGGGGGGTGCAAATCGAAAATTTGAGGAGGGGGGAGGTGCAAATTGAAATCTTGAGGGGGGTGCAAATCGAAAGTTTGACGGGGGGGGGGGTGCACATCGAAATCTTGAGGGGGTGCAAATCGAAAGTTTGTCCCCGGGCGCCGGGAAGGGTCGCTGCGCCTCTGTGAAGCCCCCTCCCCCGTATTTTCTAATTCTAAATAATACGGCCATCATTGTTATTTTTCGTGCTGAACACCAAGGTCCCTACTATTCCAATTTTAGAAACACATCTAAAGCCAGTTAAAATCTAGTCTTGTTACACCGCCTCTCTATTTTTACACGCACCACCTGATGACAGCGGGAGATGACTGTGTTAGCGATGTTGAATTGTTCCACGTACCGGGAAGTTCGCAATTTTAACTCATGCGTGACATCATTGCTTAACATATTCTTAAAATTAAAAAACATAACGACTGAAGGCTGGTGAAATGTTTGTTCTGTGAAACTTTTTTTATCAAGGACTATAGGGAAGTGAAATGACAAGGAACAACTTGCTTCGGCAGAGTTTTCGATCGAATGTTATGGTTACTAAGTACATGTCCTATGAAGTTCTTATAACGTTAATCTAAAGACAGACTTCAACATTAGCTGGAAATAACTATTGCATGCGATAAAGTCATACGTAGAAAATATTTTCTTTTGCTTTAAATTGCTTTTTATTACCTCAAGTAACTAATGACTGTTGGCCCAAAGGTATTTAAAGACAGATTTCGTCTTAATCGATTGACTTCTACTTTTAGTCAAAGTTTGAACTGACTGTATGTACACCAGTAAATGAGAAACTTTCAACTAGCTAGAGGTATATGCAAATTGTTTATAGTCTTGAACCACACTGCTATGCTGAAGAAGACCTTGTGTCGAAACGTCCATTGTGCTCAGGGGTGTAGCGAGGGGGGCGGGGGGACGACGCATGTCCCCGGGCGCCGACCTTAGGGGGCGCCAAAATGGGTTTGGAAAATAAATTAAAAGGTTGAGGGGCGCAGAGAAGGGTCGCTACGCCTCTGATTGTGCTTGTAATTGTGTTTAATTTGTGAGGATACTAACACTACCCGTTTTATTTCTATTGACATAAACCTATTGACATAAACCTCACTGCAGCTACCATTTTTTATTAATTTACGCAGATTGCTGCAACTAGCAACAACCAATTAAATAAATCATAGGCAACTTGACAACTTTTTATCTTTTAACCCTCTTAGAAGTCCCATTTTGATTAAAGTGAAATAAGGTTTGGAACTCGCTGCACTACTTAAACGACCCAAAGATCTGCTCATTAAAAAGGTCCCTTACATTGACCGTGTCTTGGAACAACTTTCAATATTAAAACAACTTTTAATATCTAAGCCAGAGTTGCATGTATAGCCTTATATAAGTCTGTCACGAAAAAAACGGTGCCAAAATTTCAATTCAAACAATTCCCAAACACCAAAAAAAAAAAGTTTAAAAATCAACCCACGCTTTTTCAAAGTGCAACATTCCATTATCCTTTCAGTATGTTGAACGACCTTCAAACGACTGTCTACAGCTGCTGATGTGCGCGTTAGAAAATAACGCGAGACCGCAGCATTTCTAAACACAATCTGACGTCAGCCCTAGGGCGTACAATGCTTCGTGCGAGATATTTTAACATGAATAGAGCCTGTAATGTTCAAATATTTTGCCCGTCAAAGAAACTTGTTACGAATACGTTATATAATGCCCCATGTTCTAAAGATACGACGATACGATAAGATAAGCGGCGTTACAATATTTTATGAGATATCTCATAAATCTAGTTAAACACAGAGAGAGATCTCATATAAACAAAAACAATGTTGTAGACTTTCAAATAAAGGGATTAAATATGTGTATGATTTTGTAGCTTGCTTACAAGATAAATGGAGAGGGGGGGGGGATAAAATAAGAACATTGGTGAAACTAACTTGCAAATAGCACAGTGCAATATTAATATGGCTGATAAGGTGACACAAGACATAATGTAACGAGACACTCAAAGCTTGTGCTGCTGTAGGCAGGGAGCTTTTAAGGACCCATAAAAATAACATTCAGTTACATTAAATGACATATATTGTGTCGTTCAGGTCGTGTCGATTTATGTCTACATTTCAAAATGTTGTCATAAAAAAATTGTACGCTATTAAAGTCGGTATGGAATCTCTTTCTTTCCCCCATATATATATATATATATATATATATATATATATATATATATATATATATATATATATATATATATATATATATATATATGTGTGTGTGTGTGTGTGTGTGTGTGTGTGTGTGTGTGTGTGCGTGAACATTTTAACCCCCCCCCCCCATGACAAACTGCTTCCTTCTTCACTGGTCCTGTTGTTCAGTAAAGTGCCCTGAAATCGCTGAACTACTAGCTAGATTTAATACTGATAATATACTATCATAATTTAACGTGCATTTAAAAGTTAATTGCACCAAATATAGCGTCCATTATGTGTATGTACGTGAAGACTCTAGTTTTAATGACCCAACCTCTATCCAACCATGTCTTCCTGTTATGCCTGACAGACTAAACCCCATGGGAGAAAAAAATCGTGCAAGCTCATAGAATTGAACTGAATGAGGCAAAAAGCTTTCAGGCATTAATTACACAACGATTTTTTAAACTTAAGTTCATTCGATTTTACTTTGCACATTTTATTTATTTTTAAATAATTCATGTTTTGTATAAGAACCCTACCCCCTCCCTTTTCCCCGTCATGTTAATACTATTTTACATTAATAAAAAAAATTAAAATTATTATATAGGCCTATTTCATGTGGTTTAACAGCCAGTTAAAATTTTTTATTATTAATAACATAATAGCAAAGGTGACTCGACCTTCCTGGTCAGAATTAGCCCCACGTGATCTTTTGAAATGGGTTTGTTTAAACAGCTTTGTCTGCGAGTTCCCTGCCGAACGGCCGAACCAGCGCGTGTATAGAAAATGGCCGCCGTGAACTGGCGTCTCAGTTTTCGGCGTTGTCTGCCTTTGGGCAGTGTCTCGGAACGAAGATTTGTCTACGTTTGTCTGGGGTTAGTCCCGTGACCTTGTGCTGGGGTTATCTGAATACTGTTCCAAGGGGTGGGGGAATGGGCGTGGTCTATTTAAAATAGGCTTATCTAACTTTTTACACAAATCACGCGGAATGCTTATTGTCAAAGTTGTTTTGATAATCGTTGAAATAAATCAAAATGATAGCTGAATTTTTATTTTAATCTTAATGCTAATGTTTCAGTAGATGAGTTAAACTGTGTTTGGACACTTTTCTCAGAATCAGACTAAAGGCACTAAGTATCCAACTGGATAAACCTGGTCTATAAATAAACCTGACGAAAACGAGTTTTCTTAAGCTGCTATTTTTTAAACAACCGAGTTTTTTAAAATTATTCTTGCCCAACAACCATTATGTTTTTCTATGTTTGAAAATGTGATATTCTTCAGAATAATGAATGCGAGCCGCGTTAGTAATTAAGCAATTGTTCGAAAGGTGATGGAGTGGGGGGGGGGGGGGTGATTTTTTTACAAAATCGACAAGAACATGTCTTAGAAGTTGTCTTCACTACTCCAAGCATTACTAACACAAAAATAAAACGAATTGGCATTAACAAAGTAGTAAATATGAAAAAATTCCGCGTTTTGTAAAAATTACAACATTGTTTGTAACAAACGGTAGCGAATCGCATGAGTTATTTCTAAGGATAAATAAATGCTTGCCGTTTAAAATGCATGCTTCACTCCGTGGGAAAATTTCCCAACACACAAAGACGCCGTGTTGTCGACAAGAGGACTTTCCATAAATGACATCTGGCAATTTTACTCGATTTCCATCCTCTTTCCTCACGGTCACACATCGTCACAAATAGGCACACCAACCTCCTCCATCACACACAAACACACACATACACATACACACACATACGAATACAAATACACATACACACACATACACACACACTCACACACATACACACACACACATAATAACATAAAAAACAGCCAGACCAACCTCCTCCATCACACACACATACACACACATACACATACACAAACACATACACACACATACACACACAACACACACACACAACACACACACATACACGCACACACACACACAAACATATAAAAATAATGTCGTCACAAACGCTCAAAACTAAACCCGAACGAATATAAATGCAAAAAAGAAACTCTGATTATTGGCCTTTGGTCAGTAGATGGTCTGGCAAATATTTAGCAGAGATGTCAGGACACATACGTTCTAAAGGCCTCAACCTAATACAAATAGCGGATAACAAAATAAAATCTTACTCGTTTTAAGTTTTAATAGAGCACTTTGCACTTTAACACCACGACTGTTAGGTAACTCAAAGGTTTTTTTTTAAAGCATAAAACATTTTTATTGACATTGTGTAGGCGTTAAGTGTGGGGCGGGGAGGGGCGTTCAAAATAGGTAGCATTCTTCTAAGTCTTAATTTAGCACAGTTCAGAAATCAACTACAACTTCAGTGCACTACGTACTCTGTAAAGGGTAACTCGATAGCAATGGAAACTAATGCGACTATCTGAGTTCTTGTACACAAAAGCAGATAGTAAAAATAAAAATCTCAACGACAAGCACTTCAGTTACTCTAGACCTTATCCGACCAATCAAA